TAATCGCCTGCTCCAGACATACTACTAGATGGGATTATCATTCATTGCAGAGGGCGTAGAGCCTTTGAATCATGTAAGGGTAGGGGGTAGGCCAAAGGCCGCCCCATACATGTCCTGCTAATATTAAGGGATTCTGGCCCCTTTTATAATTCTACCTAAGCTATGAAGGAACATAAGAATCTACATGGTTATGTACATGCTGATGACATCTACCAATATCCTCTGCGCACCCTTGTAGACTTAATCGAAATCACACATATTGATCGATATCACAATATATAGATTGCTAATAAGGTAATCTAATTAATAACTAAGTTATAAGAGTAAACACCCTGCTCCTAAAGAGTATAGAAATAATTCTATATTAATATTAGTATAATATATTTTATATAAGAGGATATAATATACCCTTCATCTAAATAATAATCCTTTAGTTAATCAAAGCCACTAGGCTTTAATCCTTTAATTTAATATACTTATGCCATAAAGATAGCATTTAGAAATTGTTATTTCTAGATGTAATAATCACTGAAGCTTATAATAAGCTTCTACTAGTAGAACTATTTCTGTGCCTTAGTTAGATTATATAAATTAAGGTTATAGTTAAGCAACCTCTACAATATCAAGAAATTATTATAACACACTAACTACTATATAAGCTATAATTCTAATATATACCTAAATAATATAGTAGGAATATATATTAATAGTAGTATAAACCTTAATACTATATAGTGCTAGCTTTAAGTACCTATTAATTAACTAAATAAAATTTGGTCCTAGTATAATATAAGCACCTTAATAGCATTATAGGTCTTAGAGTCATCTTTATACAGCAGTTAGTGAGAGTTAATAGTATAATCTAAAGAGGTAATCCCTAAGAAAATATAAATTAGTATATATTAGAGCCTTTTATATCAGTATACCTACCTTGCAATAATAGATCCATAATTTTAAAAGTATTAATAGAGTAGTTCCTTTCCATAACCCTTAATCTAACTAGTTTAAAGTTCTGTATGAAGCTCCTTAATCACCCTATTAACCTAATACTATGTTATAATAGGGTTGACTATATAATGGTATAGACCTAATTAATAACAAATGTACTTTAGTGTCCTAGGACTAATATTAAAGCCCTCAGCCTTCAGGACACAGAACAGATCTAGAGTTGCATTTGGTGCGGGTTTGGGCGGGTTCAAGCCTAGTTGGCACCAAACCGCTGCGGTTTCAGGTTCAAAATTTAGAACTCGCACCAAACCCGGACCCAATGCGATTTGGTTGCAGTTTTCACCGCAAAACCCGCTGCTAGGCCTAGCTAGGCCTAGCTAGGCCTATACTAACTAACCATGGTTAGATTCGGTTCGGTTTCGGGTTGGTTAAACTGCTAATTTAACTGTTTTAACCCTTACCATTCCCCCTTCGGGGACCCCTCTGACGCCCCTATCAAGCATGCTTATATAAATTATGATTTTTATATGAAATATATGGTAATTATCATCATATTAATCTAGATCTAAAATATGAATTTAATATCTATAGGTTTGAATGGGTGGTGGTTAAAAAATCATTTTTAAATATGGTTATTGTCAACAGTCGGTTGCATATATATATAAACTACCACTACTTTCATACCAACCTATGACAGAGATGAAATTCCCTTATATCTCAGCAACCACCAGGTATTTTTGAATAATATTTATATCACTAGATAGCCTTTGATTCAGGCTATCTAGTGATAGTAATATAAATTAAAAATATCTAGAATTCAGTAATTTCTAGGTAAAACAGTTGTGGGTTGGTTAACCTAACTCGCAAAACCGCAAAAACCGTAACCGGTGGTTTTAACCGAACTCGAAGCGGTTCCACCCTATGGAAACCGAAACCAGTGCGATTCCCTAGGCTAGGAACCGAACCCAAACCGCTGCAAGTTCGGTGAGGTTCGGGTTCGATTTTTGCGGTTCAGTTATGCAACTCTAAACAGATCCTTTTCCTCCAAGCTAACCTAGAAAAACAGAATCCTAATACAGGCATGCAGCACTGTGTTAGAGCTTGCTATATAATTCTGCTTCTTAATCCCCTACTTCTGTAGTTATAATTCAATCATTTAGGTGGTAAGCTGAATCCCATGTTAGTTAAGAAGGAATATTTAGAGAGATTAGATAGAGGCACTATTTTAATATAGGTTAATTAGCTCAGCCTTATAAGGCTTAAGGTTAATAGAAGGATAAGGCATGATAGTGATGCTTTATCATACAGACAGAAAGGTTGAAGTGAAAAGGGTAGATAAGATGATAAAGGAGATTTATAGGGAGAGATAAACAGTATCTCATATGGGCAGAATCATGAGCAGTATACATACTTAAATTCCAAAACATGTTATTTCGGTTTTGTTCCAATGGCTTGCCGTAGCTTGCTGCTACATTGCTTGATTACGTAAGTCATGTATACTTAATGTAATCCACGGCCGAGCAGCAAATACGGCCAAAGTGCGAATTTTCACCGCAACCACCAAAATATTCAACTTAATCATTTTCAACGCGCCATTTTCTTTACTTTTTATATATATAATGCCTCTATCTAAGGAAGCCTGTATGCAGATGGCTATTACTGCATGGAAACAGTAAAAAGTTAAGTCAAAACTAAAGGCTGCCCAGATATTTGGTGTCCCTGAATCCTCCCTTTGCAAGCGGCTATCTGGAGTCAAACCACGAACAGAAACACATGCAAATAGCCATAAATTAACAGCTACTAAAGAAGAGACCCTTATTAGGCAATTACTAGATGCAGATAAGCAAGGCTTCTCAATTCGGCCTGAATTCCTGCATGGAATGGCACAGATTTTGCTCTATAAACATCTGTAAGATTTAATAGTAGTTCTTAGAGTAAACTAGGCTTATTCCTTTACAAAATATCACCCTTAGCTATGTATAAGATATAATCAAAGAATTACATACTAGCGGGCAAAACAGGAGGATCCTAAGGTTATCAGACAGTGGTTTGAGACTGTATGCAAAGCTATTTAAGAACATGGCATACATGAAGATGATATCTAGAACTTTAATAAGACTGGCTTTGCCATGGGACTCTATATAATATCTAAGATTATTATTACAGTGGAATGCAGTGAGAGACCTTACATAGTTATCTAAGGGAACCTCAAATAGGTCATAATTATTAAATATGTTAGTTCTAAAGGCACTTCTATACCACCAGTAGTTATCTTAAAGGGAAAAGAACACCAGGCTGCTTAGCATTAAGAACCTAAGCTCTCTCAAGACTAGTTAATTACAACTAGTTAGAATAGCTAGATAACAGATAAGATAGGCCTCCACTGGTTAAAAGTTGTGTTTGAGCCTTATTCTAGGTGATATTTAACTAGTGCGAAGTGGTTACTTATCCTTAATAGCTATTCTAGCCATTTAGCTCCTGAATTTGATACATTCTATAAGGAGAATGTAATTATCTGTCTCTGCATGCTACTACATACTTCTCATCTTCTCTAACCTCTAGATGTTGGGGTTTTTGGGCCGCTTAAACACTCATATAGAAAACTAGTGGAGAGGATGATAGGTATAGGAAATAACCATATTAATAAGGAAGATTTCCTGCATCTATATCCACCAGCATGAGATATAGTATTTAACTAAGCAAATATATATAATAGCTTTGCTGGAGCAGGTCTAAAGCCATTAAATAAAGATTAGGTCCTTGGAAAGATTACTTTTTAACTTTATATACTAACACCACCACTTATTAAAGGCTCTATCTCCTCTACCTTTCAGACTCCTCAGAATCCTCGCCAGCTTGATCACAAGGTCTGCACTATACAGAGATGCATCTAAAAATGGAAGCTATCTAGCAGCCTAATAGCCCATATTCAGCATCTTGAAAAGGCTGCACAGATGGTGATGAATATGAATCTCCTTCTCTAAGAAGAAATTAAGGCCCTACGTGCTGAAAATGAGCGGAAAGTAAAGAAAAGGGTAAGAAGGCATGCTCTAATAGGGAATGATATCCTTTTATCTATATAAGAAGGCCAAAATTGTGTTCAGCAGCTTGATACACAGGTTGATAGTCAGATTGATGAGCCTACACCTATATCTCATCAACACGCTCCGCCACGCTGTAGTGGATGTTGGACTATTGGACATACTAGACAAAGTTGCCCTAATAAATAGCTATCTATTCAACTAGTAGGTAGTCTAATTAATGGCACTGGTGGTTGAAAAACTTCAAAGATAGGATGATTTGCGGCGAAAATTCGCACTTTGGCCGTATTCACCGCTCGGCTGTGGATTAGTTAGTTAACTACAAGCAGTAGGCATTCATTTGAGATTGAGCGGAATCTACCGTAGACGTTGTCTTATTCGCGGGCCTTCGACTTACAGGCTGAAGCTCTTTGAGACAGCACCGAGAAGAAAATTACGGGGTTCTGATGGACAGGACCATCAGGCAGATGACTAAAGTTTGAACATCATGGAAAGAGGGCCTTCTCCTTTCTTCTGTTCTGTGACATCGTTTCTCCACCCTCCCCTCTCGCTAGCTCTGCGGGTTAAAGCGACTCTGCGATTATTATCACAGCCTTTGGCTGATAAGGTTCCTCAATATACTTTTCTTCCTCATCAGACAATAACTTCCCTCACGCCGCGATGGCCTGTTCCAATCTTTAGATGCTGCTGAATCTGATAAATAGGCCTATGATCTGCTTGTTTATCCATGCTAGTGCAACTTAAGCCATCAGACAGCCATGCTTTTCAGCAACCTCCCTAACCCACCTTATGATGGCGAGATCAGCTTCTGACAGGAGTAGCTCTGAGGTAGCCTCCGTCTGTAATTTACTTCTAATGGTAGTGCCAAGTCCTGATAGCGGTCTAGCCAAGTTGCCTTAGGCAAGCAGAGCCCAGGGGATCTGGCTAAACACTAGTATTATTATAAAACAGCAGTGCCTGATAAGGAAATCATGAGAATAACACAAGATACCACATCATATATGTCATTACCTACTCTTCACCAATTGTCCATGGCATTGAATTTGGGTCGCCAAAACTCATGCAGCCAAAAATAGGCACAGAAACCCTCAGGCCACTGTTGCCCAGCCGTCGATATTCGCATTCGGAGTTCTCAACGGATTCTTTCAGTCGAGCAGGCATGTCGGAATACATTGTTCCTACGTGTCTTGATGATGTTTCAAGTTCCCGAGGTAACCAAGCTTGATATCCAAGGCTAGTGATGAAGAGAGGAAGGCTGCGTGAAAGGTATAGATCTACATAGATATTTTTGGACCGCGATAAGTCTTTGATGATCACAAGGCCCTTGGGTCGCAGGTTACTTTATCTCCGGTTTACGTCTGCGGGCTTGCCGCTTCGGGAATCTGCTTACATGCATGGGCCCACAGACCCATCGTGACGTTTAGGCCCGCAAGGTAAAGCCCGCTCATTGTTCTCTGGAAGGTAACCAAGGTCATGCTTGATGTGTTTGGGACACTTGCAAACTTTAGCTACCTATTGGCCGATTTCAATTATTGACTAACCCTCTTAGCTTTGGAGGATATGCAGAGCCAAAAGTCTTCCTCTTGCACAATGTTGTCACCGTTTGTGCACTCCAAGTGGATCTGCTTTTCTCATTTACGCTAAGGACTATGCTGCGTTGGGCGCTCGAACGAAGCTTTCCCTTTTCTTTTTTCGCCTTTACCTACCCGACGCTATGGAAGTTAATGGAATTAGATATTTCAAGTGAGAGCTACCAACCTTCGTCTACTCTGAAGAAACCTTGCAAGTGGAAAGGGCAAATACATGATGGCAGATCCTTGGGGTAATGGATGTGCCGGAACCTGGCCAGCCTGAAACACCACGACCATCTCGCAACGGGCAACAATATAATAGAACAGGAAAACGAGATTGGAATCCCCACAAAGGTCTAATCCAGCTGTCCTCTAGATAAGATTCTCCCGGAAGAACTGGGTGAGTTTGTGGAATGGGATAAGATCCACACGATCATAGAGATCAACATGACCAGCGCCTATCACCCAGTACAATTCCTTCGGTTCAGCGGCGCGCGAATAAGCATGCTCACTAAACTCACGTGAATGAGCCTGGTCGCCTGAGATAAATAGCAATGGACGTGGTGAGATCGCCTCAATACCATCATAGGGATAAAAGTTGATAAATTTCACATTGCTTGAGAACGTTGGATGTGTCGTGATGTTTGGTGTTGTCCCTTTAGGCGTGACCTCACCGCGTGGTGTGCGGTAAAAATCATAGAATTCGCGATCGATAGAGGTTGAATTTGGTGTGACCCCATTTGGAGCACCAGCTGTGTACTTGATTTCACCCCCATCAACCTCAACCCAACGCTGCCGGGATGCAGCGGCAATAAGCTCTTTGCGCTGATCAAGGCTTTGCGAATTTCGCAGACCATTGCGAGTGAGAATGCCATGATTATACATGCTTGCCGTTGCAATAGCCTTTAAGCGCGAGTCGATTTTTGCTGCGCTGATCACAAAAGACCCACTGCCACAGATACCGACAGCACCAATCCTCTCGCGATTGATGAATTTCAGCGTCCCAAGGTAGTCCACCGCTGCACTGAATGCCTCTGCATAAAGATCAGGTGACACTCCATTGCGTGGCTGACCCTCGCTTCCGCCCCAAAATGGGAGGTCGAACGAAACAGTGACGAAACCCTGTTCAGCCAATTTCTGGGCGTAGAGGTTTGCGCTTTGTTCTTTCACTGCACCCATGGGGTGGCCGACAACAATAGCTGGTAACTTGGTACTTCGGTTGTAATTGTTGAGGATGAACAAATTTCCCGTGATGTTCGACTGGTACTGGTCCCGAAAGGTAATCGGGTGACGCGTGAGATTGGCGCTGCGGTAAAAGTTGTTTGCGCCGTATGACATATTCTGTGCCGCTGCTGGCATACTGTAAGCAGCAGCCATTACGCTGAGCGCAGCGATGCTGTATCCAACAATCTTCATGATGCTTTAATGTGGCTGTCGGTCAGGAGGATAGTTTGCAAATGGAGGTTATATGGAGTTAAGTTTACAGTCGACAAGTCCTTTGGTTTTATAGTTAATCAGGTGGATAATGGGACTTTGTACTGCCATTGCTTACAACCTTCCGAATTCAGTATATTGAGGCTGCGTATCTTCACGCCAAGTGTGTTATAGGTATATTATGCTCGATCTGAATTGACAATTTATTCTCATTGGCTGTACGAATAAGTTGCGCAGCGTCCGCACGGCAGACGAATCCGGCATTACCGCATCACATCAGTTGCTCAGTGCATGTTTGCCATCTTTGGACCAGTAAGCATAGAACGTTCCTTAGACTATGGATTACCGCTCCATACCTTGTGTGCGTGTTAACGGAAGAACCAGCAAAACATCAGTTTTCTTCTGGTTTTCAGGCGGCCTTGGCAGCTAATGGATCAGACATTTGCTTGGCAATGAACTACGATGATCCCAAACATAGTAAGTTGCTTATGATCAAGTGGGCTTATCGGTGGGTCCATTCCCGGACTTTGCGGCCATAAGGAAGAGGGTCCGCTCCACGTTAGGGAATGGCGCGCCTTCTCTCTCCGTAGTAGCAGCCCGAAAAAGCCCCTTGCCTACGCTCCACCCACACGCACACGACTGGCCAGACCCGTATGTTTTTGTTCCCCGCAGGTGGGAGTACATATCCCAATAACACTCGTAAGAAAAAAAAATGCAAGGTGGGCGTTTCCGATGCTTTCTCTATGCTGGAGCACTTAGGTTTCCTGTTTCTTATCACTAGATAGTGCGATAGCTAACCCCCCTGGGTACCGGTAGCACTGGCCCGGATATTACGGGTGCCCATCACGGTTCTCAGGCGCACTTTCAGACTTACGTTCTATCCGAACTCGGTCTACGCACGGTTAGTAGTCGTCTCTTGGGGCCAAAGGGCGGCTGGGACACTTCATTAGAAACAACTACGATGTTAGAAATTCCCCCTAGCAACTGTTATTGAGAAGGTGCACTAGATACCTTACGAGGCGCATTAGCTATTCCACAGACATTGGCCACATTCAACATGCATGTTGTCAAGGGGGTCCGACAGCGATGCTGGCTTTATAGGCGGGCTGGTGTTTATTAATGTACTGTCTTTTGTCGTGTTGTATGTAGATTCCGATTTTGTGCCTGTATCCTGTCCTCTTATATACGCTCACTCTCGCCTCCGCGTTCCAGCCACCGGGGAAGACCTCACAAATGCCTTGTCAGAGGGCGCTGCACGGCGCATATTCAGTTCGAACCCAAGGGGAAAAAAACCCCGGTGGCAGGTCTATTGACAGGAGTGCAATATCTGGATATTCATCCCGTTGGTTCCTGACAAAGTTCATGAGCCACATGGGGCAGGCTTTCCAGGCTGACCAGTACATAGAACCTGAGCAGATTGGGGAAGAAAGGATTGTGCATTTGGTGATGGAACAGGTTGAAAAGCGACAAAGAATGTTCTATTCTATGGACCGCATCCATCGTTTTGTGTCAATATCGCTTCGGTCTTCTCCCATCATCTTGGTTCTGTTCGTGGAACAATGGACGAGAAATGAGACTTGTGAGAAGGAATCATCTCTTTAATCCCTTGATGATTGCATGTAAGAATAAGCATTGTGACCGCTACGACCGCATACAATGGGTGAAACAGTTGCCACCGGGCCATCGGAATGATTTGCTAGGTGGCGGGTGAATGAACCCGAGGATTGTAAGACCTTGTACCTGCAGGGATCGGGAGCTGGGAAACCTCTAAGGGACTGTGCGAAGCTCATGGGTGTTCCTTTTGTCTTAATACGGCCTGGATACTTGTTCAGGATCCCATACGGCGCCAGTAAAACGGCGATAGATTCAGGTCATCTGGTTCCCTTCGGCAAAGGGGGGCGGGGGGGTGCGGACGGACACTCTTTGCCAGGATTTGTTGTGAGCCTTGACTCGTCCTTTAATTTCTGATTGCCAGCCATAATTTGGATGTAGTTATAAATAACATCGAGTAGTTTATTCTGAACCTGATGTTACATTCTCTGCATTCCTCACAGGGAGCCATGAGCCGAGAAGAGAACCCGAATGGCGGCCATATAAACTCGGCTTTGATATCATCCTGCTAACTTGACTTTTAGAACAAGAATACCAAAAAGCTTAGGCTCAACAGAGGAGTCAGGCGATTTTGATTAGTGCAAGATAACCTAGAAATGTTACATAGGTGTAGTAGGGCTCTCTCTCCACACCACCAAAAAATTCAACAATCCCGACGATTCGGTCCAGATGACCCTCCTCATATGTTTATTAACTCATAGAATCTTTCCTTCGCAAAAACTATCCGTGCCAAGCGCTTCCTACTTATTGGACGAGTTTCGAATTGCTTCCTGCACTGACAATGCTGTTGCTAAGAATAGCTGGGGGTTGTGCGACCTTGCTAGAGCGGCTTTGCTTCTTCCGCGTTATCCAATAGACCAGGTTAATGGCGTAGTATATCGCTATACACTCCGTAGCAGGTACTGACCAATGCCCCATTGACTAGATATTGACTTGTGATTCGGACGCCTTTCGGTTCTTGCTGAGGTCTAACTATCATGGTGCCTACTTGGTTCTGATGGCCTCATGCACTGGAAAAGACCGTAATTCCTGGCATGGGTTGTCTCTACAACCTCTGCGAGCAGTAATGATTTCATCATGCTCCAGATGCTTGACGGGCTCTCGTCTCGCCGCAGAACCGCGTGCCTAACAAAAGCCTACAGCTGCGTGCCAGTGGGATATTCTATCACGCGCAAACAACCGCATTTGATGGTCGGAAAGCAGCCGCGGTTATGATAACCAGGCCAACAGCGGACAGTTCTGACCGTTGGCGCTTTATTCTGATGCCAGAATAGCGACTATCCCGAAGGATTGATATTCGGGTGGATGCGGGTGTACAAAAGCCGATAAGTCCACTACTACTAGCAGTGCCCACTCGAGCAAGGCTAATACCGACAATGTGACTTCTGCTGTACGGCAGGGCATATCAGAAAAGAGGTTCATTGTATGATCTCGACGATATGGGTGCCAAAATAGATTCATACGTAGGAATCCAATGCTCAAATTAACTGCTATAGAGCAAACTCTTAAAGTCATCTTCGATGTCCTACCCCGTCCAGTTTACATCACTAATGTTTGCGTAAGTTGAGGGCTTGGCACCACTTGGACGTTCGCCCAAGGCCTTCTTTAGCTTTATGCTGGCTGCCTTCAGGTGCTCTCCCTCGTCGATTTCCTGGTGCACGGCTCCGAATTACCCAAGGAGCCCCGTTTGTGGTATGAATTAGGCCGACCAGGCTGCCAGCCTGGGTATTTCCAGAATCATCTTCATGTTCCCCCGCCTTCTGATCCTTCTACAGGTTTTCGACATTGTTCGCGTAGGCTCCTGAGGAGTGGGCAGAGGAGGAGGACGTGCCGTAGGGGCGGTTTCCTCCAGTTTCGGCACCCCGCGTTGATATAGAGTGTCGGAGCCCTAGCTTCCCTGTGCACATCTGTACGATCACTGTGCTCAGGGCTAGCAAGAGGGTCCGGTGTTTTCTCAAGACCTGCTTCGTTGGGGACGGCGCTAGCGTATACGCTGTCTACCCGAGCGGGATCGTCTGCCAGTTGTTTGTTATCTCCCAGATTTTGGATTCTACCCCCGAACGAAGAAGTCTATGTTTTGGAGTGGGATAGGTATTTGGTGCGCAAGATGGCGCAGGGGAGACATGCAGCCTAGTGGCGGGCTGCTTTAGTTGTGTTTCTGCTTAAGATGTGGCTATACGCCAATTTCTTATGTCTTGTCTGCATTTGTGGGTTATGGCGTTTGGATACTAGATTCCTGCTTCATTTGTCGAAGCGCCTGCATAGCTAGTCGCCTCTGTAGACGGGCTCCAACAGGTTAATAGAATATTGATTGATTGATTGATTGATTGATTGATTGATTGATTGATTGATTGAAGTCTATGTTGGATTGGCCGTGGCCCCATTTGTTGTCTTTTGCATCATCCATTCGATCGACATCGATGTAGTCTTCTCAGGGAGAAAAGTTGATAGGACTCATGGAGAGGCGGCCAGGTAGCGCGATTATAGAACTATATTTAGGGAAGAGTGAGGGGTGTAATAGGGATGAAGTAAGGAGAACCTTGGCAGGGCTCGAGCTGGCCTTATCGACATACTGTGGAGTAAGTCGGGCTGAAGCAAAAACGTGGCACACTTCCGTCCACGGGTCGCAAGTTTTGTACTCTATAGTCCACAGGGTTGCCGATCCCCGTGGAAAATAAAGAGACCATACGAGGAAAGCTACCTTGGGTTGTTAGGAGGCCATCTGTTTACGGTGGCAAAAAAGGGGTATATTGCCACCCAAACCCCTAGACCCTAGTTTACCGATCGGACCCCGCTAGTTTCCGCCCATCCAAGGAATTTCTGCCCCCTCCTCCCCGGGCAGCATGTTTGCCACGACCTTTTGAGAGCTTCATTATGGGTCGGCGATCTAAACAGAAGTCCTGCTTCGCGTGCGCCGAGGCTAAACGGCGTTGCGACAAGCGCCAACCATCCTGCTCCCGCTGCGTTGAGAAAGGAGTCGACTGTGCATACCCGGCGGCATCCGGTCCCGAGTGTCCACAAGCTAGGATGACCGGCGCCGCTGCCATCCCAGATGTTGGGTTCGGCGACGCGTGGACTTCCCCAGTCATGAATAACACGTTCGGTCCGATCCCTCAGGCGGAGGTCCCATTAGACAACGTACTGTTTGACTCCGACTTCGCTACTAGTCTCATCAGCATTTCATCATTATCATCGGCACCATCCTACGGCGCATTTTCCAGTCATCCCGCTGCCGCCGGCCAACTCAGCGCATCGTTTGGAGACTTGAGCTGGTTTCTCCAACCCCAGGCTTGGACTGTAGTCCATCACTACCATCCCCAGACAAGGTACCTCCACCTTCGGTGTTCTCGAGCTTCCTCCGGGGCCTGGAGGACTGGCTCTTCCGCTTTGTACGCGACGGTCACAACCCCTTCATTCACCGACATCTCTATTCTGGGACAGGCTTTCCGCAGTGTCTCCAAGATGCCTACTCCGCAATCGCGATTTGGGCCGTTACATCACCGGAAAACGAGCATATTGTTGACCAAATATCCTCCGACCTCGTCTCAAAGCTGCTCGAATATCAACATACCGCCGGCCCCATGGGCTTCAGTTTTATCACCACCCGGGAACACCTGGTTCGCACGCAGTCTCTTTTGATTCACCTGCTACTTGCTCTCTTCTCAGCCTCTATAAACCGCCGAGCCAGGGCCGAGAGTCTCGTCAACATACTGCGTGACTGGGCGAGCCAGCTTTGGCAGTCTGCAACCCATGATGCAACCCTCGCTCCACCCATGCTAACCGTTCCCTCGATAGCGGGAGATACCAACGCCAGGGATGTCGACCCTGTTCCAAGATTGTATCAAGCTTTTGTTCTCTCCGAATCTATTCGCCGCACCTGGCTACTATGCAGTATTGCCACTGGTGTCTATGGCAGTCTAAAGGGCGGATGGTCTGAGACGTGTGGAGGCGATGTCCACATCACAACTCACACGGATTTATGGGCCGCGCCGTCTTCGGCACGTTGGGAGGCCATCGCACGTCATACGGACCCACTATTCATCTATAGCCTCCGTGGTCAGACATTAGTCGAGCGCGGCGTTCGCGCTGCCCAGGTTGATGAATTTGCGCGGCATCTGTTCACCCTTATGTGGGGACTGGAGAAGGTTGAGACCTGGATTGTTCGTACCGGCGATGCAGTTTCGATCACTTATTGAGGTGCAGAGGGAAACCGCATCGCTGGCTCTGAAGTGTCGGGATACGAACGGAAGTGCTATTCAGCGACCGGAACTTGCGGTGGCCAGATTCTTCCAATCCGTCTGTAACAAGCCATGTTGCTGAGCGACCCTCCAGTAATGTTTTGAAAGGGTAACAAAGCATGGGGAATTGTCGCCACCGACTCCGGGAAGTGATGACAAGATTGACTCTTCAGCTACTCCGATAAGCGGCACCGTGGTGCCATGGGCTGCCTCCAAGTGACGAAGAGAAAAGGCATTGTTTGATACTCTTACTGGTGGCAGACCCATTAGCGCGGCAGTTAGAAGTCCTCAGGCCGTGTGTCAGGCCGTGCAGATGCATTCTATAAAGCGCGGCATGCTTACCGATTTTACCCCCATACTAGCTTAATAGACTAGCTTAAACACTTGATTACCATAAAACTAATTAAAGGACTTAAAGGACTTAGTAACAAAGAAAAAGAATATGAGAAATGGCGATGAAGCGGCCATGGATGGCAGCTACAGAGGCTCACCCCCATAGTAAGCACCGAGCGAATCGGAGACAATTTGTGGTCTTAGATGCCGCGAAATACTTGCCCGAGGCTGTGCATAACTAGACGCTCAGCCACGTATGGCTGTATTCAGTCCCCTCGCCGCACTTTATAGTTTGCTCCAGACGTCCAGGTCTGCCCCAGCTGGGGTTTCGGTAGGGATTTGCTAATCATGACCTCCTGGATCCTGCGTGCGCTCTCAAAAAGCCGCTTTTAGATTCTTGATAGCCCGGTGCAGTCAATTTGCGATCTCACTTGACAAAAGTGCCCATCGACAAGGACGTGTTCAACGTCCCCAACGCTACCGTGCAATATAATCGGCGTCACAGGAGCAACCCAACCCGAGGAGTCCAGGACTGGTCATGTCCCACACAACAAGGTCTGCCTTTGCGCAATGATCGATGACACCAAGATCTGGCCTGCGTAGGGCGAGGCCGCCGGTACGCGTCGCTAGATGGAACGCTTGGTTGACGGGCATTGGATTGTTCGCCGGAATCTCCCAGTCATCGAGGGATATGGCGTAGAAGATGGAGCAGACGCGCTGAAGCCAAATGCGAGCCTGCGTGAGGATATCAGTAGAATAGTTGAAATGCGCATCTATCCCGACAGCCGCTTGGTCCAGTATCAGATGGGCTGTGGGGTGCAAGTGTCCATAGTGCAACCCAGACTCTGGAGTGATAGATAGACATTATTGGTTATAGTGCCGCAGCAATTCGTACTGTGGCTGAGGAATGAACTTTCTGTGAGAAAAGATGACTGAAATGGGTAGGTTGGGCAGACCCAGCTTGTCCATGGTCTCAGGAGCGTTCCGAACTACGAGCACTCATCGGTTGTTGCTCCATGGCTTGGTGTAGTACTACCATACCGTCCCACAACGCGGACATAGAGTGCGTTGTTATGACCGAAATGTTGGAGTCCCTAGCCCTTTCACGACCTACTTATCGGATGAATGATAATAAACACATAGTACATACCTTGTCAACTGCATGAAAGGCTCGATCTTACCAGAGTGGGAGTCGTACGCTATTCCGAGGGACGTAGGCGTCCCGTCAAATATGGCTGCGTTGATAATGTCCCTAAAGTTGGCCAGCTGCTCATCAAGCGTACATTCTGAAGTTTGTGAAAGCTGTAGGCCCAGAAGACCCGAGCTCGGCTGTCAATGCTAGCCCGCAGACCGGCCTCCGAGGTCTTATTACACCAGGTGTGATGTACATGATCAAGGATGGTTGTCACACCTGCATTGAGTGCTTCGTATAGGCCGACGAGCTGACTCTCGTAAACGTCCTCTGGCGTGAAGATTCCTTCCGCGCTGGAATTCGCCGTATCGCTCTAGATACTAGAAGCTCGTGTTGCGTGTTGGAGCCGAGAGTACGGAAGGCAGTTTGCCAGCCATGACGATGTGTGTCGATGAAACCAGGGGTGATGATCTTGCCGGAGACGTCGAACCACTTCCGCAGAAGGGCCACTACCAGTTACAGAGTTGGCATCGTCAGGCTCATTCCCGGCCGGGTAGAAACCCGAGATACGGTCGTCTGCCACTATGAGTGTGCCGTTTCGAAGGACAGTAATGGAAGCTGACGCATTATCCCAAGCAATAATCGTCCCACCTCGAAGGACGAGCAAAGGAGTAACAAACGCCACGCCGCACAATCAGAGTATGATATTCCAGACGTGCAACTATCCAGGGTGCTCGACACACCGCTTCTGGTGGTTTTAAATCAAGATTGACTGTGTCAAGGAACAGGGTGCATCGACCGGATATAACGTACAAATAACCGTTTGACTTGATCTCTAATCAGCCTTTGGTTGTACGGTTGGCGGGGCGTGCTTGTAGTTCACTAGGCCGGTCCCTGTTTCCTACACTCCCTTAGTGTTTTAATTGTTAAGTAATGAAAGGATCATAAAGTTGGTTTGGGGGGAAGGGAAATAGAGTACTAAGCGTTTTGCAGACCACCCGGCCTTGACGATCGACCACCACCAAAGCCGCCAACTGCGAAGGGCGCATATAGTGCGATTAGGATTCAGATTACCTGACGGCTACCCTACCGATTGCGTGTTTCCCAAGGCATCTGAGAACGTCCTCAAACGAGGCCACTTGATTATGATGCTGGATATTATCTGCCCACCTAGCGGCATATCAAACGCCCGTGCCGCAGATCAACGCTGAAAACTAAGTCATTTTACAAAACAAAGCGAACGCAGCATGAAAACATGATATAATTCAATATGTATGGTCCGCCATGACTGACCACAATGCCACCATCGCCTTGGCAAACTGATCTCTGAGATAACTATTGGCCTGCAGCAAGTCGCTGGAAAACCTTGGGCGCGAACTGGGCTATATCAGTATGGACCGCGTAATCTTTCTCATCCACCACCTTGTCCCAGTTACTTCTTATGGTTTCAATCGTCCAGTCATCGTTCACAGAGCCGAAGAACCCCTTCGTCTCGGCCAAGAAGATCCGCGTGACCAGCCTTCCAGCAGCGGCAACAGCCTCGCCGTTGACCTTCGAATCCTCATGGACCAACCACGCCACTGTAGGGGCGACTTCGTGGGCGGGCATGTGTTCCATCATAAAGTTTCGTGTTCCCTCATCTTGAACAGTCGTTGCTGAGCCGGGCGTGAAAGCCATCGGAGCAACAGTGTTCACAAAAATGTTGTGCTCCTTTCCTTCAATCGCGATACACTTGGCCAGACCCAGAACGCCAAGCTTAGCCGCCCCGTAGGCTGATTGCTGAGCGCTCCCAAACATAATCGGAGACGTGATCAATACAACGCGACCGAACTTCTGGCTTTTCATGTATGGCCAGGCTGCTTGCGTGACGTTCCAAGATCCTCCCAAGTGAACGCCCAGCATGTCCCAAAGCTGAGAGTCTGAAATGCGATCAAAGTCGGAACCATGGGCGCTCCCGGCGTTGTTGATGACGATATCAATGCGTCCGAAATTATCGACTGCAGTTTTCACTAGCGCATTTGCAACTCCGCGGTCTGCAACGCTTCCAATATGGGTGACGGCCTTCCCGCCCGCCTCGATAATTGATTTGGCTGTGGCCTCTGCTGTTGCTGCGGTAGTGCTGTTCACAATCACAGCAGCGCCAGCACGGCCCAGCAGGAGAGCATATTCGCGCCCCAAACCTCGACCGGAGCCGGTCACGATAGCGACGCGGCCGTCGAACCTCAGACAAGTGCTCGACATGGTTGAATGGATGACGATCAAAAGCAAGGTCGGCTTGTAGTTGACAGGAGAGTGGTGAGCAAAGACGATAGCTGGACTATACACCAGTACGCAAAAGGTGTGTCAGGCTTTTAAATTAGGTCATCTTTGCCAAATACCCTTCTGTAGTCGGATCCCACCCTTACCCATCTTGCGTCAATGCTTGCGGAGTTCGATTTCAGGCTAACCTAATTTCCTCCGCTGGGGGAGTCGGACACTTTGATACTAGTCTCCGCCCCACCATCCAACTCCGCGTGGAAACTGCGGAGTTGGTAATCTATCGCCATACCACCTTGAACGGATCATGTCCGACGGACCTACCTGGTCTGTCTCAGGCTAGTTCAGAGGACACCCACCACCAATAGTGGGCCACGGGTTATGGTAAGCTCCGACAAGAGAGGAATGTACCCGGAACATTCACGATTATCCGTACTATGACAAATATCGATGGAAAATATTGTTCCATTGATGGCTTGTGGTTGATCATCTGCCGTCGATTTGAGCAGCAGGTTCTCAAAAACCAACCAACAAATAATTCTATTACTAGGATAAGCAAAGTAAGTGCGGATGCTTCGTAATCAGCTGCCAGCTTCCATCCACTTGCGGCATCAGTATCAATGATGGGAAACAGGCCATGGGAGGTAATAGGAGCTATTAGCTCTTCTGAGATGGTACGGTTGCATCGCTTCCATACACAGTGCAGTCCGGGCTCTCAAGACTGATCTAGCGAGCCTGCTCTTTGCCAGGTACAAAAGAGAGCTAGTCTGGCTCGCTCGTACCCACTTTTGGTGAAATCTGCAAGTTGATACGACTATGCTTGGAGGCACAGGATGTAATCGCAAATTTTTAGTAGAAGATAAGTGTAACTGACATATGACTTCAGATACATACTGTCAGATAGAATCTATTGATTTAAGAAACTGCATATACCTCTGCCATAGTAAATTCCCGTCCTTGAGACGCGTCCGCGGATCTTATGATTGTTTGGACGGTGAGCACTCCTCTCCCTACGCCAAGCAACACATCCAAACATTTCTGAGGCGTCTCAACTCTCCTGGCAGGACGATTTGGATCGATTCCATTCCAACACTTTCGAGCCCTTCACAGTGCTGCCATCCGTTCTTGACCTTCTACTACCGCCCCATCGCAGAAGACCAAGAACTCATGGACTCAGTGCTTTGGCGAAATCTGGCGCTGTGTATTCCGGGAATGTATAGAGTTTCCGACATTGCAGGTGCCCATCCGGGTCTCAACTCATGAACTCAGAAGCCGTCGTAAAAGTTCCTCTGTTAACATCAAGTTGCCACTAGCGTTTATTACACAGACCTCTCCAAATATCAGTCGGTTCTTCCTTGCGGGTCTCTACTGATCGCCCGATCTATGCTATGAAACCATCTTCGCACATATTAAGGTTGGTCCTGCTTCAATCCTGCCTTCTCACGCTGAGGACAGAGGGGCGTCCAAGGTGAGCGCTTATCAGCATAGAAACCCCTTAATACATGACATTATTCAGTCAACTCTCTTGGATCATCGATCGTGGCTTCAATTTCGTCATGAGAGGGCCCTTATCCCAGAGCACGAAGACTCGTTGGGTAGACGGCCAGTTCTCCTGCCCTTCCAGTACTTCAGCGATCAAATTTCCAAAGGAGTCGAGCAAAAACAAGGTGAAGTTCCGCGTAGGCAAGGTTCTTTTTTAATGCAGTTCTGAGGCCCAGCAGAAAACGGCTTGAATGCTGCTTTATTATGCTGGAATACCGCGTCTCGAATAGAGGATGCGCTGCAGGGAGAAAGCGTTGTGGATTGAACGAATCGGGGTCGATAAAGTTCCGAGGAGAATGATGAGTAGCCCATTGATATAAAGACACGTAACTCTACTTGGTTAGCCTCCAAGCAAATCGATATACGCCTTTCGGGACGCAATGTCCGTGCACGAAGTCTCCTGGAGATAACCGCGGTGTAGTTTCTCCCGGGGGTGGGTAGATACGTAGGGTTTCCTCCAGGCAGGCGCGTAAAAACTGAAGGCTGGCCGTGAACTTGACGTTGATCTGCTCCTCGGCTGAGAAAGCTCCGCGAATTTCTCTCGTGAGGATGTCATATATTTCTCTATTGAGACTCAACTGGAAGATCAACCCGGACAATGTCATCGCACTTGTCTCACTCCCGGCGACAAGCAGGGCCCATGCATTTGGAATCTTCTCTTCCTCGGTCATTCCTGTGCCATCTTTATCGTGGCGAAGAATATGTGTGGAAAAGTCTCTGCGCGCATCAGTGCCAAGAGCCAATATTTTTGCCGTCTTGACTCGAGCCAGCTCCTCGCTCTCTGCTCTGTTTCTAATGTGCTTGGCTACAAAAATAAGGATCAGAGCCCTTAGGATTGGGTAATTATCGAAAAAAAGCATTGTGGCGATGGCCCTACGATTACTGAAGAGCTTAGCAATCCAAGGATGGTAATCACAACTCTTCACTAGAGAATAAAAAGGATCACCAAACGTTAGTTCACCAATTATATCGAAATTGAGATAGTTGAACCATCGTGTGACGTCGACCGGAAGATCAGCTTCGCAAGCTTCCCCCAGTCTTGTAATAAGGAGGTCGACATACGTTTGATTTATTCCTCTTGGTCATTCATGGCCGCGGCCGAAAAGAGCGTGAGCCAATGTTCGGCGCTGGCACCGATGGCCCTCGAGGCGGCTTGGAAGCATCCCGATTCTGTCGCCGGAGCCGTAAGATTGTGGTACCTTGTCAAGTTCCGGTTGATGCGGGCCACGAGCGAGTACTTCCGGCCATCCGATAGAACCATCGATGGAAAGTCGATCAGGAGAGATACAACGATCGGTCCATATTTCTCAAGAATCTTGAGGATGTCTTTGACAAATTTGCCCTTAAGCTGGTTTTGAATGACGAACGGGAGATAAGAGGCTGCATAGAGCTTGGGGCCTGGGAATCCAGCCAAAGGATGAAAAAGCAGCCTCCATATGACCAGGCCACTGCGAAAGGGTAAGATACTAATCTGATTAGGCTTTTCTGTGGTTGGGTGTAAGCGGGGGTTTTTCGTACAAGTCCTATTTTCAGATATGCAGTAGATACGATGGTCATTTCTGGCATGATTTGTAATAAGTTTGGAGCCATGGTCAGGAAAAGGTTCTTGTTATCAGGGTGGTGTAGAGAGAAATTCAAATAGCTGTCGGTGGATTGAAATTTTCACAACAGAAGGTGCAGTGGTTTTGTTTACACGTGGTGGCAAGGAGGGATAATCCAAGCCAGAGATTGCTACCGTCTTATATATTGTAGTCCAATCAATGCACGACACACCAACCACAGATACAGATCGGTATTTTTAGAGTCATTCACCATAAAGCCGTTTCAAAGTCGTCATGATACGGAAAGCATGCGGAGTTAGTTGCTTTATTCCTTTGCCCTTGGTATAATCATGCATAGATGCTGGCCGACATCAGCTCGACCCGGGTGCTAGAACGTTCCGGTTTTCAGGCTTCGCTGCATATTCCGGAGGCAAGACGAATAAAGACAAAATGAAACTGTATTCCGCTTACATATTGGTATTTTCAGCCAAGTGTATGGAAGTCGAGCACCCTGCTACCCCATCAGGTACGTTGACCGACGAGGTTTACGTTACTTGGATATCGTGTTGTTTGATCACATGGGTTTCTGTCCTTCCGTTTCTGACAATTTGATCCTAAATCGGCCATTAGGTTTTCCGCCCTCCAACTATCATCAGGGTGTCTGGCCTAGGAAAGAAGCTTGGTGTTCCGTCTCGACAAATCCTTACCCAGCATTTTCGAGTTGCGTTTGCTTGTATACGCAGGAGGAATCTTCTTCAATTTCCCAACTCAGGTATATTGCTCAGTTCTACAAGCGGATAATCGTGTCTGAAACTACTTGTATCCCATGAAACGTTAAGGCGTATGAGCGTATCGCGTGCCTTTAGCAGTCAGATTTTGCACAAACAAGGAATATCAAATCCTTGAATCTAATGGAACTTTGCCAGACTTGCTCTCACATGGCCTCCACCTCAGTCTGTCCCGTAAGCTTCCTTTTGCCATCTATCCACTTGACTTCCCAGAGGATAACATTGGCCTTTTTGGTCTCCTTGCCCGTAGCCTTATCCTTAGATATCCATTTACTAAAAACCGCCACCACGCCGTCTGGTTTCTCTGAGTTCTCCCAGGTGAGTATCACTGAAAACTCGCCTTGGATCGATGTACTGGCACTGCGGGCGTACTGGAGGCCTGCCTTGAATTGATCGTAGTTGAAGACGCTGTGGTTGATCCTGGCGGCGTACCTCGGTCAGATATAGTTATCGAGATGTGCAGAGCGAAGGGACGTACTTGACTACTAAGCTCGGATCAACTTGTTCATTGACAGCCATGAGGGCGAGTTCGTCATTCGGTTGGATAAACAAAGTATCGTTGATCTCGGTCACCCATTGGGCGAGTGGTATATGTTCGATGGGCATTGTGTATGGCCGGATGTCGTGAGCAAAATGTTGTAATAATACTTCAGTGGCTCACCTACAGAAGTGATCTGTGTCTGCTGTGGATGGCCAGAGAACGCGATTCGAATCGCAAAGGTGGACATATAGATCGTAATTTATGAGCCTTCAAGATCCTAGGCCGTTTCTCAGGGCTGCTCTGACACGCATGATTGCCCGGGCCCCGAATCCGCAACGTCTGCGGATGTGCGGAGTTCCACCGTCGCCATGCTGTCGTCTCGTGCCGTCATACTCCGCAACATGCCAGCCACCCTAGCGAGAGCGCCAGGTACTTGACCCGTACAAAAGCTGGTGGGGCAGATGGCAGCGGCGATGCGCTTATCATTTGTCGCATTAGTCACTTGGACAGAACGCATAAGACAAGCCCCCCAGCATGACCTCGAGAACAATTACACATAGGTTTGTTCTATCAGTATTTGTTGTTGGGGAAAGTCCGCATCAGCGGCCCCACTCACACACACCGCTTCCCTCGCATATTGGGTGATAATTTAAGGTTGCGGAGTTGCCGCGGGGCTTTGGACCTATGCCGCTGATGATGCACTGCAGAAATCGCGCGCAGCTAGTCCTACAACGAGCGATTAAACGTTCGGTAACGGATAACCAATCGACCCTTCGTCTACACCTGCGGATCCACTCTGAATGGGCCTTTAGAGTCGTGATACCGCCGTTCCGTATTGGATGCGGCCAGCCCTTTGGGAAACAAAAAGTCTGGGCTCCTGGAAGAGTTCATGTCTATAAAGGCCACCACAAAAGTTCCATCCACATCACCTTGCTGATCACTAAACTCTCACCTGATCTTCCACCTTCGGAATATTCTGTTTCCCTACTCCCATCTCCTAGTCAAGTATTAATCATACTAAATATGCACACTACAATCTTGATCACAGGCGGAAACCGCGGTATGCCCCTTCCCGCCTTTCTTGTATCATTCTCATCAGTCGGACAGGACTTGGCAAAGCACTAGTAGCCACATACCTATTAACGCCAAACACCACGGTGATAGCGACGATCCGCGACCCGTCCAAGTCCAAGTCCCTGTCTGCGCTTGCTAAAGCCTCAGGATCGAGCCTAGTCACCATCGAGCTTGATATAGCCTCCGCAAACTCCATAGCCACCGCCGTCGAAACGATAGAGGCCCATAAAATTGGTGCTCTTGACGTTGTCATTGCAAATGCTGGCATCTCTGGACCGACCCCTAGTTTGGTTGAGACCCAGGTCTCAGAGCTCCAAAAGTATATTGACGTGAATGCATACGGCCCATTTCAGCTATTTAAAGCTGTTCACCCTCTTCTCCGCCCTTCCACTGCTACAAGCAAGCCAAAATTTGTCTTGATCTCGAGCGTTGGCGGAAGTCTGACGACCATGAACAATTTCAGTACGTATATCTCTGTTCTAAGTCAGCGGGTCGTGTCAGAATCAATCTTTCTGAGATAGAGAACTTTGTACTTGAACACTTCCTTGAGACACTTCGCTAACCTCTGTACTCCATATCAAGTGCCGATCGCGGGATACGGTGCGAGTAAGGCCCTCTCTAATTTTCTTTTCAAATGGCTGGCGCTGGACAATAAGGACATAATTATTTGGGCACAAAACCCCGGGTAGGTGTATCCAAGCTTCCGCCCCTTGGCCGTGAAGGCAGCTAATTCGTGTCACGGGCAGGAATGTGGACACTGATATGGCTCGGGATGGCCTCGATCTGCTAAAGAGCTCCGGGTTGGATCTCTCTTCAGTGCGCTTTGCATCCCCGGAAGAAAGCGCCAGAGCGATAAAGAACGTGGTACGTGAGCTGGGTGGATATGGAGAGATGAGTATAACTGAGGTGACTGACTGGGAGCTGAATAGATTGATGATGCGACCACAGAGATGAGTGGGAAGTTCGTCGACCACGATGGTTCTGAGTTGGCGTGGTAGGGTCTGGACAGTTAACGTTGCGTGGGAAATGAACAAAAGCGGAATCCTTACCATACGCTGTTCATTTTTGGCGTTTTGAAGCGAAACCCAATGTTTAGCCTCCTCTATAGCTGGAAATGACAGAGCTTCGTTCTCCCCATTTGAACCTTGTAGTGCTGAACAAAAATGAGAACGATCAGGAGACTTGAGGAACGACAGAGAGGGAGGCCGAGGTTGGGTGGTTAGTCCGGTCTCGAATAATCTTTTTGGGACGTGTGCGCGTCGAGGGGGTGACTGAAAACCTCCTTAGAGGGCTTCGCGAATCTGACCCCCAAAAAGTTTATTTAGATCTAATATACTAAGGGTTATATAAAGATAACCTACCTTCTCCTATAAGATTGTAAGATATAATAAAATTTAATATACTTAATACTTTATTAGGCAGTCAAGTATTCCTTAGCCTTCTAGCCATCACTAATATCACTATCCAGACTTATTTGCCTCCTAATCCTAAACCAGGTAGCCTAAAGGACCTAGTGATGCTATTTACAGAGCCCCTGTCATGCCTGCCTGCCATGGGGCAGTCCTAGAGTTGCATTTGGTGCGGGTTCGGGCGGGTTCAAGCCTAGTTGGCACCGAACCGCTGCGGTTTTCGGGTTCAAAATTTAAGAAGTCGCAACCAAATTGAAGCCAGTGCGATTTGGTTGCAGTTCAACTGCAAAAACCCACCGCTAGGCCTACCTAGGTATAGCTCAGCCTATACTAACTAACCATGGTTAGATTTGGTTTGGTTTTAGGTTGGTTGAACTGCTAATTCCAACTGTTTTAGCCCTTACCATTCGCCCCAGGGCCCCCTTCAGAGACCCCTCTAACACCCCCTATCAAGCATGCTTATATAAAATTATGATTTTTATACGAGATATATGGTAATTATCATCATACTAATCTAGATCTAAAATATGAGTCCGATATCTATAGGTTTGAATGGGTGGTGGCTAAAAAACTATAGTGGTTGTTAATCCTTAGTTATATATATATATCTCCGCACCACTTTCATACCAACCTATGACAGAGATGATTATTCCCTTATATCTCAGCAACCACCGGGAACTTTTAAATGATATTTATATTACTAGATAGCCTTTGTTTCAAGCTATCTAGTGATATTAATATCAATTAAAACTATCTAGAATTTAATGATTTCTAGGTAAAACAGTGCGGGTTGTTTAAACAGGTTGGTTAAAACAGCAGAAACTGTAACCAGCGGTTACCAAACCCGAAATGGTTCCGGGGTAGAGAAACTGAACCCGAAGCAATTCCCTAGGCTTGCCCCCGACCCCGCACCGCTGCGAGTTCGGTGAGGTTTGGGTTCGATTTTTGCGGTTCGGTTATGCAACTCTAGGCAGTCCTCTTTTCATTCAATCTTTTCCCACCTGATTACTCTGATAGGACAACCCAGGATTTAGAGTTAAGCATATACTCTTAGAGACTCACTTAATATAGTAGTGTAAACAGTTTCGCGTAGCATAATAACTATAAGATATTTCAGTGATCAGATAAGTATACCTAGTTAGGGGATTATCCTAGGCTTGGCTTGTCTACCAGAGTGATGCATATACTATGAGTGTAACAATAAAACAACCACACTGATCATCCTTTATAACATTAATTCTGGATATTCCAGCACATACGACCATAGGGTGTGGAAAACAGGGCTTCCCGTCCGCTCAGCCGTACTTAAGCCACACGCCGGCCGGTTAGTAGTTGGGTGGGTGACCACCAGCGAATCCCGGCTGTTGTATGTTTTTATTTCTGTCTTCTTTTTCTTCTTTTCATAGAAAGCTGACTGGCCCCGTTGGCGGCCAACTTGTATTTTTTAAAGTGATGCCTCCCTTGTGGAAGTTGTGGTTGTGGTTGTTGTTGATGGCCTAGCACTTCACCGTGTGTAGTTTAGGAAACTGGAATCTGACTTCTTATTCTTAAAGAAGTTTGGTTTGTATCGCCATTTGCGCAGCTTTCTCAAGATGTTGAATATAAGTAATTAGACTGCTATAAAACAGCTGTTTGGTATTAAGGCTATTCTGTAGACTGCGGACCTTTCGATCTAGCTAACGAGTATTCTGCAGAGTTTGAAAAGCAGAGAAATTTGAGCCTTTAACTAGTGGTGATGTAGGCCGTAGGCGTACGTAGCCGAAAGGTAAGCCTAGAGAGAACACGCTCTTGATTGAATAGCTTAAGCCCGGTCCCTGCAAAATCGCTGCAGATATTTGCTGAAGTAAATACTTTACCGCGTGCATCTAGATATAGAGATAGAAAGTCTTCTTTATCAATATAATTGTTTGCCGGCCACCTCAGAATGTTTAAGAAGCTTTCTGTACGCGGGCTTAAGTAGCCCAGAAACACCTGTCTTAAGCGGTTGAAGAAGCTGTGGTCCTGTGGAGCATAGGCAGGTAACTAACTAGTTCGTTCGGGTACCTGCATTAGCCATCTCCGCTGTACGGACTAGTTAAGGGCCCCACTGGGCCCCATCCCCATCTGTCAAAATGTCTATGAACAGATGTTTGCGCCTCCCATAATAAATGCATGCTGACTTGAAAGATGGCACACTGCGGTGCAGCGCAATCGATAATCACAATAATTTACTAATCAAAAAAACCATGGCTTATTAGGCAGCTTTTTGATCACAGATAATCCACACAAACAGGGCATAAACCAACCTTAGCGACGGCACAAAGTTTAGGCACCCAATCGTCCAGTGGTGCCTCAAGCCTTTCGTCATCCCCAACCCTTCTCCTGTCCCCTTTGCTCTTTCTCCCTTCTTTTTTACCACTCCCAACAGCCCATCTTCTGCTTATCCTGTTTAACATCCCCTTCTCTTTCTATTTTGCTGTCATTTCCCCTACATTTCTTCCTACAGCGAATCCTCCCTTGGCGCGATGTCCGAAATCAGTGAGGCTCTGATCGTGACTCCATTCAAACCCGAGTCAGCAAAATTACAGGCCAAGAGAAAAACAACCCCATCATCAGAACTCTCTTCTCCTGCTAAGAGCATCATTCTGTCTCCTTCTGATGCCTTCCAGTCAGAGCCAGTCATCCATTTAGCATCTTCTGCCATATTCGCTGCGTCGACGCGACTTTTCCCATCAGGCAGTGCAGTAATCGGTAAGATCCTGTTCTTTACTTATTCTTCAAACATATGTGGATGACTTATTCTTTCATAGGCGCCAGGTCTTCTCTTCAGCTTCCGCACGCCCACCCTGGCCCCGAGCCCGAGCCCGAGCCCAAGCTGCAGAAGGCAGTCGCTGATCTTCTACCCTCGCGACACATTATCTTTCCCTTCAATCTTCGACAGAACCGGAAAGCCTTGGATAATAAGGCTTGGGAGCACCTGTGGAATCTCTTTCCCAATACCAAAGGCGTGTCATTTGATGGGTACTTTTTGGTGTTTACTCTCGGTTCCCTGCCCGAAAAGCCATGGCCGGTCACCATTGCTGGTGTCCAGCCATACTTCACTACCGACCTAAACGACGACGGACCGATTCCCCCAATCAAGGGCGCAAGTAAAATAGTACGCCGCATCTCCGCTGAAGTAAATCTCACCAACGTTCCGCCAGCCAAGATCGATGCCGCCTTCGAACTGGTAATCAACTACTTCTCAAGCTCCAACATTTCCATCACAGAAGTTCAATATTGGAATGTTTTTTTTGTCATTGTCCTTGAAAGCGAGGACATTAATATGGCTGAGGTCCCCAGTGCAATTGGACGTTGTGCGTGTTATTACCTGTATGAAAAGGAGATGGGCCGTCCTCATCCGGCTGAAATTCCGGCCCAGCGAATCCGCGACCCAACTGGCGACGTCGTGGACAATAGCGAATATGAAATTTTGCGTCCTGGTGTGATGCTCGGTTCCGAAAAGCACCCGATCAGTAGAATGGAATTACGTACGACTTCGGGTGTGCTCGTCGAAGATGGGATTGGCGAAAGATACATGACTGTCGCGTCGTACGGTTTTCCACACGGCGATAGGGTCTTCCAGCCATCCGCAGAAGGCAGGGACATTGGTAAGGTTATTATGGAAGTTTCTCATACCGACGTTGCACTTGTCAAGCTGAACGAGAATGTCCGGTTCGTGAACGAAACTTTCGAGACCACATCCCTCGGCGTGCCACCAGCCAGACTAGAGGGATTCATACCCGCAAATGAGTCCGAAATCGGCTCCCCAGTGTATATGAACAATCCATTTACCGGGTACTCCGAAGGAACATGCGGCCCTCATTCCAGACTGCGCATCCCTAGCGACGATCCTCACGGAGTACCACTGGAATGGATCAGGGCTAGGTGGGTCTATATGGGCCAAGGGTTCATAGATCGCCCGGAAGATGGTGCCTGCGGGTCAGCAATTTGGAATGATGATGGTCAAGTTCTGGGGTTCTTTCGATACGCTTCGAGGTCAGAACAGTTTAGGGACTGGTCTTTTGTGGTGGCGTCCGATAACCTTATTGCAAAGGGATTCAAGATAACTGCGCAGTGAACCTTTTTCCGACTACGGCAGGAACAGAATTTAGAGGTATGGATACAGAATAGGTCGCTATTTCATTATGGTCGCGAGGGAGCTCGTTGCAGGATGGCCACAGTGGGTGACGGCCAATTGCGTAAACATTGTCGACTTTTGTAAGTTATATAGCTATTTGGGTGGGGTTTTGTTGCTGTATGTACCTGCAGTATGGCTGAGGGCAGGCTTTTTCAAATAATATCTCCTTACCATTGTAGGGTATCTCTCGCCACCAGCCACCATCCCGTGACCCAAGCTAGGTGGTAAGATGGAACCTGACTATTTCACTGGTTGGCTCCAAGTATAACCGATTCGTCTAGCATTGATATACTGGTATGAGGGTTATTAAAAAGTATGGCTTAGTGGAAAGTACTTCCTTCGGCTGCAGGAGATGCACACATAAGATGGTATATAATGCATCTGCAGTACTGTCAAAGATGTAAGATTATGAAGGGCCTATTGTACGTATCAACCCGATTGAGGTGCACTACAATGACCGTGAATGCATCGACCTGGTCCTTCATCAGCTGGCAGTAGCGGCGTCATCAAGGCCATTCTTTATCCCGGGGAATGGCTCGCTGCAAGATACGTTGCAGGCGATTACAGGCCAGTATAATCTACCAGTCAATCAAAACCGAGAACGTCTACTCATGCATTCTGATAGTCCTTTGTCGCCGAGTTCGACGGCAATACCAATCCGTATGTCCGACAATACGTATTCCACCTCGAGGATGACGTGCCGTTGGACCAATTGCAGCGGGCGTGGGACGATACAATCCGTGCAAACCCTGTCCTGCGCACGCGCATCTGTAATGTCCAGGGCACACGGGGATACATGCAAACGGTGGTGAGCGAAGTGCCCATTTTGGTATGTCCGCGAGATAAGTCTGTCCCGGTTTCTGCAAGAAGATGCACGGCTTCCAATGGTCGCTGGAGACCATTTCTTCCGATACACCATTGTGATTGATGACGACAAGGGGCATTTTGTTTGGACCGCCCACCACGCGTTGTGTGACGGTTCCTCCATCCCCGAGGTGTTGGAGGAGGTGGCTATGCGATTCCAGGGAAAGCCTGCCTCCATCAAGCCACGGACCCCGTTCGGAACGTTCATCCAGCTGATTACTGGGTTGGATGTTGAGCAAGAGCAACGACAGCTGTTTTGACGACTGTCCATTGAAGACCTCAACCCAGTCCCTTTCCCTCCCCTACCACAACTGCCAGACTTCAGGTACATCCATCTGCAACTATCGAGCATTCGCTGCGCCTCACCCAGGAACCAGCGCCCCACGGAGTATCCAAGGCTACTGCTCCTGCGTGCCGCTTGGGCAATCCTCCTCGCTCATTACACCGGCACGCAGGTTATTGTCTTTGGAGCGATCAACAACGGGCGAGCAGCTCCAGTGTCTGGGGTGAGTCGGATGACCGGTCCCACGATCAAACTGGTGCCTATTGCCCTTCGTGTAGACCCCGAGCAGTCTGTGGCGGCTTTCTTGTCCAGCGTCTGGGCTCTCTCTGCGGAAATGATACCGTTTGAGCACATGGGTATGTCGAAGATCCGGCAGTCTCTCGCCCACAGGATGTCTTCTCGCTTTGGATCCAACTCTGGCCAGCGGTCTTTGCATTGTTGATAGTAGGGTATTGAGTTCATCCTAAAACCATGAAAGATATCGCATCTGACCATCTCTTCGTACAGGGTCATATTTAGAGTAGATTCTTCCGGCAGCTGGTCATAGAGTCCCCAAATATCAGGGCGGAGACGGGCCTACCTTGTTACTAAGTGAATTTTGGGCTTTCCCGACATGAGCCTTCGTCACTGAGCCAAAATGTGGATAGAGTGGTTCAGTGAGAATATATGCCACCTTGGATTGCCCGATGAATTTCATGTCCTGTTTCCAGTTCCTGACGGTGGGAAAACTGGAAAGGATAATAGTGGTAAGTTGAGAGTTGATGAGTGTTTCACGTCTGCATTTTATGCAGGGTCACCCTACTACTTAGTCAGTACATGGCAAGCTCCCTTCGTGAGCTAGCATATCAGTCAGCTACCTAGTCTTCCTAGATGGGAAATTACGAATCCAATCGTCTCATACCAGCCATCTTCTACACCTACATCACATTTCATGAATGGCTCTTCACCTTCCGTCATGAGTAGGTGCTGAAAGTGTGTCCGGATCTTCAGTATAGCACTTATTATGCCATGTACTTGGGGCTTTATCTGCCGCCAGCGGCTAGGCGCAAGGAAAAAGAATGGAAGAATATATTTAACAGGTAGCGGGAAGTTGTCTCTGAATTGACATAAATCTGAATGAATGGGCCGGCCTCTGGTGGAGTTGTGATAGTCGCACTGGACGTCGTAGGCTTCAAGCTAGGTATCAGGACCAGGGGGTGACCTTAGGATGCACCTGGACAAAGCACCAGAGAGACCAGAGGGACCCTGGAAACTGGGGCGAATAGCAGAGCAGAGCTTGAAATAGCTCGCTATTAACAGCCTTAAAGAGGATTCAACCCCCTGCCAGATGCGCAGGACTGCATGCAATCTGCGGAGCAATCGGCTCCTTCATCTCGTATTCTTGATGGCGCCAAGGGAAGATCGAGTCTACTTACGGGAGAAAATTCATCGTATAAATTAATCCCGCTCGCATTCTATCCCCCGTTGCAGTTAGCCTTCTCGTAAATATTATTAAAAGAGTGGATACGGAGTAGACGGTGACGCTCCAGAGGCAAGAGATGTAGATATATTGTTTAAAGGGGATACCCTCAACTCCATCTTTGCTCTATCCATTCAACTTCGAATGGCCATTCGTTAGAGACAGATTATCTTCCTACCACTCTTTTGTCACTCTTTTCATTTATATATTCTTGTCACTCCTTTGTTCTCTTCCAAGGGAAAATCTGTATATTAATCAACTGATACGAACCCCCCTAATCATCTGATACAGGTCCACGATAGAATGCTCTCCAAGCTCCTGACGGCGGTCTTGCTGTTGGCTGCCCAAGCCTACACGGCAGACGTGTCCAAGCTCTTCCACTACGAACTGGGACTCAACGGAACTGCCCATCAAGCCGAATTCCAGGAGCGCACCCACGCCGGATACAGACTCACCTACGTCAACGGGTACTACTCGCCCGAGCAGAACCAGACCCTCTTCTCCAGCATCTGGGAGAAAACAGGCGATACCTCCGCCGTCCCCTGGATCAGTCGACACGGCCTCACAGCTACCCAGTACAACGGTCTCTCCACCGATCTCCGCAGCAAGAAATACCATCCGGTCGTCCTCAACGGGTATAACCTCCCAAACGGCGAACGACGCTTCGCCACAATCTGGGAGAAATCTCCCATCGGGGCCTGGAAGCAGGCGGTGGATCTGACGAGCGAACAGCTCAAGGAAAAGGTTGCCAGCCTGGCGCCCCTACGTCTTACCTCCCTCAGCGGCTACACGATCAACAATGAACTGCGCTATTCGGCTACCTGGGGGGAACGCACCTCCTCGGATTGGAAGGGGGAGTGGCTCTACTATGCGAATCGGACAGGTGTCATGCAGGGGGGTGTGAATGCTGCGGAGTGGAAGCCCACGTATCTTCATGCGCATTCGGTAAATGGAGAGCCTGTGTTTGATTCTGTTTGGGAGAGGTATACGGGTCCCGGCTATGGTGTTCAGCTTTGGTATTATGAAGATAATGATACTGCGGAGGGTTACAAGACGGTTTTCAACAGTATGACCAAGCGGGGATATAAGCCCAGGATGTTGACGGGACATTATTCGAAGGACTGTGGCGTGCGATATGTCGGTGTCTTCTATTGAGTCTTCCGTATCAGCTTAGACCTTGTTCTCAGGGGGAATTGGGTCTCTCTTGAGAAGGATGGGATCAGCTTGAAGATGTAGGTACTATATAATAAACGGAGTTGGATCCATTCACACATATCTTACATCATATATCTCTCGCACGACCAACAACTAAGCATGGATGAATTAAACATGGGAATAACTTGTTTCAATGAAGAGGTCTTATCTAAAGTCCTTCAAATTCAGCAAGAAGTATAAAGCAACTAGTCAGGATTCCATGTGCAATGCGACTATTGACATCGCTCGGCACATATGTCGCCCCCCCAAAGGCATCGCCTTGACATGTCACTGCAGAGTCTTAACGACGATGCTCTGCGAAATTACAAATTCTCTATTTAATGCTTGCCGAAGGGAACTACGCCGAGCATTATGCAATAATCCGACACATCGCCTGCTCTGCTTCCACCTGGTCTGCCCGTTGTTACATATGTAGTGTGGATGTGCGATACCACTAACGGCGATTGCTTCGAGGCAGTTGCCAAGCCGGCAAAACGACAACTTCGATATGCGAGATATGCTGGAATGACGGTCAACTACGAGTCCATGCAACTCCGAGACTTTGTAAATACCCTCGTTCTTTCCTGAGGCAGTGCTGACACCTTAGGCACCACCATAGCATGGGATCACGTGGACTGAGAGAAGCACTCAGCCAACCATTGAGACTGCATCGGCTACATTTGCTCTAAGCCTCTAGCCCTTACGGGAGATAGTCAAAGTGGGCTACAATGGATAACGAACAGATCTCAAGTCCAGACGCCAAAGTGGGGCAAATGACTCCGACTTGCCTACCAGCGTCAGCAGGATCGGCGCGTAAGCCGGCGTCTCCAACTGGACTGCAGTGCGCCCACCATTTTGTCCCTGATCTAAACCATGTCTTGTCTTCATCCAACCAACGACAACAACAATAATAATAATGGTTGATGCAATCCGCAGCAAGGGCCTCGCGGGGCCGGGCTCTGGTGTACGCAAGTTTACGCTCTCGTGTTCTCGATGTAGGGCCTCCAAGCTAAAATGTGACCGCAAAGAACCATGTGTCAGTCGTCATCTCTTCCATGCGATTCATCTATTTGAGGCTGGAGGCTCATTCTTCACGTTACAGATGGAATGCGTCAAACGTAGCGTCGGCCATCTTTGCACCAAGGATGAGCGTCAACCGAGAGCCAAACGGTCAAAAACCGAGCACAAAGAGAAGACCGCTGCCAAGAAGTGGGTGAAGCTTGTCATCGCTCCATTAATGAGACCCATTAACTGATGACTATCTTATCAGCGATCCTCCACCGAATGGAGATGGCGTAGCCGAGGCGGAGGAGACAGCGCGACTTTTGGAGCATTTCGTCGAAGAGGTTCCTCGTCCAAGCGCATATCTGCCCGGTGTCTTTGGACCAACACCTTCGTCAGTGGCGCCAGACTTTCCGAACCGGTATTGGTCAAGTATTGACCCAAAGCGACACGGTGAAAAGCTCACCTTGATCCGAGAGATTGTCGACGCGATGCCGGAGCTGGAGATGATTCATGTTCTTTTTGACGTCTTTGTCACTCGTTGCCAAGGTCCCTTGGGGAATGTAGTCCACACTCCGACATTCATGAAGCAAGCTGGACAGTTCCGCAACTGCTTAAGTCTTGCTTCGCCGGACTCTAGGGTCTTGGCCATATCAAGTACAGTCTGTATGGAGAAACTAGGCTGTTTCCTCTTGGCGGTACGTGTAGTATACTCTGCCCAGGAGGCGTCTGCTCACATTATCTTTTGATTGTAGCTGGTACTCGGTCTCGCTTTTCATCCTTCGCCGTCACTACTGGGTTGGACCCCTACGTCTTTGACTCTACGCGTGGAGGAGTTTAGAGCATCCGATATGCGCTCCAGGACCTGGAGATCGCTGAGCTTGCGCTGTCTCCAGGATGGAGTGTCTCTCTTTTGCGGCTCGATCGCCGGTCTACAGGCCGCTGTTATGCTTTTGCTTGACGGCCGGGAGGGCTTGCTGGCGCTCGACGCTGTTCTGGTCACCGCGATATCTGGAGCCCGCAAACTCGGCCTGCACCGGTTGGGTGACGTCAAGCTGGATGCCTCAGCACCGTTGCAAAATGGCACGTCATCACCGGCGGAACAGCAAAATATTCGAACGGAAATAGGCATTCGCATTTGGTAGGTCCCCGGGCAGAATAATCTTTGGTCGGGCTATAACAATTTCGTATAGGTGGGCACTCGTACAAAGAGATTGGTCGCGCGGTCAAGCTCTCGGCTACTACACTGTGCGTCCATCCCAATTCAACACTCGGATGCCGTTGCACATCAATGATGATGATCTCTGTCTGTCGATGAAGTGGGTAACTGCCAATGGCGAAATCACGGAGCGGCCGCGTTCCGAGTTCACAATGCTGTCGTATGCTGTCCACGCCCACGAACTAGCCACCATTGTACGCGAATCTATCGATCTAATGGGATCAGCGACTCAGCAAACCGATGCGATCACCGAATCGACCAAGTTGCGCAAACATCTCAACAACAAGTATGAAGAGTACGTGGCTGGTCTGCCGACATACTTTCGATTAGGAAGCACTGTAGGACTCACAGCCACCGGTCCAATGGCAGCAATCCCCGTGCAACGATGGATGTTGCACCAGCAACTGTGGAGTTTACTCCTGCGACTGCATCGAGCCAATCTCTCTTCTCCGATTGGGCGTGCTTCCTGTCAGCTTCTGGCCCAAAATATTATCGGCACCCAAGCTCAGATCCAGGCGCGATGCGCTGTTTGTGGGACGCTGTCGACCAGCGAGACCCAGCTATTCAACGCGGCCGCTGTGTTGCTTCTCGACCTGCTATTCACATCCCAGCAAGAGGATGCGGATAGTGCCAGTGCACACCTCAGCCGATTGATGTCTCGTGACAAGATCAGGGAAGCGATCGAATTATTACGGACAAAGAGCATCACGGAAGGGTCACCGCTTCATGATCAGCACATGGAGCAAGCAAAAGGGTCCGCTCAGCGCAGTGTCGTTGCTCTGGAAGCCTTGATGAGGCTTGAAGAAGAGGAATCCGAAAATAGCGCTAAAAGCTTGCTGAGCCTCAAGGTTGCTGATATTATCAGAGGACTGAGTGGAAGGGCCGACGCTGCCACCGCGCCGGTACAAGAGCAGTCCCCCTTTGACACCCTTTCTTCGTTTGATATGGCGATGCCGTGTGCCAATGCCGCTGACGGGGTCCCTGATTTGGACGTGCTGCCGATTCTTTCCAATGGTCTCAGCCCTAATTTTTGGCAATTCTTGGAATTTCCGTCACCACAATTTGATGCTCACGCCAAGGAGGTCTTGTTTGCTACACTGAGAGACCCTCCTGGCTTCATTGGGGCGGGGATTTCTCAATTTGCCGAATCCTATAGTAGTATTCCTGACACCCGTATGAATCGCACATCTCCGTCTCTGCGGAGTGAACCTATCAGAACGAGTGGAGGGGGTGACTCCACGCCTCCTCCGAGCGCTGATGCCTACGTTGCCGCCGAGATTTATTATGGCATGGGTGATGGGACAATGACTCCTATGTGATGTCAAGTATCTGGTCCATGTTTCCCTATTCCTTCCTCATCAACACCCTACAGTCCTGATGAAAATAGACCCGCATGCTCATTCAACCCGTTGAGAGATCAAGTACAAGAAGCAGAGTTAAAGAAGCTTTATCTATATGTTGCCGTCTGTTCCAGGCAAATCCACAAAGGGATCATCAGCAAGATCCGAGTGCCAGCGGTACTCCAGACCAAAGGCAACGAAATCCGCATGACGCAGAGCTTTTTCCCTGCTGAAGCCCGGAATTTGGAGTCTCCTCTCCCTGGGGAGAAGCCTTTTGAGCCTCGGGATGAGCCTGGCGGTCCTCTGGTGCAACATACGTACTAGCCACGCTAAGCCCGCGTCGATCCCCGCCGTGACACCAGAGGAAGTCAAGAATTTCCCGTCCTGCCATGACAGCCTCTAGAATTTGTGTAGTGCCGATATTCGTCCCTGACTTGCTGACGGTTCAGTCTTCGACAGTCCAGGCAGGGTTAGTTCTGCAGTACTTTGTAGTTACTGGTTTTCCTCTGTTGGTCGGTCAACTGTACCTCCACGCTAAGGTAGCCTGCACTTGGGAGGACTCCTCCGGACCCGTGAGGGACAATGATGCTAATAAAGTATGTACCGTTCTTGAAAGTCTAACTATGAGCAAAGGCAGTAAGCCCTCGTATTCTCTAATGAAATAAAGGCATCTACACTGCTGAACTACTGCATAGGAGGCACAACCTTCTTATAAGCAGCCTGCACTTCAGGCAGCGCATCCAGCTTCCTAATATAAGCCTCAATAGCCGGGTACTCCGTTAACGGCCTGAGCGCAGACCCTGCCAGCACCGAGCCCTTCAACCAGGGCAAGATAGCAAAGTCCGCGATAGTCAGCCGGCCCAGCGCCACGAATCCATTCTCCGTGGAAGCGAGATGCTTCTCCAGCACGGCCCGCAGACGCTCCACCTCAGCCTGGTACCGCGCAATCACAGAGCCGTTGGGCTTCTCGCCGTGGGCGCCCTCGTGGAAGATGAGGAACCAGACTAGTTGGCCTTGGTAGGGGCCCAGACCGGATACCTGCCAGGCGAGCCACTGGTTAACGGTGGCACGTTCTTCGACGGTGTTGCCGGCGAGGTTGCCACTGGGGTCGTACTGAAGTCGTTGTTAGCTGGGTGGTTAGGGTGAAAGGTGGGTACGGGAATGCGTACCTTCTCCGCCAGATATGTCAGGATAGCGCCGCTCTCAAAGACGGTGAAGTTGTTGTTCACGTGGTCGATCAGGGCTGGGACTCGGCCGTTGGGGTTGACCGTGGACGTGTACTCGGGGTCCTTGACGGTGCCTTTGCCTTCGCCGAACTCAAGAGGAACACAGTCGTAGTGCAGACTGAGGTGCTCAAGGGCCATGGCCACCTTGACGGGATTGGGGCCAGGGCCTACGGGCATTCATTAGCGAGCTCTAGGCCAACCGAGAAGAAGTCCTACCGGCGTGGGTGTAGAGGGTGAAGGGAGCCATTGCAAAGATGGATGAGGAGAAAATGCGTTGTTGGATTTGGTTGAGAATCAACTGAGACTGTGATCGAAGTGCGGTTTCTTAGGAGAGAAGCCCTGTACACAAGTAATTGCTCTTGTGTATGATGGTGTTGGCGAGGCCAAGATACCCTCCAGCGCTGTCTTTATACCTCTGAGGCCATACTTGCAATACTAGAAGCTCTTTCCAGAACTCCATTATTGATAATCAACGTTGATCCGCGGAGCAAGAGAGCCTCCTTCATCCGAGGCCAAGACAGAGCTATGTGTAGTGACAGCTATGGCTTCAGCGAATGGTAGCACGATGTCACGGTCGAGATGAGCCTAAAACAAGCCAAGCGTTCTTAGCTCTCGAGACCGACGAAACAGGTCGACGAAAAGTGTCTCGTCTGTGGAGATCATCGAGACTCCGAGGACGATCTGACATGGCACTTTCGCCCCGGAAGTCCGAAAGTCCGAAACTCCATGGACATACAAATGAAAGTCATCTTTATGATGTTGAATCATCCGAGAATATCATGAAAATCAGTGATATCACCTGCTCATAGAATATGGATATGCATTCTTATATGGTAGGGATATCAAATACCGCGTCGAATCATCATATAGTAGGCTATCGAATACTATGGTATTGATATTGAATTCTCATACAGGTACATCTTCTTTGATTCTAACCTCGAGATATAACCACTCAGATGTATAATCTGCATTTTTATAAATGGGATGGTCTAATGCCGATATCCGGATGCTTCAGATCCATATCTACTCTGAATGCGTCTGGTTAGAGAAAACATGGTAGAGGAAAATTTACACCTTTCGCTAGCATAGCTCCTGTTGGGTGACAACAATAAGCATAGGGTTAATGAAGACGGCACCTTAGAGCAGCTACACACCTGCCATACGCGATACAGCCACTCAGGGATAAAAATGACAGGCAAGCAGCGAACAAGACAGTAATTGCTGGAAATACGCCCTTCCTATTCAAAGCATTGCTATACCAAACTCACGTCGCCGCACGATGACTCGGTGGAGGTGTCCTGCATCTCAAAATATGCATTTTTTTCATTCACCGACCTCCGTAAGGTCTCTAAGCATTGTGGACAAACCTTCAGTCTTGCCAGGTTCTCATCCTGACAAGCGAAAAGGTCTGTCTCTTCACTGCATCTGGTCGCGATTTGCATCTTTCTCTGACATGTCGGGTCTTCACTAAATCCAGATGGCTCTATCACACTAGGCTTTTGGCAACCAGGGTCCCAGGGCGTCGTCTTCAACAGCACATGTCCTTAAAGACCGCCAACGCTGGAGAATCACAGCCGTCTTCGGAAAGTTTATCAGACAGCTTTGCGACCGCACCCAGGACGTTGTCAATAAGCTTGCTGAAATTTCCGGCAAAGTTAATCATGGTTACTATTTCGAACCAACGCAGGCATTTTCCGGACGTCAGGAATTTGGTAAGCTGCTGAACCATCATGTCTTTTTTGGAAAGCTCATGATAAAACCTGTAAGCATGCGTCGACAGTGGCAGGCGCTTGGAACTCGCGCTGTTTGTCAGGGTCCAGGCTTTTCACATATTTTTTAACGGCCTCCTCCCATGAGTCTGTCGATGGCCTTGTCCATATAAAATAAACACCGTGTCTAGCACTGGGCTCTGCATTCGAAGGAACAATAGTACCATTGTTGTTTCAAGTCAGCAAATCTCGAAGGTAAGTAGAATCAAATGAGGATAGTAATACATTACAAGTATGCAAAATTAACGTATACTTTGGATCATCGCTGCAGGGGACCCCTCATTACCATCGTGCGATCGATGTTGCGGCAATGGAAGTCCTGGAAGCCTTAGGCAGAAATCAAAGCACAACAATGGTAACCTGCCTAAGTCAAGTGTTTCTCTTTTACACCCTGAGTGCTTTTATTCTTCAAATTCTCCAGTAACTTTTCTCACATACGGATTCGGTCTGTGCTGTCTGGAAGCATTTCTCTACCTCGGTTCTGCATATCTTGCCGCAACCCTTAAGAGTTTGTGGCTGACTGAGGTCCAAGTGTCAGGCATGCAAAGGAGATGAGACATGAAAATAGAATGTGGATCTTTACATGGCTATATTCTCAGTTCAAAGTCTCGACTTTCGGTCGGAGCGAGGCCTGGATTGCACGATGGCTCTGCTCGGCAAAGCGATGCACGCATTCCTGGCATGTCATGGTGTTGGGACACTTCCAGTACCTGCGGAGAGCATTTGTAGTTGAAAATGGCTACAGGGCTCTGTTGCAATGATACAGAAGACAATCTGCTGCTTTAGTTTTGGTGACATTGGCGTTGATTTCATCTAGAGGTAGGCTCTTTCAAGGCCGGTTTTCGTGCTGACAATTTCGGCCACCGAAGCTGTGTCATTAGTGATAACCCACGAGGCCACGACTCTCAACCAACTTTCAATTTTGATAGCAGCGTAATTCAATATGAGTGAACGCGAGAGAGAGCCACTGCTTTCGCGCAGCGAAGCAATTCATGATACCATTCACGACCCTCGGAATGCCGCTTATCGAACGCTTCCTCTTGCCTTACTCGCCTCTCTCGGCATGGCAGCCACCACTGCCACTAGCATTTACGCCTACGCTGATCTCCTTTGCCAGGATCCGACCGCCTGTAAAGATGGCGAAGAAGGCGCCTATGCAGCCGTGGTCGCTATCGCCAATGGAATCGCCCATGCGGTGGCCATTATGATCCTCGGGCCGCTGGAGCAACTCATCAAGAAACATATACGAGCCGGTCTGCTAATCTGGATTGTGTGCCGTGCAGCCAGTGTATTGTGCCTTGTCATCGGAGGTAGTTAATGACTTTACTGTTTCGAGCCTTTCTCGCTGACCATAGCAGTATCCATTCGTAGTGTCACCATCGCAGTGTCAGGACGCATTTTCGAGGGTCTCGCGTCAGACAACCTGCTTCATTTCAACCTCAACACTATCTATGTTTCTCTAACTTCGCCATCATCTGGTCGAGAAATGTCGCAGCTCATTGCCGCTTCCCTTGGACTGTATATGCTAGGGACAGCTGTCGGTCCCCTTGCGGTGAGCGTCTTTCAGAGCTACACGGCGAGCTTCACTGCAGCCTTGGTCATCTTCAGTGTAACGCTGGTATATCTGGTCATCTTTGTCCGTGTACCAGCTACGCAAACTGTGCCCCAGATGCAACCATATTCCAAGATCCTTTCAAGCCTCAGTGTCCTGCTCTCTCCACTCCGACTATTCTGCAATCAACCCCGCGCCATCCCCTATGGGCTCTCCCTGCTCCTCTACACCACCGTCCAGGCCCATCTCTTCCCCGCAATCATGGTCTTTGCCTCTATCCAGCTGCATTTTGACTCTTTTCAAAACGGCCCGCTTGTATCCACTGCCGCTACATGCGCTGCCTTGCACCTTTTATTCCAATCGTCCGTCCTGCGCAGTCTGCAACGACTGAGGCCAAATTCAGACAGATTCACAGAGTGCACGGCAGTACTCGGAGCACTGGTCATACAGATGCTCGCTCTCGCAGCCATCACCCAAATACGGAGTGCTGGCCAACTGTACCTGGCTGTGTCAGTTGCAGCAGCCGGGCTACCCCTGCCGGCTTTCTTCAAGAGTCATTTCGTTTCGTTCATGCCAGATGCGTCGCGAGCGATCACAGCATTGGCCTTTATGGAGAATTTGGGAGGCTTGGTGTCGCCGCTTTTGCTTGGGAGCTGGCAGTTCATTGCTCCAGGGCCTTCTGTATTTGCTTTTGCGGTTGCATTACTGGGAGTGAGTCTAGGATTGTTTCTTTGGGGAGAAGTATTGTGCTTTAATACATCAACTCCAAATGCGTATTAAGCAATTATACCTAGCAGACCTACCTTACCTTAATAATGCTCACTTTTTGACATATGCATAATGCATTGTTTATATCATTATGGTAGCTAGACGGGAATCACGTGATATTGCCCACCACCACGTTGTTTGTCCGCACTGTCAAGTGTCAACTCGTGCATCAGTCCATTTCTCTCCGTGTTTGACCAAGCTCCCTCTGATCTTTGTACCCTTCATCCCTGCAATGAGTGAAGACAATCAATTCAGATCGACATATGCTTTCTGGCTCCCACCTGAGCTCTGGATGCGAGTCGCATATTTTCTACCTCGGATGCCCGATCAACCCAGATGGCAGCCGTGGGTCAAGTATCGCGCGCTGAACAGGATGTTCAAGAAAGAGATTGAAGATTACTACCTCAAGCACTGGATCAATGGTTCTGAAATCTGGGTGAAACGCGAGGAACCTGTCCCGCCGGATCCCCCTGACTTATATAGCCCGTATCTGCATGAGTGTTATAGTTTCTCTGGCTTTCGTGATTCTGAACAGCGCATCGCTGTTTTCGAGGGTCAAAGATTGAAATGGACAGATCCACGGGAACGTGAGCACTTAATGCAAATTGAGAAAATGTTGAAACAATTCGACGAGCCAGGATACCATCCTTACATCACCTTTGAGATTGAAAAAGGAGTGACCGATTTACTTCCCATCGACCTTCGTTTTGGGAACACCATCACAAGTAGTTATTTTACCTTTGACTGGCGAACTTATCTCTCCACTCTGCTTGACGAGCAGCGCTGCCTCGATGAGTATGAAGCGGTCACCGGGGTATGGTATTCTTAGATCTTGCTCCAGTTGTTGTTTCAATGCTCACCAGGACAGTACAAATCCCAACTCCGACTGGCATTAGAATTGAGATGGATGATCGACGACTTTGAGATGTCGCATAAGGAAGCAATGCTACATCTGGTGCAAGCAGCAGGAACCGAGCTTGTTGGCTGTGATGGCCGACTACTCGAAATCCGCAGGCGTCGACGGTACCACTTAGGACTCAAAATTGGCAAATTGCGGCCTCGACCTCCACTTCGCTCCTTCGATTCAATAGATCCTTTTGTACCACATGGCTACCCCTATCCAATGAATGTTCTTGAGCGTCGCTTTACACAGCTCGATGAGGACCACGTGGCAGAGACGCTACTGAACTTTGCAATAATATCGGATCAGGCGTGCGATGCACAGATAGAGTGGTAGCGGTCAAGCAGTCTATGGGCAAAGGCGCTGTCTTGTCCGCTGGTCCCTCGAAGGACTTCTCAACGCAAGCTAAAACACTCCAGCCCGGCATAGCTCTCAAATCAGAAAGAGGGTTCACCAGGCTGACAGCCTGAGTCTTACATATTAAAGACGATCGTCTCCAAGTCTCCCAAGGAACCGAAAGCTGGGATCACCGGCAGCTCCACGATCAAAACAAGTGTCCTTCGTCGAATTGAGCCTCGAACTTTGCCCCTCTTCGTTGGTTTTTACCCGCGCCACGACTGCAGCATAAATCGATGAATGCTTTGCGGTCAAGCATAGCGTGCATCATCGAACAACATTTCAAAGTTCGATCCAATGATCCTTTCAATATCAGCTGATATCGTCTCGCCTCTCTGGCCTGCAAGAAGATGTCACTGGCTGGATCTCATTCGGCAGTAGTCGTACACCCATGCACTTGAAGCTGACCAACCAATGAATGTCGCACAGGCAGCTGCAACATATTTCCGTCGCATAAGGCTGTGCAAGATCGACCGAAAGCCGAAGGACGAGCATTGACCGTATGATGTAGCAAGGTTGATTGCCACTTCGCGAGTGTAGGGCTCCAAGATGCGGGGTTGCCCAGGAGGTATAACTTGCCAACGAGGTTCAAATCTGTCAAGGTTGACCACATTACGACCGGAGTAACTGTCTCTTCATCACCAAAAGGACATCATGCAGTCCACAGAAACCATTCAAGCGGTGCAAGACTATTATGGAGGATTAGCTGAGCGCGGCTCCACGGACAAATCTGAGAACTATCAGACCAGCGTTGCGAAGGCGTTTGGCTATGACCCAGAGGATCTGAAATCTCTTCCCGAGAATGCGAATCTTGGACTCAGCTGCGGTAATCCTTTGGCGTTGGCAAGCCTAAGAGAAGTATGTGTGGCTGGACAGTTGCCTGCGCACGGCTGACGGCCAGAAAATAGGGTGAGACTGTGATCGATCTAGGAAGTGGCGGCGGCATCGATGTCATTCTTGCTGCGCGCAAAGTCGGTCCGAAGGGAAAGGCTATCGGAGTCGACATGACCAAAGTGAGTATTCACTTCTACAGAGCGGATTGTACGCTTCCGGCGAGAGACTTACTTCCAATCAACCAGAAAATGCTGGCTCTCGCCCACGAAAATGTCGAAAAAGCAGGCATCACCAACGCTTCCTTTGTCGAGGGATTCATCACGGCTATTCCACTCGAGGACTCGATAGCTGACTGCATCATCAGCAACTGCGTCGTCAATCTCGTGCCAAAAGGGCAAAAGAGCCTTGTCTTTCATGAGATGTCTCGGCTTTTGAAACCTGGAGGGCGAGTTGCGATCAGTGACATCCTTGCTCGCAGAGAGCTTCCGCCCGAGATCGCGAACGATTTGGCGCTGTACGTTGGCTGCATCGCTGGTGCAAGTCAGGTCCAGGAGTACCATGCATATCTGAAGGACGCCGGGTTTAGCGGTACCTCGACCAATCCACTTGCGACTGCTCGGAAGATGCTGATTCTATGCGCAGACATAACGATTGTGGACACTAAGGCAGACCTCAACGTCTACAAAGATATGCCACAAGAGAAGTCTGCCTGTTGTGGCATGTCCTGCTCCGATGTTCAAAACAGTGACAAGATTCGAGACTATGAATGTAATGAATGGGCTGGTGAGCTTGTACTCGATGAGGTCTTCCATCATCGCTAACCCAGTCTCTAGGCTCCTTCCAGATATACGCTGTCAAGCCAGGATTGTGAATGACATCGGTCATTGTTTCTTTCATATTTCTAGGAAACATGATTGAGAGCAAACTACGGTCTGGCAATAATACCCATCTTTTATTCACCTAGAATGAGATGAAATGCCGGCTCAGGCAGAAGGAATCCATCTCCTGCCGCTCTCAAGTCCATCGATGGGGCTTAAATAGGATAATTAAAGTGGTTTTTTTTTTTTTTTTTTTTTTTTTTTTTTTTTTTTGGTTGGTTGAGGCAAAAGAGATTCAACTGAATGTAGAAGACGCTTGCCTGAAGGCATTCTTATTGAGAATGATACTCGGTATCCTAGTGGAGTTTCCACCTGTCCGTCCGCCGATTGCTCCCTTGAAGAGAGCTCAACCAGCTAGCTTAGCCCCGTGAAGGTGAGCTTTAGTCGAGCTTCGGTTAAGCAATGGTCCAGCAGCGCAACCTTGTTACGCGCAATTGACAAGCCCATATAGTCCTGAGGAAACGGACGTCCTCTCTAGCTACTCAATGGTCATTGTAATCCACTCCGACGAAGGAGCTTCTCCGGCTGAGAGTAGTGGAAGTGCGTTAAATCTCGAAAGACGATCGGCGGGTCAATGTTTTTCTCCTTGTCCTACGTCGAGGCACCGGAGTCGTTAAGCTGCAGACGAGGTCCACAGCAGTTCATGGACGCTAGCCACGTAAGCCCTCGGCCTGCCGTATCCTGATCTCTTTCAGTTCGGATATCGAATGTTGCACATCGCTGGTTTGGATCTTCGAACTTAAATCTACTCGACGCATGCCATTCTCAGTCACTCTCATTGTCTTGATTGGTAACCTGGCTTGCGACCTGTGTGCTAGTGCCGACACCACTTTCGCGCCGGGTGTTAGTACCTGTTCTTCGGCCTGGCATGGATGTATCCGTGGTCGTAATGGCTCTTTCGCCGACAAATTTGTCACCGGGCCAAGGAGCCTTGCACACAGGACACTGTTCAGCCTGCCGCATACGGAAGAAATTCCGAGTGCACATATCGTGAAGCCGGCCCGAGCAGTCACGGTTGCCGCAACGTTGACCCTTTCGAGACGTCAGTTTCCATAGTAATCAGAAGGAGTCTAGACTGCAGACTCACCACCGTGATAATATCCTTGCATGCTGCGCAGAACTTGATCTTATCCACTCTCCGCCCTTCGTCGTTCTCATTGTACGTAGCAATAAGCCAGCCACGCAGCTCCATCAGCCCCGCGGACTCAAGCTGTAGAATCCCTTCCGGCTCTTCTCTAGCCAGCCTTCCTCCTCAAGCTGCTTCAAGACCATCTCCGCCTGCGACATGGTCAAAGACTGCGCTGCTCCTCCCTGAGTTTGCTGCGTGGCGGCCTGGGACTCCCGTCGACTTGAATCCGAGGAAGCCTTAGCGAGCTGCATGGCCTGTATACCACTGACTACCATGGCCTCACATCGTCGTGTATTGTAAGTATCGAAGATCGCGTCAAGAACACGCTTGATGAAGGCAATCTCGTCTGCCGAGTAGGTGGTGGCTAATTGCATGAGGGGATCACTGGTGGTATTCACAAGAGCATATACTCGTTCAGCTTGCGTGGTTCCGTTTAGTTGTTGGTCAATCTGTAACTGGCGTAGCGTGCTCCTGATTTCCAGGTCGAACGGAGAAATTGCGGCGTTGGCAGCATCGATATAGGAGTCGAGATCTTCTTGCGATACATCATCAGGGGAGACGAGCTGGCCCTCTTCCATCATGCACTGATTAGCAAGTCTCTCATGTCTCTCGTGTATGACTTCATACCGTGCGCCGAAAAGATCGCTGCCAGAACAAGCCTGGCTTCCTCAAGCGTCATGGTCGACCGGGCCATGAACGCTTGGAGAAAGGCGCGGTTACTATCGTTGTAGCCATTCGCCCCAGCATTATTTGCCATTATGTTGTTTGTGACAGTTGCCCTCCGCTAAGTCAAGAGGCCAATCTACCGTTGATTTTTTGAGTACAAATCTTAGACCTTTGGATTCTTTTTGCGGGGAAAGTCATTGCGACGCGATCCAACGCGACCCGCGTTATCGGACGCCAAGACCGAAACGGGCAATTTATGGAGATTGCATCAAGCTTCGCATTGATGGCCTTTTACTTGCGCTAGACGGATTTCTGACTATTAGCACTTAAAGGTCACTGATGCTGCCTTAAAGAAAGTAAGAATATGATCATGGTAGCTACTAATCAGAATGAGCTAGCTTTGATATCATGCTAAGCGAACAAGAAGGTACAGATGACGGATGTCACAATCTCCCCAACGCCCGAATATGGAAACGAAATCATAGACGAAATCCCCCTAAAATCTCCGCCTGGTAGGCTCCGGGCTAGGACTCCGGCTAGCACTTCTCGGGTCCCGGCCTCGTTCTTTGAGCCACTTCTTGGTGCTCAAGCGAAGCTCACGGTCCAGCTCCGGGCTGGGATCTTTCCGGTGAATGAAATTGCAAAATCCGCCTCGTACGCAGCCTTCGCCACTATTTAACCGGCAGCACGCTTCTCGGAAATCTGTGACAGGTGATAGCTCGCAGTATATCGGCCGCGCTGCGTACCAGCGCGAATTGAGCGCATCGCACGCAGCTTGTGCGTCTTCTTCGTACTTGAATCGTGCGTAGACGTTGCCGATGAGATCTGCATAATAAACTCAGTTAGCGATAGTCCCCTAGGTCCTGATTTGCAACATAGCACTTACGGTCATTGTTGTTGTCGCAGACAACCAATTCCTCCAACTCGCCGTACTTGCACATCTCGCACCACACATCCTCATAGAACGCATCGAAGTGGTTTTGCATCTGGCTGGGGTTCATCTTGTTCTTTGGGTCGTAGGCTGGGTTCTGATACATGTTGGGCATCAGGATCGTCTGGGAGTATGATGGCTTGACATGCTTGCGGGAGCATCTGTCGCCGTGTCTGCAGGCGCCAATCTTGTAGTAGAAGGAACAATTGACTTTGTCCTGTTCCGTACCGAAAATGGAGGCGAGATAGTTGGCCATGGCGATCAGTCGACAGTAGAAAGTGCCCGGGTCACTTAGATTGAGAGGAAGGATTGGAAGGAACGATCGGGAGGCGAAAAGAGAACTGTCAAGTGACGCGATGAAGAAGAGTGACAGAAGGTAAAGAGAGGGAAAGAGGTGGTAAGATAGTGCTAGCGCAGGAGGTGAGGCCTATATGTCCCTTCCCATAGCTTGAAGATTCTGGAGAGCTCGATCGCGTGGCGGAGATGCTGACTAACTCTTCTTGGAATTTTCTGGCCTCAGGCCAAACCGTGTGGAACAATAATGTTCCGCGCGCATAATTAGTAATAATGCATTTTATATCACCTAATCTCCATCTGCCTGTCATCGCTACCATTGCATTCGATCATCGGGACGGACTGTGGGCAATTTGTTCTATGCAGTAAATCAGACATTTCACTATACACACATTTAAAATCTCAAGTCAGGTCTTATTCTTGTGTTCTATTCTGAGCCCACTCACACTAATGTAAGCCCTCTCACATCTACATCAGGCTCAGCTCCCTCCACCATTTGCGCAATCACTTTCCCAGTTCCCAATGACAATGAGATTCCCCAAGGACCATGACCTGACGCAACAAAGACTCCTCCCCTTTTTCCACCATTCTCACATCTGTTTCTAGAGCCAGTTTTGAGCCCACCTAGCAAATGATCGTCAACTCGAGTGACGAAGGGAACTCCATGCGCGGAGACAGGTCGGAAGCATAGGCCTTCACGCAATATCTCCAAGTCATTTTTGTTGGCAATGCCGTCTGTTGATTCCACATTGCCTTGGGCTAGTGCTCCCATCAGATGAACGGCCGCCTTTTTCAATCGTTCCATCTCATTCTGATCCATTAATTTGCATGAGTCCTCCGCCTGAGCTGGAAGAGGGATATGCGTGTCATTCAGACCGGCTATGTAGATCTCACCGCCTTGACGAGAGAAAATCTCGGGACAGAAGCCGCATGAATCAGGGTGTGTCGTAAATACGGCATGACTGCGGCTGGCGTATGTTACCCTCTCGTCTTGGAGTGTGTGTCTAGGAGAACGAACGACAAGCGAATATCCAGCCAAAGGGGTGATTGGGATTGAAAGACGAGATGAAGGGAGCAGTTCATTATAGACTTGCGGCGTCCAGGGTCCAGCACAGATGATGATATTTGTGCATGGAAGTGGGCACTCGGTCTGAGTAGCCAGATTGTTGATTTTGACCCCGGTGATAACTCCACTGACTTGGTCTGTAATGACGGATGTGGCCTTAGCTGGGTTGTGCAACTTGACACCGCGGGACAAAGAACTCTCCAAAAGAAATCTTGCCAATCTCGATGGGTCTCTAAACGCCGTCAGTTCGCCATGCGGCAGAGTTCGCAATAATCATTACTAACACTTGGGCAACAGTGTCATCATCGCTAATCTTCTCAAGGACCCCTTTCTTCTGCTTCGTCAACCAGGCGGGTACCTCCACATGAATAGGACTGCTGGAGCTGGCAGCTGCTTCTGCTCGACTTGTTCCTGCACTCAACCAGTCGTCTCCAGAAGCACCTCTTTTGTTATTCTTCTTGGAAAAGTCGAGGCTCAGTGCTGTGCCTTTCATGTATCCCCATTTCTCTGCCCTCCATGCTTAGCCGCCAGCGACTGATGCAGATTGAATGAGAGTTCCCCCAGGGGTGCAAGAGCTGGCGTAAACCAGTCCTTGGCTAGGAAACCTGCAGCATATCCTGATGCAGCACTGAACAACTGAGACGATGCCTCAACAATATGGATCTCGTCGGATGATCCATTTTCAGATAGGTAGTAGGCAATTGAAGATCCGATGATGCCTCCTCCAAGAATCACAGTGGACATATTGCCGTTTCGGAGTTTAGGGATTGTCCAGGTCAATTACGCCGCTATGCGGCTGTCTATAGCCTGGGTAGAACTACGACAGGACCTGATATGTGGACAGCCTTTGAATAATGTTGGACAATTGACCCATGCTTATGGGAAAGAAGCTTTAGAATTTCATACCTCCCTATTCAGGTCATGAAGTCGAGAATCAACTCCGTAGCTTCCGCCCGTTCTTGTCACTGAACATATGAATAACGGTCCTCCGAGTCCGCGGTAAATAAAGATGGCTTCGGGCATGCACTTCACCAACAAAGAACAAGAGTAGGTTTTATACTTTAAATTTTCGGCTAAGGACACATGGCACCTGTAAACGGGAGGGTTTTATTTGGGCAATTGAGGAAATATAATCGTAGATAGAGGTATCGATGGCATTATTATTCTGCGGCATCTTCGCCGACAACCCGCCGGTCCCCGCGTTCCCCTCACTGCAGAAATTACATCACTGCTGCTGGCAGCGATTTTTCTTCGTTAATCCCAACAACACGATTGGCCCTGCGCATTCGTCTTTGAGAATTACAGAAAGTCCAACTTGAATTCCTCTGGGCTTCTAGTCTGCATCTAATCTCGCTTTTATTCGTTGCTCTCTTTTGTCCATAGTCTTGGAGACAAAAATGCCGGGTAAAACCATCATTGTCACCGGCGCCTCGAGAGGTACTTCCATCAAGCATCCCCTCAAGTACACCATACTGACTTGCATTCCACAATTCTCTCAGGCATCGGACTCGCCATTGCAAAGTACCTTCTTACCGCTCCACAATCGCACAATGTCGTCGTGATCGCTCGCAGCATCGAACCTCTCCAGAAGCTCAAGGAACAGTACGACAAGCAGGTCGAGGTGCTCAACGGCGATTTGGCAGATTTCACTCTCGGCCAGAAGGCAGTCGACCTGGCTATCAAGTCGTTTGGTCGTCTTGATGGGTTGGTCCTCAACCATGGAATCCTCGGACAAGTCGGCAAAATCGACAAGGCAGACCCAGAACAGTGGAAGCTCGGATTTGACGTGAATTTTATCAGCTTCGTCGCATTTGTAAGACATGGCCGTTGCTGGATGCTGGTGTTCGAATGCAAAAGAAACTAACTGACTTCCATAATAGATCAAAGCTGGTCTACCAGCGCTTCGCGAGGCCAAGGGAAAGATTATCTTCACCTCCTCTGGAGCTTCGGTGTCCGCCTACCGAGGCTGGGCTCTTTATGGAGCAACCAAAGCTGCGATGAATCATCTCGCCTTGTCTTTGGGCGAAGAAGAACCCGACGTTACCACCGTCTCGATCCGGCCGGGGATGGTTGACACTGAGATGCAGCGCGAATTGAGAGAAGACCATGCTACGAATCTTGAGCCCCAAATGCATTCCAAATTTACAACTGCGCACAAGGATGGAAAGCTACTCAAGCCCGAGCAGCCCGGCCATGTGATGGCTAAGTTGGTCCTTGACGCTCCATCTTCACTCAGCGGAAAATTTTTCTCGTAAGTCATCTGTTGATTCATGCTAAACGCTAACTAACGACTAAATAGATGGAATGACGAAGCTCTGAAGGACTTCCAAACATAGATATTCATCTACCATTGAGGCCTATATATATGACCGTCAGTACACGTCGGAGCCAACGAGCAGATAGAAATAAACGGCATGATATTGTAATTATAATCAGTCGAAAGATGAAAAGCAATACATTTTAGAAGCATTAGGTGCAGAGCACCTTCATACTTAGCATGGAATGTAGGGTACTCATCATATAAATTGGGGAGAAAACAGAGAGGAAAAGTGCACCGTACCTATAAGCTTACGCAAGTTCGTGTATGCGAAGACATTCAGACCAGCCCTTAACCATCAAAATACAACATTTAAATGAAGAGTTTTGGCGAATGGAGCCACAGTCGAGCTCCGCATGGAGTCAACCAGTTAGAGCCTAAATATACTTCAAGCTATTAGCAAAAGATATAAAATCTTTAGACTTTGAAGCAATGGTGGAAGAAGAGGGGATATCAGTTGGTCCGTTTGGCTTGGACAGTGTTCGTCACCACAGAGTGGTATGATAGGGGCGACAACAAGGTTCATCATGTAGAATTGCAAGGATCTTGGATAATGTAGCTAACATACCTTTTGACAGTTAGTGCTACTTGGTGTTATGGCGAGCAAAAGTAACATTTGAGATCACTTCATTGAAGACCTCGGAGACGTTTTGTCTCGCTTGTTGTTGTGTGATGAGAGAGAAAAAGATTGCAGAAAAAAAAAATGCTTGCAGATAAAGGTTGAAGGCGGTGTATTTCTGCCTTTGTTCTTTAGCCCGTGTCGAGTATCTCCACGCGTAGTGGGATTTCATCGACTATTTATCAAGACTAAGAGCCATCTGCCCCACGCGGACTTGCTATCACAAGATATAACCCTCGAAGTTCGCGAAACATTGCGACATATGAACTGCGCTTTCATCTGAGACGATTTATTGCCCATCTACCATGTCTGATAGAGAGTTCAGCTGTATGTAGCTTCTTTCCACCCATACCTTGGCAGCCCGGCTGACACTTCAACTCATACAGCGAATGATGACCTATCGCTTCCCAAAGGTACGTAACCGAAACCCGCGTTGAGTATATCCCTTTGTCGCATTTTTTGGTGCGATTATCGCTTCGCGGTCTTTAATACTCTTACGCCCCGTGCAATCCTACATATAACTTAACTTTTGCTTCCCCCGCAGCGACGGTCCAAAAGATCATTACAGAGATCCTGCCACCATCCTCCGGTCAGACGTTCTCCAAGGATGCTCGAGATTTGCTCATGGAGTGCTGCGTCGAGTTCATTACTTTGATCTCCTCTGAGGCCAACGATATTAGCGAGAAGGAAGCTAAGAAAACAATCGCTTGTGAACATGTGGAGCGGGCTCTGCGTGATCTTGGATTCGGTGACTATATTCCCGACGTCCTTGCCGTCGCAGAGGAACATAAGGAGCAACTGAAGGTTTGTATCCTGCAATACTCGCTCTGAAAGACAGTTTTTTTGCTAACGAATGAATAGTCGCGAGAGAAGAAGCAAAGCAAGATGGAACAAAGCGGCCTGACAGAGGAGGAACTGTTACGACAGCAGCAAGAGTTGTTTCGCTCGGCCACAGAAAAATACAATGCTGCTCCCGAATGAGCTTCTCGAATCGATACCGTGCTTGTTGTTCCAGACTTGTCGATCAAATAGACTCATGCGTTTCGGAGTTCTTTGTGCTTTGGGTTCCATCTTCGTACTGATGGCACGTACATGCTTTGAGGGGGGAAATAGGTTCGGAGTTTAGGTGGTTATTCAGGGTTTGACTCGGGAAATGCTTAGCCCGTTTGCGGTGTTGTCTGTATTTTCATCCCTACGTGTATGGACATTTTCTTTTAACTTACTTCAGTCCCTTCTGCTCTTTATGAGTTTCGCATTGAAGGATGGCTATTTGTTCATCGTAACCCGAAAGTTGCGGAGACCGGTATGATCTTGTTCCTTATTTTTCACTGTTTCTTGCGTCTCGAAGAACTAGAATACTTTATAAACGAGGCGAGAGACATTCTGGAAAGATGGAAGTACGTTGGGTAAACTGTACACTCAATATATACTACTCCGTAGGTGGCTAGTTTTCTAAATTCAAGGACACCCCACTCGGTCCAATCGAACTCTTTTTGTCGATTAAAGCATAACGCACGACAATAGATACATATGTCTAACAGCATGACCGTGACCTAATTGCTTCAATATTAGCAAATCAATTGGCGAAGGCGTCATACCTCTGATGCTACCTAGATTGTGCTATGATGAGGGCAGGTGGCGCCTAACCCAAAGTGGCTGACCGCCCAACCTGGTTGAGACCATCGCAGAAGCTCTAACACCGCGGTCGGCTTCACTGCGACAGATCCCCCAAAATCCAAAGCTCCATCACGCTGGACTGCCCAGGATGCCGCCCTTTAAGGATGAACACATTCTGGTAAACCTCACCTACCCCACCTCGCAACATTCACTTGCCTTATGGCCCACTAACCCCCGTCCCTTTAGATAATTGCGCCCGGTTCGCAAGTGACCCTGGCGCAGCTCGGCCTTCCGGAGTCCTTTACTCCTGCGCGATTTCGCTTCCCCACGCGCATGTTTCCTGGTGAAAAGAAGGGCGAATATGAACCATATAAAATTCACGAAAAGCGACGCGATGTCAAACCTAGCAATGGCGCCGACGCGCCCAAGGAGGACGTGGAGATGAAAGATGCGGAAACCTCTGCGCCCGAGGGTGCAGCGAATACTGTGACGGATGAGAAGCCACAAACCGCAGAAACTGGAGGCCAGCCGGAGAATGGAGAGGCGCAAGAAAACAATGGCGATACGGCCCAGGAGAGTACACAGGAGACTACTCAGGAGGTCTTCTACGAGGAGGATGTCACATCGGATGAAGGCGCGATTTATCCCATCGAAAATGGACGGATTGTCGACTGGCCCGTCTTTTTCGCCCTCTTAACACATGTTTACAACACACTTAGCCCGCCTTTCCACACACCAATCATGCTCATTGCTGAGCCAGTCTGGTCCGCCCGTGATCGCGAGGCGATCACTCAGTTTGTTTTCGAGAAATTCAAGACACCGGCGTTTTGTCTAATGGATTCTGCACTGGCAGTCTGCTATGGATACGGAACATCTACCGCAACGGTTGTCGATGTCGGGAAAGGGAAGGTCGATGTCACCGCCGTGACCGATTTCATGGTCAATGAACACGGAAGAGGTATCGCCCTGGAAGGCTGCGGTGGAGATTACATGACCGAAAGGCTTCTGGAACTACTGGAACCCAAGGGCTTCACAAGGGAAATGTGCGAGCAATTGAAGAGAAGCAATATCACAGAGATCTTACCGCCGGGCACACCGTTCCCTGGCACCGCAGAGACCGCACAACAAGGCGCCAACCCAGCGGTATCGGCCTCGACGGGTGCACAGGACGGTCTCGGTGTGAATGGATCCGTCCCTCGTGGCCCGGGCAACAACACTCAGACCGGAGCTGAAGGGAACAACGCAGAGGGTGAAGAAGATGAAGGGGTCCTGGATGTTGCGGCCATCGTTACTGGGAACACAAGCGAGTTTCTAGCAAAGAGGGAGAAAGAGAAGGCCGAGAAGGCTTCAAAGAAGGGTGCAGCGGATCAGGCTGCGAAACTTGTTCGTCTGCCGAACTCCAAGAAAGAGAAAGCTTCATTCCAGTTTGAGGAATTCGTTCGCCTAGACTCTGACCAGCAGACGACTGACGGTTCGGGACGATTCATCCGTCAAAAGCGAGACATCGAGGTTGGCATCGAGCGCTTCTTAGCAGCAACCCCCAAAGAGCACGTAGGGGAGCGTCTCTCGAGTGGAATTCTAGAGGACATTGCCACTCAAATACATCATACCATTCTCGCCGTTCCCGACGCAACCAAGCGGAGCGAGCTCTGGGACTCATTGATTGTCGTGGGAAATGGTAGCAAGGTCAAGGGTTAGTGGCCTCCCTGGGTATCTCTGCTCGACATATACACTGATATTATCGAACAGGTTTCACACAGGCTTTGCTTGGAGCAATCACACAGAAGTTCATCCTTTCGCCATCAGGTACGATTTTCACATCTGAAATTCCGTCGAATTTCTCCACCCCATTGCCTACCGGAGGAACCAATACGCCCACTCCTTCTGGCCAGCCCAGTATCATGCATCATCCCGCCGGCCACGGCGTCAATCCTCTGCTTGTTGCTGCAACCCACTCCGGCAACCCAGCAGTAGGCAACATGCCTCCTGGGACACCATCGCTCGACCCTAACGCTGCTTTCCACCATCGGTCTACCGGTCATTCACAGACTCCGACCTCTGTGAAGACCTTGAAGCCTCCTGAATATTTTCCTGAGTGGAAAGAACAAAGCAACACCAACGCACCAGGCGCCAGTGGTGCTGGGGGCTTGGGCATGGGCAATGGTGCTGCTGGCAGGCCCAGCGGCCCGTCCACCGGTGGCCATGGCATGGAGGAGGCGGTGTTCTTGGGTGCTCAAGTCGCATCCAAGGTTGTCTTCGTCCTTGACCAAGGATTAAGCAAAGGCTTCATGAGCCGCGTGGAGTATAATGAGAACGGGCCGTCGGCGATCCATGAATATATGATGTGATTGTATCGCAATGTCGTTTTGTTTTGCCCATGTTTCACCATGATCCAAGGAGTTCGGCAACGAGGTGTTCCACTTTGGTCAACGGGGGTATCCTTTTAATCGATTTTGGACTCGTTGCCCTCTACATATACTATGATTTGTGATTTTCTCCTGCCTTGCCTTTCAACACTTGTACTTTACACGGTGGGCGTCAGTTCTTCTAGAAAAGCAATTCTGTCTGGATGCGGGTAGGATAGCTGGAGTCTGGTCCTCAGTTAATAGCGTTCAATATACTCTTCCGGCCAGGAGATATGCGCCTTCGAGGGCAATCCGAGCTTTTGCTGTCAGATATCATACCTATTCGTCCCTTTTGATAAGCCACAAATCTTCTTGTGGCCTGTGCTCGTGATCACGTGACTATTCCTTTAGCCACAGAAACCGGTCACCCGCCACATCTGTCTTGCCTCTCGGTCAACACATCGCCAACGAAGCTCTCTTCATATCCTTCATCTCTCTTTTAGTTTCAAGACTCGGACGGAGGTTCGAATGAAAAGGCGTGCACCCTGAAATCTGTACTAAACCTGGTTAATACGTCCCTACACCTTTCACATTTCTTACCTTCAATATGCCTCGTGCGGAGGCTGGAAGCACCAAAGCGATCAGCAACAAGATCAAAGCCGTATGTTCTCTCATTGCTGTCCTACAATATTGAAAAGTACCCGGTCACTAACAGAAAATAGAAAGGCTTGGGCAGATTGCGATGGTACTGCCAGGCTTGCCAGCGCCAGATGCGCGATGAGAACGGATTCAAGTGGTAAGTCTCTTTATTTCCTATGAGCTTCTTGGCAATTGTATACTGATTTTCATTACTTCAGTCATGTACAGAGTGAAAGCCATGTACGACAGATGCTGCTCATCGGCGAAGATCCCAAGAAACATATCGAGGAATTCAGCAGAGACTTCCTGAACAACTTTGTCAATTTGCTCAAGACTACGCATGGCGAGAAGAAGGTCCACATCAATCAATTCTACCAGCAGGTTATTGCTGATAAGGAGGTGAGTCGCGCGGTAATAGTTTGGATTATGGCGGCAGATCACTGACGTTGATAAAGCACATTCATATGAACGCCACCAAATGGAAGAGTCTTACCCAGTTTGCGGCCCACCTCGGTCGAGAGGGTATTTGCCGTGTCGAGGAAAGCGAAAAGGGTCTGTTTGTTTCCTACATCGATCGGAGTCCAGAAACAATGCGACGACGGGAGGCGATCCTCAAGAAGGAGCGGCAGGACAGGGGAGACGAGGAGCGGGAGCAGCAGCAGATTCAGGAACAGATCGAGCGGGCTCGGCGGAATGCGGAGAAGCAGGATGAGATCGATCCTGAAGCACGAACTCTGCAACGCAAGGAGGGCGAGAAGGTGAAGCTCAATATCGGGTTTGGGTCGAAAACGAATGGAGAGTCGAAGTCAGTGACGCCAGAGACGCAGTCGCCAGAGGAGAAGGATAAGGGGTCATCTTCAGCCACACCAGATACCAGTACGGTTGAGTCTCCCGCGGCTCCGGTAGAGGCTGCACCGCAACCGGCGGCTGCACCCCAACCGGTGGCGCCGAAGCTCTCCATGTCGTTTAACAATAATAAGCCGAAGAATGTTTTCGCAGCCATGGCAAAGAAGAACCCACTGGCAGGAAAGAAAGGGCCGGTGCTGGAGCAACCTAAGAAGATGACCGAGCAGGAGCGCATCATGAAGGAGGAGATGGAAGCGATGGAGCGCAAGCGTGTGCGAGCAGGTTCGGGCTTCCCGAATGCCAAGCGTCCGAAGATCTCCTAAGAATGGCCTGGTGGTGAATATATCCGCATCCAATGTCTACAAGCAACTGGTATGCAGCGACTTCGTTCTGCGCCGGTCGTCTCAACTCTCGACCATATATCGAGACCCCAGACCTGTTAGGTCTCGAGGGAAATGGGTTCAGTCTCCCGCGGCAGTTTCAGTCTGCGCCGGACGTTTGATCAACCATTCTAGCAAATTGTCCTTCGCGCGCGGCCCGCCAACTCGGCGCTATATACACAATTCCCTGCTCGGGTTGTTGTGTTTCTCAGAGTTCTGGAAAGCACAAGCTTCTGGTATGGGATGATGCATGCGTCTTCGATGACACGGTTCGTTCCGATCTGATGGAGTAATGTCATTCTCCTTTCCGCACTTACTGTAGGACTTTGAGCTTATGGTTCATAGCATAGCTAGCTTTCAACACTTCTTCACAATTAGCGATAAATCAAAAGCTTTTCAATATTGTCTCAATAATCAATATCTCGGCCATTCTATTTGCTTGTTAATAGCGCGGACTATAGCACAGCCTGAACACATGACGCATCACTATAGGCACCTTTCTTCCTTTCAGATAGCTCCGCGCATAGGTGTCTGTGCACACAATTGTCTAGGAGCTTTCTGCTCCGATGCCTGACTCGTATCAGCATGAAGTGCACCATTAGAGCATTCCTTTACAAGGTAATAGCTGAGCATTATTCAAGTGTCGTATTTTTGTCCAGGGGAAACCTCCGAGCCCAGAGTCGAGGATATATATTGCACATCACTCGGAGTACGTATAACACTGGTAACTAATATGCCCACCAATATCAAAAGGAGTCTGTGTGGTCATCAATATATCTACAAGAACCCTAGTGTTACGCAAGACGCATCATGTTGAAACTGCATGATGAATCCTGGCTGTTGGTGTATAAGTCTTCTGTACCGAGAAGATCAACCTTTTCGGTTATGTAGAGCTCATTTTGCTCCCTATACCTAGTTAAGATGGCTGCATAACATCGGAGGCCCGGGTGGTCTAGTGGTATGATTCTCGCTTAGGGATAAACCCAAGCATATCTGCGAGAGGTCCCGCGTTCGATCCGCGGCTCGGGCCAGCCTTCACTTTTTGCATTTGCAACTTGTATTTTGTTTTACACTTCAATTTACTGGCAAGGCCAGGCAGGCCACCGCAACGTCGACTATTCATTCTTGATTGTGGCTTGAGCACGCTATCAACAATCCCGGACGAAGCAGGATGCGTTGACTGTTGGCCGTTTGCTAGTGACTCAGTCGGTCACGTGCCATACAGGGACTGGCCTCTATGATGTGCAAGACGATATGTGCAGACAAGTCATTAAATACCTTTTCAGGTTGCATAAATAGGGACTAATTATTGGACGAGCGAATGAACCCTCAGCGAAGAGCAAGTGATAAGCAGGTCCACTGCGTCTCCAAATCTTCGGGTTCTCTTCCCGAAGCCGCAACCGCAATCGTTTGTTTCCCTATAATATCTGCCTTTTGATCTTGTTGCTCATACATACTTCGTCTATTTCATCCAATTCTTCCAGGACACACGCTAAGCTCATCACTATTGAAGTAATCCAACAAATGGCATCTGAACGTACCCTTGCGTTCATAGGTTGCGGTATCTATAGGAGGACCCCTTGATTGTGCGTCTGAGTAACTAACCATTTGGAAGGAAATATGGGTTCAGCTATTCTGAGCGGCCTCCTTGATGCGGCACATCGGACGACAGATTCCAATGGTAGTGCGTCAGAAAAGGTCTCACGTTTTATTGTGAGCACGAAGAGCGCTGCTTCTGCTCACCGACTTTGCGATGAGTTTCAAGCGGATGAAGATCGTGTTGAGATTAGACATTCGGAAAATCTTCTCGCCATGCAAGAGGCAGATATTGTCCTGCTTGCATGCAAACCTTATATGGCCGAGGAAGTTCTGGGCGAGCCTGGTGTGCGGGAGGCCCTAGCAGGGAAATTGGTGATCAGCATCATGGCGGGGAAGACACCTGAAGATATCGAGAAGTATATCTATCGCGATTCACCCGCAGACGAAGCCGCATCGAAGGCGATCATCGTAAGAGCAATGCCCAATGTTGCAGCTCGTCTGCGTCAGTCGATGACCATCATCGAGGTCAACAACGATCTTTCGTATGACATGGCCGACACCTTGACCTGGATTTTCGAACAGATCGGAAAGGTGAAGTTTCTGGAGACAGATCTGTTTGATATCGGCACAGTGCTTGTGGGTTCCTCCATTGCTGTTCTGACTGTTCCGTTGGATGGCGTTCTAGATGGCTGCGTCGCGGAGGGACTCCGAAGAGCAGATGCGTTGGAAATGGCAGCGCAGAACTTGATCGGAATGGCTGGTTTGCTGCGAGAAGGGGTGCATCCAGCAATCCTAAGAGAAAGTATCTCTTCCCCACGGGGTTGTACAATTCAGGGTCTGTTGACGGTGGAGAAGGAGGGCGTGAGAGGAGCGTGCGCACAAGCGATGATCAACGGAGCTAGACATCTAAAGGAAACGCCTTGATAGTTCATGTGATATAGAAAGAACTGCCTAGGACATAGATGGAAACTGACCTGTAATAGCGATGGAACTTGTTAGTGGCTTTGACGCTGTATGGAATGTAGGGCGGGATCTCAAGCCGTGACTTTGTCGGAAGGGAGTCCGAGGTCATATGTACAAGACCATGAATCGAATCAAAAATGCGAACACAGTGTTCCTGGTTGTTTTTCATCTTGACACCAATCGGGGACCAGGCCGTTATGCATTGATCTACAGCATCTGGACTAACGGCAGACTTGACCCCTCACGTACGAGGAGAGACGAACAGGACGGAATGAAAGATAAATAGCGACCTAGAGACGATTGTGATTTGAAGCGTCACTGTTGGAAAACCTCAAGATGTCAGTGATGTCTTTAGTACCAAAGCGACCCAGCATTGTGTCCTTGGTTGCAGCCAAACAATTACGGTGTCAAGTTTCAACATCGACTACGACACCTCGCACACACCGGCCTCGAGATGCCATCATTTCACAGCCATCTCCATCACCAAAGAAGGCGCCTCTCTCAGCTTTGCCAACAGGAACACTTCTTCGCTCGCTTGTGTTCACATCCATCATGTCCTCTCTCTTACTGAACCCTTGTCTAGCAATGATGAAATACGTGGTGGATTCCAAGTCTCCCCTCCTCAATCCATCAAAGAACCCGCTGATAGATTATCTCCTCCGAAAAGCTATCTACAATCAGTTCTGTGCAGGTACAAACGAAGCTGAAGTGCGCAAGACCGTTCAGGATATGAAGAGCCTAGGATTCAAGGGTGTTATCCTCGGATACGCCAGAGAGTCAATTGCTAAGGCGGACGAAAACGACAACAGTAGCTTTCACGTTGAGAAAAGTCAACAAGCAATTCAAGACCAAGCAGTGGAGGAATGGAGACAAGGAAACCTACGGACACTGAAGATGATTGGCGCAGGGGACTTTCTCGGAATCAAGTAATAATCCTATCCACGATCATTAACTGCGCCAACTCAAAACGGAGAACCAGCTAACGGACATCAGATTCACCGGCGCAGGCCCCAAAGCCGTTGAAACCCTTTCTCGCGGCGACCTCGTTCCACCTCCCTCTATCGCACAAGCTATTGAAGAGATCTGCGAGGCCACAGCATCCCAAAACTCCCGCCTTTGGATCGACGCAGAACAGCAAGTCTTCCAGCCAACAATCGACGCCTGGACGATTGACCTCATGCGGAGATTCAACCGAGACGGGAGGATAGTCGTCTACAACACTATCCAGGCGTATCTAAAATCCTCGACCGAGAATGTCCATCGGCACCTTTGCCTAGCTCAAAAGGAAGGATGGACATTGGGGATCAAGCTTGTCCGCGGGGCCTACATCGCCCATGATATCAGATCCCGGATACACGATACTAAGACAGATACGGATAACAGCTACGACTACATCGTTGAGGGTCTTTTATCACAAAAGTTTCCACTTAAAACAGCGTCTGATAATGCGTCAGCGTTTCCGGACGTACGGTTGTTCGTGGCCTCTCATAACGCAGAAAGCGTGCGCAAGGCGTCGACACTGTATAGACAGAGGATTCATGATGGTCAACCCACGATTCCACTTGAAATTGGCCAGTTGCATGGAATGGCGGATGAAGTGAGCTGTGACTTGTTAACTGAGAATAATACAGGTCAGTCGGAGACACCTACACCTGGAGTATTCAAGTGTCTGGCTTGGGGGACAACGGAAGAATGTCTCCATTTCCTGTTGCGAAGAGCGATTGAGAATAAATCGGCCATGGAGAGGACCAAAGACACAGCAGTAGCGATGCGACGGGAAGCCCGGAGGAGACTTGGGTGGTGAGACATCAGTATGCAAGGAGCGCTTCTGTTTGTCAGGATTCATTTGGTGGATGAATACAAAATGCGTATATATTGTTTATCTGCACGCCACATAGACATGGACTAAGCGTCCACTAATCACGCTGCGACAATACAGTCAAGTTACCTGTCACGCGGGCTTCTCTCAGTAACACAAAATGCGGGGAATTGCTCATACTTCCTTCTTTTGGCCATCGGCAGCTGTGCCCGAAGTCTCGAAAGACTGAACTCGGGAGGGGATTCCGCTACGGTCGAAATCACTAAAGTCAGTGTTCACCCTTTATGCCTTCAGATAGACGGCTTATAACTGTCATTCTCAACTCGGTCCTCATAAAGGTTGCAATTTCCAGTCTCCAATGTAAAGAACATCCGCTGCCAGTATCGTCCAATACATTATGACCTCAAGATCATTTGGGAAGCCGAGCTTGTATCTCACATGGCACATTTTCCTTGCCAATAAAGCCGGATCCTCAAATTCATCCTTGACTCCTTCAACAACCTGGTTGTTCGCGGATATCTGGCCAGCCAGTCCGGCAACACCAACCTCCTCAGCGTAGATAGCCCAGAGTCTCAACAACTCATTGAAGATTTCAGGCTTCTCCTTGCTCAAATCCCGCGTCTCTCCCGGATCCTCTACAATGTCAAAGAGCTCCCACCGTTGAGGGCCCCGAGAGAGAGGAACATAGGTAATCTTGTATCGTCCCTTTCGCAGGGCACCGCTTCCTGCGATTTCCCAGCCCGTGACATGCTCCTCGCCATGGATCGATGCCGGGGCAGTGGAAGTATCCGCGCCACCGACAGTTATGGCGTCCAGGGACGGCTTCCAACTGACATCACGAACGCGCTCGATCTTTCGTCCTCGATATGTGGTTCCGGGATGTTGCAGCCCGGCGTAATCCAGAATAGTCGGGGACAATGTCCATCACTGTACAAAAGGCATCGATGACGCGACCACCCTCATGCAGGGCTTCCGGATTGCCCGCTGGCTTTACTACCAGAGGCACACGGCAACCACCCTCTGTGGAGAACATCTTGTAGAGTCGCGATGGGGCTGTAGTTGCTTGGGCCCAGCGACTGCCGTATTACACGTAGGAGTTTGGCCGCCCGACATTCTCCAACGAATTATCATAGTATTTCTCCAGATGTGCGGTGATACCTCGGCCGCCGAGAGGCGATGCCTCGTAACTGGCGCCCTCGGCACCATTATCTGACATGAAACAGATGATGGTACTGTCGTATCCGCCCGACTGTCGAAAATAGTCCATAGCTCGGCCGATATTCTTATCCATCACTTCCACCACGGCGGCGTAGACTTCCATCGCGCGAGCGGATTTTGCCCGGTCTTCGTCGTTCATCGTCTCCCGATCACGATCTCCCGGTCCCGTTACGACTTCGTGTGGCACAAGGTCTGGCGCGACCAAGCCCAGCTCCTTCAATCTTTCGAGCCGCTTAAGTCTCAATGCAGATGAGCCATCGTTGTACTTCCCGCGGTACTTATCCACGTAGGACTCGGGCGCTTGCAGAGGCCAGTGCGGAGCAGTGAAAGGGAGGTAAGCGAAGAACGGCTTCCCTTTCTCCGACTCCGGATGCTCGGAAAGAAACTCAATGACTTTTGAAGCGTACGTCTTGGAAGAATAAAAGCCCTCTGGCAGCTTTGTTGAATATTCAGCGTCTTCCATATGGAGCGCTGTCACAGCTGTTTGAAAGAAAGGGTTGACGCCCGCGACAATATCCTCATACTGAGGTTCATAGCCTTGGGCCAGTTAGCAACCCCCAGGTCCAGAAGGAAGGTATACATCTTGCACAATCCCACCATAATGATTCGCCGCACCAGAAAGCATAGCGTACGATTTGACAAACCCTGCAGTCGCTGAAGCCGAGATCGTCGGCGACGATGACCAGGAAGTTTGGCCGGGATGGCATTTTCAAGGACAATCGGGCGGGAAGCCGCAAGCTGTGAATATGGAAACGGCTAGGACTTGCTCGAAGGGTCATTGTCGAAGGACGCGAAAGGAACTATATGTATATATACACCTATAATAATCGCCAGATGATTGGGCCGCAAGGCCGTCAGGAACGGCAAGGATAGCACGTCGACTGTAGCTGCAACATGTCAATGTCCAATCACAAAAGTGAAGAAACTGGGCCATCCCCGTCCCACAATCAAGTCCAGCCATTGCACCATCGTAGAGTAAAATGGCCAAGCGCATCTTAGAATGCTATACCGTTCTTCCATACTGCATTGGTTGTGTTATAAGGAAATCTGGCAGACTGCCAGAGGAGTCAGCAAGAGTCAGCAAATCACCATTGCGAAACCACCTATCCATGTCGGTTTCACTGCGAATCGCCTCGATTGCATGTTAAATGCTGGAAACGAGCAATCAAATGAATGTGAGAGTCTCGGTATGTATGGCCAACAAGGAAGAGCAGACCGGGAGAATTGATGGATAAGTGATTGATTGGCCATCGTGACTGCATGTAATCAGCCCATATGCTTTTTGACTAGGAAGCTAAGGTAAGAAGATGGATTACTGACGGCCAATGGTCTCTATCACCAGTGCAATGGATGAAAGATGGTGTTCATGGATGATGATCAAAGTAGGATACCAGCGCATCTCCATCATTAATGCAGGTGCCTGGTGCTGATCATACAGTGAGGTGAATCTGCCTAAGGCGGGCAAGGCGGGCGGCGCACTCGCTTGAGCTTCGTTGCCCAGTCTGTTTCATCTTATTCTTCGATGTTCCAACGAGTTTCAGTGAAATTCATTACATGATGAGACTAGAGCTTGAATTTCATACCCATCGATTCTCGAATCAAGAAGTTGATCGTCTGAATAAGACCTAAGCAGTAAGCACGAGTTATTAGGTCTGCTTGTTAGCTAGCTAGCAAGCATCAGATCATATTATGTACATCATAAAAGGAATGTATAATACATTGCAAAAGTCCGAGGACGTTCAATTACCGCCGACTGCGACTCATCCTCAAGCATCGAACTGCCGGTACCGACGGTCATTCAAACCACCAGACAGCGCAGCAGCAGCCCTGACGTCCAGCCTTCTCTTGGTGTTGCCGTGACCACTCGACGATCCCTTACTCTCACCCAGGATAGCCCACTCAGCAACAGTAGCACCTTCCTTGCCGCCTGCCTGATTACCCGAAATCAGCAGAGTGGCGTAGCGAGACGTGTGCACAGTCTGCGACAGATTCACATCGGTCGTATTACCAGTAGCCATGACAACTTCGTTGTAGTCAGTGCTCTCGGCGTTATAAGGCTGAGATTGCTTGATGTTCGTCAATGTGGTGACGACCTTGTAGCGGGAGTTCCCGTGGGCGGAAGACATCGCGGCCACTGGGTCCTCAAGCATCTCGTCGTGGAAGATGACGGTGGCATTGACGGGAGGGGCTTGCCACCAGTTAAAGTGGAAGCCAGAGACCTTGGAGTTGATATCAATGTCGGCCAGGGCCACGGTCAACGAGCTCGTGTTGGCGGTGGAAGGCCGCCACTTGGTAGAAGTTGCACCGTCTACGGCTGCGATGGGGAACTGACCAGGAGCATAGTCATTAGGCGAGTACACAGGGCGACATTGCACCATGTTTCCGGGGATGGTGTTGTTGAATCCGATCTGTCTGTTAGGAACGACAAGGGCCCCGGTGGCTGGAAGCCGGTAGGTAGTTGAATTGCTAGGGTCGCCAACCAAGACAGGGATGGAGGCGTTGGCAAAGCGAGAGTCTGCAGTGTCCAGAGGGGTAACTTTTGCTGCTCGGCTGATAGTCGTATGGGTGCGGTTGGAGCTCGCGGAAATGGGCCATCCACGCCAGTAGAACGTGCGGTATTTAACGTTGGAAATCTGAGGGGCAGGTTAGGGTCGATATGAATGGCATCATCGGGAAGCAGTCTCAGTCCCAGGTATCCCATGAGGACGACCTGGTGGGCACCACCGTGTCCTGTCAAAAAGGGATAAGCCGGGTGAGTGCCACCGTTGATACTGGCGTCATCGATCATTTGTTCGGACAGTTGGTAGAACGGAGCTCTCATGTACGGGTCGTAAGAGTCCTGATGGTAGGTATAGGCAGAGCAGCCGGATGGTGAGACATCATTTGCAGTGATCGCAAAAATAGCCCACGTCATAGCAGGTCCATCAGGAGACTGTTTGTTGGCATACTGTATGCACATGAATGGTTAGTCCCGTTCAGTGTCAGTAGAAATTAGGAGAAGTAAGATGATCTCACATAATCGAGGTCATTCAGGGAGTACTGGGCTGTATAGTTGTTGTCGTAGACCAAAGGATAGGTGACAAGCACTACATCAGCCTGCTTCACCACAGTGGTACCGTTCATCGTGGTATATTCCAGCGTCACGCCGTTCTCCCTGATGATGAGGACATTTTCAGAGATTTCCGTCCAGGTCTCATTCTGTTCGAGACCAAACTGTTTCCGGAAGGAATTGGCATAGCCCAGTGTCTCGGAGATAAGCGGCATCGTGAAGCCACCGGCATCAACGTGGTTGGCATATTCATCCTAGAAATTTCATTAGTTTCGAGGTATGCGACACCGAGATAGTCAAACGTACAGGATCAGTCATATTGATCAGCGTCCAGGACGAACCATTGCGCTGAACAATGTTGGAATACATGGTGGCAACGGAGTCGTAGATGGGAAAATGCTGCTCGCGGAAAGTCTTTGTGTCGCCGCTCGCAATCCATTGATACATCAGGGAAAGCCCGATATCGCCGTTCAAGTGATACTGGTAGTCCCAGCAAGGACCAGTACCAGTACAGTTACCGAAGCGACCACTTGTCCAAGGATAGATGGCTGCCGAAGGGGAGAAGGAGGTCTGGTTCTTGGAGCTTGTAAAAGCAGTGTTGATATTCTCAAGTGCCTGTGGGTACAGCTTCGTTCGGTAATTGGTCACTCCCTGCGCAGCCTCGGGGTGAGATGCCACCAGACCTGGCTGCATCCAGACGTCGGCATCCCAGAATACCAGACCCGCATACGAATCAGAGGTCAAACCACCGACGGAGATGCTGTTGACATTGACTGGAGCTCCGGAAACAGCCTTGATGGCATTCTTGCCCACGGTGTTCTGGACAAGGTAGTACGTGTTTGCGACCGCGATGATCTGGGAGTTGAGGATGTGCTCATCATCCGGCAATGTTCCGGTGGCAGGGTCGACAAAGCTGTCTACCGAACCGTCCAGGAGAATGCTAGCCCACTCTGCCACATGCGACTGCAGCGATCCCATGTAGCCGGCTCCCATTGCCGCAGACACGGCTTGCTTTGCGGTCTGTTGCGGGTTAGGGAATGCGTCTGACGACGCAGCGCCAACGAACTTCGTGATCCGGACGGTCTCATTAGCACGGAACTTGACATTGACAGCCTGCGCAATGGAGGATTCATTGCTGTGGACATAGGGCTTGTCGTTGACAAGAGCCCGGGAAGACAGATCCACGCCAGCGGAGGCAGTCAAGTTCGTGTAGACATAGGCCGTGACATTTGAGATTCCCCAGGGCCGCACAGCCGAAAAGAGAGCTCCATTGTCTTGGCCGGATTCCACGAAATCGGTACGGACAGCCGAGTACCCATCAATGACGTTGACTACAGCTGCCTCAGACCCCTGGGAAGGAGTGATCTCCATATCCACCACGGCTTGGTTGACATGCAGCTTGTGAGCAAAAAGCCGGTACGTAATGTCGAAAGAGCCCTTGTTACCGCGAGGAGTCCATGTGTACGACCAAGACAACACTCCGGACTTGAAATCGTACGTGGATCGGAAATCAGTGATGGTCTTGTTGTCCACGGTAGCATCGAGATAATTGCCATCGCCAAGGTCGAGAATCAGTCCACTCCAGTGTGGGATACCGCTGATCACGCTCTCACCTCCGTACTGATTGAGCCAAGGAAAGTTAGAGCCATTGGTGGTTGGCTGATAGTCAAAAAACCCAGCAATAGTCGCAAATGTCTGTCTTCTGGAGTACAGCGGCCAGCCGTTAATCACGTCGCCACCAACTGGAACGTCCAATTCGAAGAATGGGCCGACACTCGCAACGTTGATACCGAGGTAACCATTGGCAATGGAACCGCGAGATTGGTAGTGGCCCTGATCCAGGGTAGTAGTCGAAAGCAGCCAGTGATCATCATCCCAGGTCACACCAGGGAATCTAGTCTTGTAGACATGCGACGAATTAGTGTCAACTGGTTTGTGTCCATGGCCGCCGTGTCTCTTCAAGCTCCTCGCAATCCGGTCATTATTGTTCGGCAAGCCGATCGCTGCGGGGAGACACGCGAGTAGTGACACCCACGTCGCCAGGTTCTGTCAATCTGGTAAGCTAACATAACATCACTTGACATTAATCGAAAGAGCAGATGGCTGCGCTCACCTTGGAAAGCATCCTGGATAGCCTCTCAGGGCAGTGAAATCCGCCCGAAAAAAAGATCCTGTTGCAAAAGACTTTTGAGAGTCAGCGTGCACTTCATAATCCAACAGGAGGAGGTTCCATCCAGCTTAAATAACAGGAGAAGCCCACCACACTCAGAAAGGAAGGTGTAAAAAGGTGCTGGTCGGTTTGCTTCTCTCTTCTTTCTCCACACTCGTATCCGATACCGGAAAGACCGAATGTCGATCCCCACACTGAACTGACTGGGTGCCCCGGACGGGTTCCCATGTCCCCGAATCAGCGCGGGTTGGTCACGTCACAACCCAGGAACACCCCGAGATTCTCAGGAATCAGAATGCGTGGATGACGCACAGACTTTCTGAACCTACCCAACTTCGTGTCCAGCAAACTTTGTCCGCAACCTAATTTCCAAGGTTTCTGTGTGGCTTACCGTGACTTGGGCTCTTGGCCGCAAATTGTAATAAGAATTGATCGCAGCCTAGCAAGTAGCAGATTGTTTCTGCGGGGTAATCGCAAGCCACAGTCCTACGGGACGGTTAAACGGTCCCGTTCTTTAGAGTTGAGCAGCAGACACGGCAATCCGGTGAGCAGCGAGACCCGGGACTTGAAAAAGTGGAGGACTTGGATTGGGAACGGAAAAAAAAAGCCTCATTAACGTTCGAACTTTCTGGACGAAAAGAGCGATTTAGACGATGAAGACAGGGGCCAGCAGCCTCTTTCATCATCAGCTCTTGGGGTGCATGTGTACAGAGTAGTAAGTAACCAAAGCAACTACAGCAGGAGAGTTTCTGGAGAGTTCTGGCCGCCCCGCACAAATATCCGGCTTTAGCCCGTCAGTCAGGCGCCAGTCACCCGGGCCTCAGGCAGCGCTCAGGTGAATGGTATTAGCTAATGAGGAAAACGTCAGAGCTTTACAAGAAGACGGATTTGAATCGATGAATCTTTGTACGAATAGTACTACAGTAGTACAGAGCCCAGTATAGACAGAGAAGCAGCAACTCTCGAGTCACCGAGTGAAAGTCATTAGAATGAGTCCGGGCTTTAATCTCATTTCCACCTTTCTCCTACCAGCCCCTAGTGATCCACGGGAAACCGGTCCAAAAACTTAAAAGTTCGAAGGCCCTCCTTAATACCATTGGCAAAGTCATCAGTGACCGACTGAGCCACATACACGCCGTCCCGAGACGTAGCAATCCCCGCGTTGCGGAGAGCAGCTGTGCCGCTTCCCAGCGCCCCAACTGTCTTGCCGAACCGGAATCCGTCAATAAGAATCTGCAAGGGCCGACCGGTGGGGTACAGGGAGCTTGCACCACTAGTTGAGTTGGCCGAACCACCAGTAAACGAGGATGTCGTGAAGAGACTCTCTGCACCGGCGGCAACAACCACAGCGTCAAATTGGATTGCATCCGAAGCAGAGTAGGTCTGGTCAACACCGTCGGCCAGACGTTCTGCGACAACAACAACGTCGACACCGTCGTCCTTCAGCCGGTCGCGCAGGGTGGAAGCTCCCTCAACCGAGCCTGGGTGCTGGACAGAACCCAGGATGCCGACCTTGAGGCCATCAAGCTTCTTCAGCTTGGTTCCAAAAGTGCCGACATTGGCGGTCTTGTTGTTGTGATAGAAGGTCGGGTCGGGCTCAGGTTCGGCGACACCAATAGCGCGCGCAACGCGTCGCGCAAGGTCGTTATCGATGCGGTTCAATTGAATGATGACGTTGTTCTTCACGACGGGAGATTTGACGTTTGCGTTTTCGAAGCGGATGGCGTCAATAACGAACTGCTTCTCGGCAGGAACCAGAGAATTGTAGAAGAGACGCGGCTGCGACCAGACATCCTCAAAGCTTGGGCTGACCGCACGGATAAGTTTGCCGCTGGTGGTACGGCCAGGAGCTGTGAAGAAGCCGTCGCCGACGGTCTGGTTGGCTTGTTTGGGCGAACCGTTGACCGGAGTCTTGGGCGAGTACGCGTGAGGGTTGAGGGGGATGAACATTTGGCCTACCGAAAAATGAAAAAGATTAGAATGGGAGTACTGACATCAAAGTTAGAGAAGTCTCACCTGCTCCATCGCGATTGTTGTTGTGGACGGGAACGCGAGGCTGGTTAATGGGGAGTTGTTCAAAGTTGGGGCCACCGTGACGGTTCAGCTGAGTGTCCAGGTACGAAAACAGACGGCCTTGCAGGAGAGGGTCTTCAGTGAAGTCAACACCGCGGACAATGTGACCAGGTTGGAACTATGTGCAGTCAGTTTACAAATTCATTCTGTATCAACCTTCCTAATGGCACCATACCATAATTTGTTCGGTCTCAGCGAAATAGTTGCGAGGGTTGCGGTTCAGTTGCATCTTGCCCAACTTGGTGATGGGCACGAATTCCTCTGGCACGATCTTGGTGGGGTCCAAGAGGTCAAAGCCAAACCGCAGTTGGTCCTCTTCATCCATGATTTGAACACCAAGCTGATTGAACTTGAAATTAGCTTCTTGTTGCTCTTTTGGTGTTTACCAGACTGCTGGGAAAGGATGACAACCGAAAACGACTTACCTCCCACTCAGGATAACGTCCAGCTTCAATTGCGTCGTGCAAATCCTGGCGCATGAAGTCGGGATTCTTGCCCGAGGTCTGCTGGGCCTCTTCCCAGACCATGCTGGCCTTACCCTGCAAAGATGTCCAGTGAAATTTGACGAGCTTGGATGCACCGTCATCTGTCACGAATCGGAAGGTATGCACCCCGAATCCGTTGACATGGCGGAAAGAACGAGGAATTCCATGCCCAGACATAGCCCAGAGCAGCGTGTGCATCGTGCTTGGCTGCTGGCTGAAGAAGTCCCAGGCCGAGTCATGAGCGGTGGCAGCTTGAGGGATCTCATTGTCACCTCTGGGCTTGACGGCGTGGATCAGATCGGGGAAGAGGATAGCATCCTGGATGAAGAATACAGGGATATTATTTCCAACGATATCTATAGCGGTTAGCCAAACGACGTGCATGTGCGAATTGGACTACCAAACGTACCGAAATTGCCCTCGTCGGTATAGAAGCGGGTGGCAAAACCGTGGACATCGCGAGCCAGATCCGAACTGCCCCTGCTTCCTGCGACCGTCGAGAAGCGGACAAATACAGGAGTTTGCTTGCCTTCCTTGGCCAGGAAAGAAGCCGCAGTGATGTTCGAGAAGTCTCCATATGAAGTGAAGACTCCGTGGGCACCGGCGCCACGGGCATGGACCGCACGCTCGGGGACCTGCATACTCGGTCAAATCATCCTGTTCATCATGGGAAAAGCGATGGGGAATCTCGGTCTCATACCCGTTCATGGTCGAAGCGCTGGATCTTTTGACGGAAAATGAAATCTTCGAGCAGGGTGGGACCACGCTCTCCGGCACTGAGACTATTCTGATCTTCGATAGGACCGCCTACGTCGGACGTCATGAAGGTATCATTATCACTGAGATAATACTGGGACAAGAATTCCTCTGTGGCTGCGGCAGCGTCGCCATCGGATAGCTCATCGCGACGGTTGAGCTCGCCGGTCATGTAGGGACAGACCGCATTGGCGACGCCAATGAGGCCGGGGATATACGTGAGACGCATTCTTGATGAGTCTCCGTTATGGGATGACAGACTGGGAAGAAAGCGCGTTCAATTGGGCGTTAAGCTTGGTCATCAGAGGGATCGGAAGGATGGAAGAGGGGGCAAGAGTCCTTTTTATATGCGCATCGAACCCACTGCTTCTCAGTATCAGCAGGGGGGCGCCGATCACCACATGGGATGCAACAATACCAAGAACCACTAAGCAGGGAAGCAGACGAATCAATATTGCGGATATGGTATTATGCAAGTCAAACGGTCTACTCCGTGGAAAGTGCAGCAAGGTACGTGATGCAGTGGAGACCCAACGGCCTGATGGAGATGTGATGATCCTTAACTATCCGCTAGTTCCTGAGTCCTGACACTGGGTTTGTCACAAAGAAGAAGCAGTCGGCGAGAACGAGTCAGATTTCCCCATTTAGTCAGTCGCAAACAAACAGTGCATTCTCCAATGGAAGGTGCGGGCAGCAGCAGATCCATTCTTGGCGGGAATGGGTCATTTCGCTTGTGAAGAAGATGATTCTCAGCTCAACCGACAGACCCAGAGTAAGTGATGTGTATTCTGCTGACGTTCAGTCTCACTAAGGAAGTGGTCGAGGCCGCGATGCTTGGTAATATTTTGTAATAGCATCGGTCTGGGCACTCCGGGGAGAAGTGACCAGCGTCAACATCCCCACTTCGACCATCGCCTTTATTTGTTCGGATGTCGATGGCTTCACCTTGGCAAGTCTCACACCCGACAATCATTCCACTTTGCTCCGTATCCACTCACCCGTCCAGTCGCCGGTCATGACGTTGCAGCGCCGGGCAATTTATATCGCGATTTCCATCTCTCTCATTCCAACTTTATCGCACATACTGCGGAGTATATACTTTGCTATTGCACAATCCTTTCGGATATTCCTCGGCATATTCGGTTCCTGGATTCATCATTTCACCTCGGAATCAACGAGTGATAAAGCAGAGACGATCATTGGATGCGCTCTGCGATCCTTGTTGAAATCCAAACAAACAGCACGCATATGCGATCAGTCCCGTGCTGAGGCAAGGCGATGCTTGTGGTCGTCTATTTTTAGAGATCCTGGTCAATCAAGGTCAAAGGTACTTGCATAACGCATCTTACACCGTAGTTTGGAGGCTGTGTTGACTTCGCACATAGGTACTCTGTACTGCGACCGTATGATCGGTCAGGAATGTGTGCCGATGCAACTACCAGAGCCAAGAGTCACCCAATGCACTTGATGTGCATTCGTCACAATTGTATCGCAGCGGATTGGACAAGGTCCATATCGCGTTAATCCTTAGCGTTATAGTCTAATGTCCTCTTCCAGCCACAATATTAATAATATGCAGCTCCTTGAGCTGATTTGCTAGTCAGAAGCGTGGCAATTGAACTTCCATCCAGTCCATCTTGAAGTCTTGACAGCATTCCTGAATCTTGCCCCTTGCTTATTAGACGTGCATAAAACCCTATCGCTCCATGGATAATAGAATTGCTCTCGCAAACCCATTGCCCCAGGAAATGTTCAACATTCACTCACAACGAAGTCCAAAGAATAATGATCAATGAGCTTACCTTACTCCCTTCTTACTGCCAAGCATCCCCCGCGCCTTGGCTTATGCAATAGCTCAAGCTATCACCAAAGACTCGATGAAGGAGACATTAAATTAGCACTGGGCGTAGCTAGCTCTCACCTCTGCCTTAGTGTAAGTAGATATAGTTTAGATTTTCTTTATTTCCGTAAGAATGTTCCGGCCGAGCCGTCGCCGTAGACCATGTTCAGACAATAAGCCGATAACTAGCACAAGCCAACATAGCACTTAGCAGGGATGATGCTAGGGTTAGGAGCGAATAGAATCGGCTGTATGACATAGCTCCAAATCCAATAGCTATGGTCATGAGTGGCCACGGCCGGAAGTTGTGGTTGTTATGTGCTATGATATTGTGGCCCCTGGCATTGGCTTCTGTGCAAAGGGTATTGCTAGAAAATAGGTCCCAGGTATCATGTGAGTAGGACAAATGATATTCCAGGGGCAGAATTACATAGTCATACATGATGGAGACACACCATGATGAACCTTAACTTCCAGATATTGGATGTAATCGTCGTGCTAGCAATTCTCCGGACTCCGGGGTATCTCTTGCGAGTCCTAAGAAACATCTAGAACCCCGAACTCTTCGACCATTCTCGCCCCACCAATTTGATCGGATTATGTCGCCATTTCTAGTCAAAGATTGATGCATTTCACTAAATAAAGCTCCCTTTAGTTACCCAGCCCCTCTTTTCGGTTGATGGCCTGCTCCGCCATGTCCGAGATTGGTGAATCTCCCTCCCGCTGCGAGATGCGTAAGGCACGGAGAAACGTGGCGCTGATCGTGAAGGTCTTGGACTTGATGGATTTGACCTACAGCAGCTGCAAAGTCTCAATGTCCCCATTGATCCCAAGATTTTGGACGAAACACCGCTGCAGAAGCGGTCTTGTTTTGCTTCCTATCCAGGCCACTCAATTCCAGACCCCGATGAGGATGCGCTAGTGGGGGCTTAGAATGGCCTAGACGATGAAACGGAATATTCTCTCACTCGTCCCGTAGATCGCGCATATGTGATAATAGAGACCTGTTGAATTACATCTCCTACTGGGGGAGACGCCGAAGAGGAGAATGTCCGTTGGACTTTGAGATGGTATGCAACCCACCAGGTATTGCTAGCCTATTTTTCACCTAACGTGCACTTAATGCCGGAGACTACCCATTCAAGGGTATATATGGGGATGAGCAGCCCGATTCGGGTACTACCATATCACGAATAGAATGGCTCTACCTCTCCAAACGTCAAGTCCATCATATCATGTACATGACTTGGTCGCGACAGATTTCACTGGTAAAGAGATAGTTAGTCATGTTCATGGTCCAACGTTTCACTGTCCAATACTAACATCTCTTACATGTCTTAATTATCTCGCTCATGGGGCTACAGCCTCGAGCGATTGAAGCCTAATTCGACGGTCAGGCTCGGTCGTTCGTCGAACCAAAATGAAAAATTTCACCCGCGGGAACAAGGCAACTTTCAAAACATTTGCCCTGTGGTATATGGGTGGGCCGGTTGCGAATACTGCTCGGCTTCCTGATTGTCGGTGATTTCCGGTTTCTTCTTTTCGGTAGCGGCTGTCGCAGAATCTGGGTTTATTTAATGGCGCTAGGAAAAATGGATTGGGGTGTCTGGCGCACATTTTCAATCTTTCGTCAATCTGGGGCTGGATACCCGTTTGGACATGTTGATAGCGTGTCGCTGAATGGACTTTAGGCGCGAATACGGCATAATTTGCTCTGTAGGAGTTAGCTGATTGCACTGGACAGCGATTAATACATGGTTACCATTGAATTCAGTATAGACTCTTTGCGCTAGTTTCTCGTGCTTTACCAGTCCTCCGTTTCTGTTGCGGGCCATGAGATTGTTTGCTATCTATGCAGTCGCTGTTATGTCCGCAGAGAGAGATAGTGTGAGACTAGTTGCCATGGTGTTGCAACTTAGTCGGCGTGTTCGTTGCTGTTGTCTGTGGCAAGGTAAATGACTATTATGGGACAGCTACTACAAGCTGTGGCTGCTGTGGATTATTAGTCAGGTAAAGGGGTATGGAGATGATATGAATGAAAATACCCTGAATCAGTCTTGGAGCTAATGCCATGGGATCTCTCGATTTAGGTTTTGATTAGATAGTAGCTGGCAAGTTAGCAACAGGAGCTATATTCTCCAAGTCTGGCATGAGTCACAGATTGACACAGTCCGTGGACAGACATTTAAAGAGGTGATTAAGGGGTGTTTGGAGGTCATGGTGAACAAAGCACTGCATTTTTAGTTATATTTGCTTTTGTATCATTATTAAGTCTCTGTAACCCTGAGCGGAATCGTACAAAATCTAATACTACTATAGCCCACGCACTCTTTAATCTCGACAGTGAGTTAACCTGTATGCGAACAAGTGCTGGGATATTTGGAATCAGCATTTGGTCGATCTTATTACCATGTGGAGCTCGGACATTGATCGGCAGCAATAACAACACAGCTCAGCTAGAATCTGAAGGGTCCAACCACAAACAACTACGTATTTTCAACTGAGAGGATGCACAAGTTGACAACGCATCCTCAGAAAGGGGTTTTTTCAGAAAGAACTGATTGGCTAGGGCATGGCTTTTGACAGGTCATTTCCTTCTGTCGGCCATTTCGACATGGTGACGGCTTGAAAAAAAAAGAAAACACCAGAGGTATCGTGCATTAGGTCTCCAGTTCTAGCCCCTGAAAGAGCTTGCTGGTAATGCAGTCCACTAAGTAACAAGTTTGCGCCCTATAAGCCATGGGCGCCATTGCTTGATGATTGACAATGTCTTCCCCCAAACTAGCAATGCTTGAGATCGTGAGTTCGTCCGGTAGCCTATAGTTCGCCCACACCTTGTGCTTTTGGGATAAGTGCAATGGAGACTTCACGGTCGTGCGTCTGATCCATTCTCTCCAGGGGCATGTTGGCGTAGATGATGCTGTCCGATCCACAGGTTACACAATGCATGGCTCGTGAAATGGAATGCAGAGTATAAATCAGCGTGATTCCCCTGTCCCTGTTCATTTCTGCGTCAGTCATTCATTCGACTTTCTGTTGATTGTGATGCGCGTCCTCGTCGTCCTTCGATAGATCATCATGCTCAAGTCAGCACTGTCTTTGGCCTTCATGGCAGCTTCTTGTCTAGCTGTTGACCCTGCTGCGGTCTACACTGGCGGATACTCCGGGGGCAGCGTTCGCCTCCGGATTGGCAATGGAGGAGCTGGCCAAAGTGGCTTGATCAGGGGTACACCGGAATCAACTCGTCCATCAACGACTAGCCTGCTGACTTCGTCATACATAGCTCTCGCCGATGCCTTCATCCAGTCCAGCGTCAAGAACGGCTCCGACCCATTCAAAGTCGCCTGGTACAAGAGCGACACCACCGAGTCCATCAACTACCTCAAGGATGACACCATCGATGTTGGCATCACCTATACCCCCGCTGCTGAAGAGATCGCCATCAAGCAGGGTGTCGCCAAAAGCCCTGCATGGTACGCCTGGCGCGACCACTTTTTGCTAGTTGGACCACCCTCCAACCCGGCCGGACTCAACAAGGCCGACGACATCAAAACCATGTTCTCCAACATCTACGCCGTTGCATCGGCAGGCGACGCCGCCAACGTCACCACTCCCGTTCGCTTCCTGACGCGCTATGACAAGTCAGCCACCAACATCAAGGACTCCCAGCTGTGGATTGAGATCGGACAGGTCAGTCAACCACTCGCTTATCTGAGTACATTGACTGACAAAGACATAGGTCCCTTGGGCGACCAAGTACTCCACGTGGTATCATCAGTACATTGCCTATCCTATTCAAGCCCTGACTGCGGCCATTCTCCTCGAGGAATACACCATCACCGACCGCGGTACCTACCTGTCTATTGACCAGGCACTTGCCAACAAGACCACCATCTACAAGGCTGCCACCGACGACCCTGCCGATCCTCTGCTCAATCCCGCACATATGCTTGTCGGCAAGAAGGCGAGCAACATGGAGATGGCTGACAAATTCACCCAGTGGGTGATCAGTGCCGAAGGTCAGGCTGTCATTACTGGCTTCAAGAAGAACGGAGAGCAGTTGTATACTGCTGCGCCTGCTAACAAAACTGCTCCTTTTAAGCTCTAAAGTGGCGAGGGATATAGAATAGTCATCAGCAGCTTAATATCTATTTTTAATAATTTTGATAATAATTCTTCAATGATTTTTCCGCCTGTTCATAGATTATAATTCTCTTCTTCTTTTCCTTTTTCTAGCTGAGGACTCTAAGGATGCATATATGAAATGGTCTGTAAATTTATACTGTTGGCTATGTATATATTCATTACATTACCCTCCATCTCCCTATAGTCATTCAACAATCTCAACCCCCTACTTCTTCCCTCTTATGTGACTATCTGCCGCTTAATTCAACTAGTTCAATATGAATTTAGGCCCGTATCTCACATGTGATGGTGTGAACTACAAATATACTCTCTGTGAATGTTTTTTCATTGCCTCAGTCAGATCAGACAAGCCTAAGGTTGTGGACCGCATGGAGAGTAGACATATAAAGTGGAAGTAATTGGATGTGAACATGCCACAATGTGAATATTGATTCATACAGCGTGATGCTGTCTTTTATAGATGTGGACGTTTCTCCAGTCACGATTGATGATCCTAAGGCCTGATGTAACTTACAAATGCGTAAGTCACAAAGGAATCTCATATTTGGCTTTCTTGCGTTCGTACAATAGTGTCTAAAGATGCTAAGAGTTTAGTGACTGTTTTTGTGCAGTGTACATTACTACTAGGAGGTCTAAACCCCGTAAATAGGATAGGCAGGGTACTAACTTCGAGTCTGCATTGTATCAAGATAGTGTCAATAGTAATTATTATAATAGCTAGTTTGGCGCTCATCGGCTTACATCCAGGGCATCGACACTGCAATCTAACGGTAAAGGAAAATCCAGACAGTCAAGGTAGGGACAACAATAGCTAATCGGAATATCGCCGAAAAAAGCTCCTTCGGAGTTTGACGGAATTCGGATTCGGCCCAGGGCATTTCTTCCTCTTCACCGGAGTGTGCCGAGCTCGAGACAGTGGTATCTGGGTCTTGGGTGCCCTGGCAGTGGCTGTCGGGGGCTACATTTGGCTCCGAGGGAGCCTGGTCTGATCCAACTGCAAGGCAGTATACCGTAATGTAAAGGGTTGGAATCACTATGATCTCAATGATGCACGAGAGCTTTTCCTGTGTCAAACCTATGGCCCGTGTGACCAGGGGTAGAGAACAATAATAACTCGAAATTGCAGGTATCGAGTGTATCAATAAGGCTTTGAAGACCTGGTGGATGATTGGAGCGGCCTCAGCAAGGTCTTGGAATTTCTGCTGCATCCGCTGTAGGATGGGGATTCGGTTGGGCAGATTCGTGATCAGAGGCGTAAAAAAAAGGCGGATGACTACTAGTGCGGAGCCAATGTAGGCGAATATGCATATGAACAAAGCAGTACACAAGTCTTATAGCGTGGAGAGCACACCGTTGAGGACGTCGCCTTCCAACAGCTTGCCGGCAAGTTGGAGCGTCACTGGCTCCAGTTCAGTGTGTAAAAGCCAGGTGGTCGACACTAGCTCGATCAATGACGAAGACCGCCAGATTGCTCGCACAGCTATGTGCAAGATCACGTAAAATAGACAACGCCAGTGTCCACACATCCACCGTGCCGGAACGCTTGGATCAAAAATTTTTTTCAATTTGGGAGTTTGCTCCAGAAGAAAGAAATGTGAGGCAGATGTGATATCGGGCTCGGCTGCTAATGGCGAGAGCTGGCGTACGCGATCGCAGAGATTATCTGTTAGAGCAGGGGTCGGTGCAATGTTTTTGTGCTCGTTTCTTTTCTCAGATCTACTCGCTTTGCTCTCGTTCTCAACATGATCACCAGAAAAGACAGATCCTCCCACCAGTACACGGCGAGGCCAGCCTCGACGGATTTCATACGAAGTCACACAGTAAAACGTCGAAAGTTCAGCCAGCACAGTCTGCGCGACTAATGCCGTCGTAATCCCTTGGATCAATCGATCATTCGCTGACGCTAGCAGCATCATGTACAGGGGGAGTGTTGCCCCGACGAGAAAGGCACGCCTTGCGAAACACGACCAGTATCCGAGGTCAGGTGGAAAACCATTATGTACGAGGAGCGCTAGGCCCACGTGTGTTTTGGCGAGGTTCAAGATTCTGTAGCCGATTAACAGGATGACTACATTCAAGGCGATTGCACCGGACAGGAATGGGGAGAAAAACCAGATGTTCGACTTGACACCTTGAAAGAATGATTTTTGTCGATTGGGACTGATGAGGTAACTGATCGTCGCGGTGAGGAGAGAAAAAGTGGCTAGCAGCGATGCTGTGTGTTCAGAGTGCGCCATGTATTTAAGAGGTAAAACTCTGCAAGGATTTGATGACCGAAGGATTAGGCCTATACTCGAGGTTCCAGGTAGGTAGCAGACTGGTATTGATATTCATACGACTGCATTTGGTGCTTGTAGTCCTGCCACTGGCGATGTTGTCTCAATTAAGATTTCCATGAAGAAGGCAGCAGTGGGTTTTTGCAGTGGTTGTGGAGGTGTGATTATTCTGGCCCCCACGTCCCTTTGGAGATCAGGGGCTGCGGGCTGTGCCTGTGCCCCTCTATCTGGTTTAAATAAATACATGGCAGCATGAGACACTTTGCTTGTGCCCTTGTTGTGATTTGGTCCACTTTGAACCACCAGTGGCTTGGCTCGCGGATAAGCTGCAGCCTCAGTGATTTCTATGTGGTCTGAATCTAGGAGAACCGTGTAAAAAGCGAAAATAAGCAAACAGAGTGGATCAAAGTAGTGTCACTGAAGATGCGTGCGAAGTGAGATGGGCGATTAACAATACCTACAGCGAAGTAGCCTCTATTTACGTTCTAAATGGATGTGAAATACCTTTGATTATTCATTCCCAATGGCCCTTGACGCCTTGCTCCAAGTGCAGCTAGAAACCCATTGGCGTTAAACATCATGCAAGGTAGTGACCAGGAAGATTATCAGCCCTTGTCTTGCTGTTGTCGTCATAAATCAGGTTAATGGGTTGTATCGTAGATCTAAAAGCAGCTATATACTGCTGCACCTGGTAATAAACCTGCTTCCCTTTTTAAGTTTGCTAGAGGTCTACAATCATTAATAGTTTTATGTCTATCCTTAATAATATTAATAATTAATCTTCAGCAAGTGTTCCACCTATTTATAGGTAAACTTTCTTCTCATTCTTTTTTTTGCTTTACTGAAGGATGCACATGTGAAATGTTATGTTAGTGGTTATGTTATATATTCATTGCATTATGAGCGGTATCAAAATAATGCACAGGATGCTGTGCTGTGATAGGCAGTGGATAGTTAGTTAACATATATCTTCCTGGATGACAAATTCCAGAAATCAAAGAACAACAGTAATGACGTCAGCAGTCTTTAAGCTTTTCGGCTTGTCCGATTTGCTTGCAGGTCTAGAACCGTCGCTATTACTACTTTGTAGACTTTTGTATAGCTACCTCGGCATCCTGATCTAGCAATATAAGTACTTGGTTTCCTGAGAAACTTTCAAACTTAAGCAAAAGGATTCTTCTTTATTTCATTCGGTCACGCACCACAATTCAATATGTCATCAAATCTCTTCCCCGGGGACCCATCCAAGGTGATGGTGATCCGCAAAGTCACACCGGAGATCACCACATTCAGCGTCCCCTTCTCCCGATATGGGCTCTTGAAATTCGGAGGCAGAGGCACACTAGGTGACATACCTGTCTACCCTCTACGAATCTGAGTACTAACAAAACCCAGTAAAACTACGCACCGGCTCCCTCGCAATCATCTCCCCGGTAGCCTTAACCCCCGAAGTTCAAGACATCATCGCCTCTGAAGGCGGCAAAGTCCAATACATCATCGCCCCAGACATCGAGCACCACCTACACGTCACCACCTGGAAGCGCGCCTTCCCCGACGCCCAAATAATCGCTCCAGAAGGCCTCTACGAGAAACGCCAAACCTCACAGTCCTACAAGGACGACCCCGCCTTCGACCACATCTTCACCAAGGACGGCAAACACGCGCTGAGCATCTCTGACGAGTTCCACGCGGACTTCGAGGTCGAGTACATGGACGGCCACGGCAACCGCGAGATCGTCCTCTGCCATAAACCGTCGCGGACGCTGATCGAGGCGGATCTACTGTTTAACCTCCCCTGTGAGGAGCAGTATGCGCGCTCGAAGGAGTCGCCGACGGCGGGGCTGCTGAATCGGGTGTTTATGTCGTTGTTGCAGGCGAGGGCGAGGCCGCCGACAGGGCATCGGCGGTTTGCGTGGTATGTGTTGTCGAAGCAGGATCGGTCGTCGTTTGCGGAGTCGGTGAGGAGGATTTATGCCTGGGATTTTGACCGTGTTGTTCCGTGTCATGGGGATGTTATTGAGCATGGGGGGAAGGAGGTGTTTCGGAGTGTTTTTGAGTGGTTTTTGGAACGATGAATTGTTAGGGTTGTTGTGTTGTTATTGTTGGATACCCGGTGTACTATAGCTGTTCGTATTGCATGTTTATACATGTAATGATTCTTATGTCCCAAGCGACTAATGCAGAATACGACCGATATTCTGGCGTGTCTGAAGCCACGGAGCTAGTGAGAAGGTGAAGACGGCTTCCTATGACTCATTTCTTCAGGAATACGAACACGACTTTCTACGATATATAAAGACTATTCGGAAAAAAATTCATATCACGTTCATAATCATTTAATTCCATATCGACAAATCAACATATCCACCATGTCCTCCACCGTGACCACTTCTCCCGACGGCACGAAACAATTCTACGCAACATCCTCCCCCTACGAAGACATCATCGGCTACTACCGCGCCGTCCGCCACGGCAACCAGATCTTCGTCGCCGGAACTACAGCCGTAGATCCGCAATCCCCGCCTCCGCTCCCCGGATCTTATTCCCCGGCGACGCAAAGCAGCAGACCATCGTCGCTTTGACGGAGAGTGTCAAAGCGGTTAAAGAGCTTGGGGGCGCGGGAGCGAGCAGCATTGTGCGTGTCAAGATGTTCGTTGGGCGCTCGGAGGATTGCATGGCTGTTGGCGAGGGATTCCGGGAGGTGCTGGGGAAGCAGCAGGGTAATGGGGTTGGGGCTGTGGCGACGATGATTGTTGTGCAGAATGGGTTTGTGAATGGGGATATGATGGTTGAGGTGGAGGTTGATGCGATTGTAGATAGTTGAGATCAGAATTGAAAACCTCCTATTTGTGCGTGGAAGGGACTACTACTATGCCATTGTCTCCTTGACCTGTCTGACGAGCTCTTCGACCGTCTGCTCAAAGCTGCGATATTTCACTCCCAGCTCTCTAGTCACTGCTTCCCCGTCCAGCTTGTACGTCGGCCCGGGCCTCTTCCCGACCTCGTAGTTCGTCGTCACTGTTTCACGCGCCCAATCAAACTTCTCCTTGATGATATCCGCCGCATATTCGTAGCAAAACGGCTCCCCGGACGCAGGGACGTATCTCTTCCCGCCAGCTTCCGGTGTCAATAATGCCTGGACGTGCGCTTCCGCGAGATCTCTCACGTCGATCCAGGCAGTGACTCTCGCGGCAGGAAGCGGATCAGCGCCGGCGGCGACGCTCCACAAAACAGCGTTGGATTCATTCAGCTGCGCAATGCTAGCTACGGGATGTACGATCGGCCCGAATACCATTGGCGGACAGAAGGTGACGAGGTCGAAAGCAGGCTTCTCTCTTTCGATGAAGTTCCAGGCTTCGAGCTCGGCGAACTTCTTGGAGCCTCGGTATGCTATTACGGCGCTGGTGGCAGGGTCGACGCTTTCTCCGTAAGTGATTGGGTTCCAGTGGGCGCCGGTGTAGGTGAAGTCCGGCCCTGGATTCTTGGATATGTCAATGACGGAGGCGAACGAGGACGTCAATACCACTCGTTTGACTCTGCTTCCCGGCTTGGCGGAAGCGGCGAGGATTGATTTGACGCCATTGATGGCGGGGAGGATGAGCTCCTGCTCGTTGTTTGTGGTGTTATATGTGAATGGCTAATGATTGGTTAATAGTCTTCTGTAGAATTGGTACGGTGATAGACATACGCTGGCAACGTGAATGACCGCGTCGACCCCTTCCATCACATGGTCGAACACCCCCAGTTTGGAAAAATCCTCGATTTGAACCAACTCAAGCTTGGAGGCATGTTCCGGCCGAGCAGCTATCATCTGCTCACCCTTGGACAATGATCGTGTGGCCCGCGCACGGCAATACCTCGAGCCAACAGGCTGTCCACCACATGGGCACCAATGAAGCCAGTGGCTCCTGTCACTAGTACTCGACTGGGCTTATCAGCGACATGTCCGTTGAGAGTTGAGATTCACAAAATAGTTATTCTTACGATGGCAGTTGCACAGACATGGTAATTGTGTCAAATCACTCGTACGTATTATCGTTACCTTGAATGCTGATGAGGCTGTCTCATCGCGCCCTTTGAATGATCAATGCGGGGAAGCGGAAATCGCTCGGCATTGCGCTCGGAGCTGTTCCGAGATTCCGACAGAAATGAAGACCAAGGACACACTAGTAGGGAAGACTTGTCGGAACTCGGAATAAGTGTCATTGAGTAGGATTCAATCTATGCAAGGTAACCAACATTGTGGAAGGTTAGACACATCCACTGTATATATATATATGATCTATATGTTGCACATTACTGGTGGCGTTAGATCGTGATGCAATGCGAATAGGGACCGCCCAAAGTCAGGCCATTACTGCTGCTTCTGGAGCACCTCTTCGGTTGTTTGAACCAGAATCTCAAACGCGCGTCGGAGGTACTTCTCCTCGGCTGCAGGGTTGGCGCTTACCACCCTGATGGCGTATACACCTGCAATGACAGACGAGGTGATGAAAATCTCACCCCGGGAATTGACGAGCTCGTAGACCTCCTTAGTTATGGCATTTGAAGCGTCGTCAATCTGAGGCACCGAGGACTCGGGATTTGATCGAAGCTTAGGGCTCTTGATCCGGAAGACGGTCAAACAGAATGCAGGTTTGGTGATGATCTCGAATAGATCCGATCGGCTGCGCACCAGGTCGGCAAAGATGTTACCGAGTCCAATGGTCTTGCGAATGAAGGCTTTCATGCCGCTGAGGCCATAGCTGCGCATGACAAACCAAATCTTCAGCGCGCGGAAGCGCCGACCCAGAGAAATGGACCAGTTGCGGTAGTCGATGACCCGGCCAGTCTCGGAGTAGGGGTTGCGCAAGTAAGCAGGAGTGATGTCGAGCGCGTCTGTGAGGTCAAAGCGGTTTCGTACATATAGGCAGCTATCCAAGTTAGCAATCCCAATTTCGAATGAGCCGCTTGGCAGTACCTTGCGTCAAAGTTTACAAGCAACCACTTGTGCATATTCATGTCGAAACTGTCAACACCTTCCGCAAAGTCCTTGGCGATGTACTGCCACTCATCCGCAACAAGCGCAGCACCGGCATAGGCAGCGTCGATATGTACCCAGATTCGCTGCCAATGAGGCTTCTCCTTTAACACAGCCTTGATCTCCGCAAAGCGATCCAACGCGCAAGTGTTGGTCGTACCCATACCTAGCGTGATGTAGTAAGGGGTGAGCCCATCCTTATCGCACTGCTCAAGTACCTCTCGTACCCGTGGACCAGTCATTTCCATATTGTCCTCCAGCCGTGCAGTGACGCTGCGATACCTCGTTCCTGCAAGCAGTGCGCCTTTCGCGGTGCTGCTATGTGCCTGATTACTACCCAGTGCCACAAGTCTCGGTCTCAACTCCATCACACGATCCTCATACTCGACGGTTCCGTCCTTGAGACCCTCGGCCAACGCTTGTTCGCGCACCCTCCTCTCCCGAGCGGCGATCATCACCGTTGCGATTGCATCACTAGCAGTAACTTGAATGACACCACCTCCCTTGTTTTCCGAGCTGCTCAAGAAGCATTCCGGAAGACCCAATGCCTTGGCCATCCAATCCATTACGATCGTCTCCAATTCGGTGCATGCTGGGGAGCAGAGCCAGTTGAAAGCGGGGCGGTGAAAGCGGCGGAGTACATCTCACCCAAGATGCTAGGGTACGTCACACCGGCCGGAAAGAAGGCCATGAAGTTGGGAGATTGCCAGTGAGTCAATCCGGGCTTGATTTTCGTCTCGATATCTGCCTGGATTTGGGACCATTGCTCTGGTTCTTCGGGAGGATCCTCGGGAATCAAGGGGCGAAGGTAACCTGGTTCGACGGTCGGAACAACGCGCTGGGAGGGGAGACCGTCGAAGTAGTCGATGACTATTAAACGCAATTTTTAGCACGGATTTGAATATCATAATGCAGACCACACACTTTCGTCGATCGCCGCATGCGCAGCGGCCCTGAATTGGTCGCGATCCATCTGCGCTGCTGCAAGAGAAGTTTAAGTAGGAAATTCCGAATCTTCCGAGCAAAGTCCCAAATTGAGGGCAGGATATGGGCCAATGAGCGGGGAGATTGAGTATCTGACTGACAAACACAAAGGCAGAATGTCTCTGATACACAGAGAGTCTACAGCAAGTTCTTTCTGAGGAATCGAGGATTGCGAAAGGAGAGAAGGTTTAAAAAGATAAAGGCAGGAGGACCCCTCCATGGCGGGACGAAGACTCTCAGGCGGGATCAATTCCGCAGTGGAGATATGTAACGATACACTATCAGAGTACTATAAATTACACGGAGGCTTCCCAAACGGGAAGGACAGTCCGTAGGGCTCATTCAAAGAACAATGGCCGGGGATTAACGGCTGACCACCGAGACTCTTTGATTAATCTGCTTTGTCTTAATCTATGTTCCACAATGATGACTTCTTGCTTTCACAGGGTCGAGTGAAGCGATGAAAATGAGGTGTCTCAGCAGATTTGAAACCCCCAAATCGACTAAAGAGCTCAAGGAACTTGGCTGAACAATGGGACCTCAGCATTCTTTGCATTTTGCCTGCATCAGATACTCTTATAAGACATCACTTTGTAAATATGTCTCTTATTCATTGCTGTCTCTGATCAATCCTTGCCATCGTCTGCAACGCAAGGACTGCCCGCAAGACGTTTAATAATGACCAGTGAGATGTCTTAAACATAAGAGAAGCTCTTTATATAGAAAGGTATATAAGCAGATGGGAGTGCGTCGAGATGGAACTCGTCAACCATTCCTCTTTACTAATCGCATCTCTTTTATCATCCATACTGCGCACCGAGAGAGCTTCGCAACTAGCGACTTACTAAACCATCATGAGCATCATGGAGATTGACCTGGTCAAGCCAGAGCGCCATGACATCGCTTCGGATGGCGATCTCATTCTGCTTTACAAGAAGCATGCAAACCGGCCTGTCGAGTTGCGAGTCTCAACTACCATCTTGAAATCCCAGTCGATCTACTTCAAAGGCTTGAGTGGGAGGTGGCTCGAGACCCTTCCTGTCCGGCCGGACGGACTGCGCGAGATGGCCTTTGACAGGATCGATCCGGACGCCATGCTGATCGTCATGAAGGCTGCGCACTTGAAGTTCCAAGGGATCCCGGATGAGCTGAATGTGAAGCTGCTTCACAAGATTGCCAAGTATGTGCATATGTTCGACATGTTCCCAGCTGTTTGTACTCTGGCTCGCCCCTGGATCCAATACGTAAGGATGTTTGTTGACCAATGCAATAGTACAGAGCTTGCGGGTTACCTTCTGGGAATCATGTGGGTGTTCAACCTCAAAGAGCAATTCAAGAAGGCAACGCGGTCTATCATCGTCGATTGCAATGCGGTGGATATTGACCTGTCTCGGACGCTCATTGACCAGAGCATGTTCGGTAAGCACCCCATTCCATTCCATTTGTTTCCCTCATAATATTGGATATGTTGACTAACAGGCCCAATAGATGATCTCCTGGCGATACGCCACGAACTGATGCGCGATATGAGTTCTTTGATACAGTCAAAGCTCATCACACCGCTCAGACAGGCCGAGAAGAATGGTAAAGCCATTTGCCACAAGGAATGCGATCATCACATACGCATTCATATGCAAGTGCTGATGGCAGCCCCTCCAAACAAAGAGACCAAGCCGTCGAGGATTGTGGAAGGATTGCGGTTGCTGTCAGACGATCGCAAATTCTACCATAATTCGAGTCGTGACCCTCTTGAGGGATCAAGGAAGCCCCTCTGTATCGGCCGTTTGAACGAGGTCATCTCACAACTCGACAGAATGCTCGAGAAGGTGGAAGGCTTTGACCTGGCAGACTGGAGACCAGAAGCTAGCCAGGATGTGGTCTGGGGTGATGATGTCGAGCCGGAACTGCGCTTGGACTGGCCCTACGACCAGAAATTCAACTTTGACTCGGACTTCGAGCTTAGTCCAAGATCGAGCGCATCGCCTCCGCCTGGCAAGGGAAGGAACGAGTGATCGTCCTATGAAGATAGGCTTGAAGATGGATAGTAGAGATTGTATGAGACACTGTGAGTGCTAAGTTGTGTTTGATCTGTCTGTTTTGTGTCTTACTGGATTTGTGATCATTTGTGATCATTTGTCATCTGGCAGTTGTTTCCCCGCACTTGTTGCTTCCTTTTACTGCGATCATTCACAGAGAATACAGGTCGATTCCATCGCTGTGTCAGTCCGTCATTTTCATATCTTCTACTTAAATCTTCTAGGCTTTCTCACTAATTATCTGAAACCAGTCCAATATGCCTCGTGCCAGAGCAACACTCGATGGGACGGTTCTCGCCGAGTCCGACAACTGGGAGACAGTTGAAGGCAATATCTATGTAAGTCCCCTTCGTCAGTAATTCTGATTATCAAGATCAAAGTTTGGAAATAGTAAATCTTGCCTGAAAACGTATAATTAATCTGTGATAACTGTAGTTTCCACCATCAGCTATAAACAAGTCTCTTTTCACTCCAACGGACTTGTCGACTCATTGCTCCTGGAAGGGAGATGCTTCATACTACACGGTAACCGTCGGAGGTATCACCTTTTGCATCATTATATCATCTTGGGTACGTTAGAGAAATGACCGCTCCGGTACAATAGATAAAACAATTCCGAATGTGGCGTGGTACTACGCCCAGCCTTATGACAAGGCGAAGAATATCAAGGACTATGTTGCTTTCTGTCAGTCCCTTGTACCCCGTCATTCCTGCTGCAAGGCTTTAATTAATGATTTCGCTGGTAGACAAGGATAAGGTGGATATCAGCGTCGAGTAGGATAGGATCATTGGTACTTGGTGTATGGTGCAGTCAGATTTGTAGTTTATGAACAGTGAACGAATCTATTATATGATATACACCATCCTCAAGAGCTCTTAGCTTGTGATTCATCCTCACTCCCACTGTCATGATCATAGTGCTCGTCATACACTTCCTGGTCCAAATCTCGGCCCTTAATAGTCAACTTCTGCATCGGCAAGAAGACAAACAACATCCGACACCACTCCGTATCACTCCGATTCCTATACGAATGCGCCGTTCCTCGCTGGATACTCACATCCCCGCGCCGCAATGTCCGACTCTGCCCAGAATCCAGGATCAGATCGACTTCGCCCTCCAGAACCACTCCGTAGTCAACGCTAACCGTTCGATGCATGGGACTCATCTTTCCCGGACGCAGATCGATCGTTCGTAGGACCGTGCCAAGCGAAGTCGTAAGCCCAGGCGAGGTATGCAGGTACTCATCGTAAGCCTGGACGTCAGCTTCGTCGTCCACAGAAACAGGATTGGATACTGTTGCGTAGAGAAGAGCAATATCCCCATCATCGCTGATTGGCTTCGAGGGGATGTATTCTGGGATTTGAGAGTGGGAGATGAACACCGACTCGCCCTCGGTGCTGTGGGTGGTGATGTAGCGTTTGGTGGTGGGGAGGATGTTCGAATCTTGTGGCATTCTCAGCTGCTCCTAACCGCGCTTGCTGTTGGTTTCACAACTTGGACGGGTGAGTCGTCTTTCCTGCGATTTTCTGAGTTGAGCCGATGGCGGCGATTAGATCGTAATACATACATCATCGCCCAAAAGGGAGCTAGGTACGGTATCCGATAACTCAGGTCCATAGAATAAGTGCATCCACGGTAGCTGTATCAACTACACGGCAGCGTGGCATTTGTCAATTCGGTCAACAAGTCCGTCCAGTCTGGTGTTGCAAAATTCAAGTCCCCGCCACTGTCAAGCATCTCCGTCCATATATCCTCGAGGGGTCTCTCATGACTCTCATTTTGATCGTTGAGAAAAGAGGGGTCTGCGGGCGAACCTTTTGTATCAGTTGCATTTGCCGAGTCTCGATAAGAAACGAGTTGCGCTGGCTCTGCCACAGCGGTAGCACCCAAGGCAGGAGACGATGGTAAATTCGAAGGCTGTCCATCGGCGGAGGAGTGCTTGGCACTTTTCCAGTGCTTTTGCAGCACGTCCATCATGGCCTGGATACCCTGACTAACCAAGGACGATGTTCGTTGAGCCTGGCTGAGCATACGACACGCATCAAGCACCTCTTGCTTCCTCTTATCAGCCAGAAGGTCATCCCAGTTGAAGCACACATCCATCAGAAGAATCACTGCAGCCATGAAAACGTGATGCATCACAGACCAGACAGTGGATGTTGGCGGCATGAACTTTGGTTCGTCCTCGTCCATGATTCTCTTGATTTCCAGCACTTTACGCGCAGACTGGAGGCAGATGACGTGCGAATACGAATACGCGGGCTCTCGTGCTCCCCGGATAAAGTACAGACGGTGCAGTCGGCAGAAACGCGAATGATAAGCTTGCTGCAAAAGACACCTCGGCCGGCTACGATAGAGGGCTGCAAAACGACGCCTGGAAACAGTATCGAGCCGATAGAAATCCGGAAGATTGTTATATGCTTGATGCAGCTTGCGGTCCAATTCGAGGATTTTGTGGTAGCCGACGTCGATTCCATGCATGTGTTCGTATGCCGTCATGTCCACTATTTCGCGACATACGACTGCCAGGTTGAGTCGCTGAAGAGTGTAGGACATCTGCGTTGGCTCGGATATTGGCGATGGTGTGGCGGCTGCTCTGCCCTGGATGTCTTCATCATCAATATTCAATGGTTTCCGGACATTCATGAGCTGGGGGTTAATCAAATATGTCCACTCCTGGGGACCGCTCAAGAAACCTAACAGCCTGCAGAAAGAATTAGCCCAATACTATGCCATCGGATGGCGAGAGCTTACCAATCAAAACTCGCTATATCCCACCAAAGTCGTCTCTTTAGTTCAAGCTCAAGTGCGTCGAATCCATGCGCTTCCCTTTCTTCTCGACTGGGGGACGAGTCAGTGCAATGCAGCATGAGACTTTTTGCCTGACCAATGATCGTCCCGTGTAGAAACAGAGCGCAGACCGATGAGTGGAAACTTGGATTAGGCAGATAATGCATGACAATGAGCGACGCCTGGAGTCCCTCAAGGGTGGGACATGCAATGTAATTGCTCCTTATCAATGCGGCACCGGTTAAGAAAATGAATTCGCGGCTACATTTCTCCGCGAAGGTGGATATACCATTGGAATACTGAAAATAAACAGAGCTGGCCAATATGCTGAACAGTAGCACTACGTGGGCTAAATCGACCGGTATGCCTTTTTCGATGCAATGGTAAATGCGATTGATTTGATCTTCGACACGCGACGGAATGATGACATGATACAGATAATCGATGTATTGACAATAGTATCTGAACAGTGCCATTGTTCTCGACATCTCTGGGAGGTAAGACGCAAGATCGACCGTCATCGGATTTTCACTCGATGCCAACCGATGCCGAAAGAAATTTGGGACCACTTCACCAAGGCGTGAATCTCCATTGTCCCCGGATGGGTCATGAGCAGCTTCAGACTGGCTGATTTCGTCCTGCAGATGCCTCGAAACTACAGTTGGAACTCGATCTGACATGACGATATTTTCTAGCCAGTCCGCTGTTTTGACCGATTCATTACTCGTCCGCATTGGTCGAGGATCCGTGATAGAAGGAGCAATAATGTCGCCAGCCTCCCTCGGCTGGCCTCTAATACCTTGGCTTGGAGCAGTATTAGTGTGGCTTGCATTTTCCACTTCAACTATCGCAGGTTCAATCCTCTCCAGCGATATACCATAGCTGCAGGACAGCCTTCGAGTAACACAGCTGCTGCATGGTCGCTGACGATTGCATTTGAGCTTCTTCCGCCGACAAGATTCGCAGGACACTGGATCTTGTCTGGGGGCCTTTTTGCCCCTGTATCGGATAAGTTTGGAGCAGATTTGCGCTTCATATCCCTTATTGTGATTGTTGAAATGATTGAGGGGTCCGTTGTAGCAACAAGCCGTAGGACCCGAACCTTATTTGGCTATTTCGGTGTCATGCTAGCTTATTAGTCTGACAATTGATGCGAAATAGACGTTGGATGGTTCTTAGGGAAAGAAAAGAGAAAAAGAAACAGAAAAAAGGAGTTGGCATGTTGCACTGCTTAATTTTGATTACGTCATCTAAACCAAACACTTCCTGCTTCATTTTGATCTGAGAGAGTTGAGTAAGGGGATCTACTACTTCAAGATATCATTTTCGCACAATCTACAACAAAAGCAGGCAGGTCAAGCCGGCACCTCCATTGGGAAGATTGACATTGGACAGGAAATACGCCTCCGATGTGCAATGAAATGACACGATTTGGATTTCCATTTTTAATGGTATAAAGCACAATCTAGCCTTGTAGAGCTCATCCATCATGTGCGTATATGCCATCGACTCTAAGACACCTCTGTGACTGCTCCCATTCTTCAATCCCCACAACACCCACCTTGAGAAAGGAGTCATCCTCATCAATACGCTTTCTTAGTGGCCCGTTGAGCAGTTCTGTCACATCCCACTTTGCCCATACAAACCTCCCATGCAAGAACCTTGCTTCTGGAGACGCAGCCCACACAGCAAACTGCCCCGGTAAATTCTCTGCATCGGCGTCAGCGCTCTCTGCATACGTTCAACAGATCTTCAAAGTGGCGCATGCTAGTTACCATCGTCCCATCGAGGGTCATCCTTCTCGAAACCCGCGAGTTCTGCCAGTTCTGTGAAGACACCGCCAGGATGGTAGCTAACTATCTGGAGCTCTTCCGGAGGGACGTCCTTAGCGATCTGTTGCACTAGCATTGTCCCCGCACTCTTAGTGGCTGCGTAGCTTGGGTACTGGCCGGTGAGTTTACTCTCGTGGATCGCAAGAGAAGCCAAATTGATAAGTGCCTGCCCGCCCTCGTCAACATCAAGTCACCCGAATAAATACAGTGGGTCTGCGCTCACTTTTTGGCGGACTTTAGCACCTGGCTGCTTGTACAACCGTTCGGTAAAGTCAAGGTGTGCCCATACATTGATAATGTACTCTTCCCACACCTTGTCCCTGCCTAGGTCGAGAATAGGCTGCGGTGAGAGCTTGGCTGCGTTAAGCACGACGACGTCGACAAAAGTATTGTCGTTTGCTAGGCCATTCCACAGCCTATCAACGGACTCGGCGTCGGCAATGTCGCATCTGAGCCCTACGGTCTGAGTCGAGGGAAACTCGGATGCGAGGCGTGTTGCGGCGGAGGCAACCAAGTTGTCCCGCCGGCCGATGATGATAAGCCTTTTTGCGCTGGCCTGGGCGAAAGCCCGCGCGATGGCATAACCTATGCCCGTGTGGCCGCCCGTGATGAGCACAGTCTTCCCTGCCTGCGAGAGCTCAGGCCGCGACGGCGCGATTGCATGATAGGGAGCATTGTGAACTGTCTGGGTGAAGGCGAAGCCTGGTGGCAAGGTGATAGTAGAAGACATGGTTGTTTTAATTGTTTTAAGAGGTCGAGGCTGAGAACTCGAATAGAGACTCTGGAGTCTGAACGTTGACACTGCAAGGAGAGATATAGTTAGGGTACAAGGCTATAAACAAACCATCCAGATCTCAAAGGGAAAGAAGCTCTATTTATGAGGTTCACACTCCCTTTCTTACACTTCCTAGAACCAGCCCTACAACGGCGCATCCGGTTCCCGCCAGCTGTGTTAACAAAGACAGTGATAGCCCCAACTACAAACCTTAGCATGGTCCATTACATGTGCCAACTCCGCCAACTCCGCAACATACTTCAAACTCCGCAAAGCCTCCGCCGGATCCCAGTAAGAACCGTATGCGCGATTTTCGAGGCCTGTACTCTCAACGCTGCCCTTGTCGCCGCCACTCTCTCGCTTTCATCTTAATCAAAGGGCCGTTCACCCAACGGCTAGTTACATGGTCAAATGTTGATTGACGGAACTCGGCGACTACGCTACCGATCCGGTGCCACCTTTCCTGGATCCATTACGGCACTTGGCCATGAACTTAGCGACTTTGTTAATGTCTTCTAACTACGCGGAATCATGTCAACCGGGCGCGAGATTATAGGACGCATAGACTATCCACAGTCTCCACGAGCCAGTACGAATTTGGCCGCAGTTATGTTCTTGCTCCAGGCAAAAACAATGGGTCAGTCCTGCTCCTTGGAGATGCCGTTTCGATCAACTATCGCCTGAAAAAACCTAGTGAGACGTGGTGGAAATGAGACTGGTATGGAATTAAAAACTGGCGGAGGTTGCACCGAAATTCATCAGCAGAGTACTGGAAAATGCTCTGTTTGCAAAATCTCCGCCGTTAGGAGTCATAAGCTAGATTGGTGGCGTCGACCTTCCAGATCCATCTGTAAGTTATTGTCCTGCCTCTTCGTCCGGCAATGGAGTGGCCGTATCACGGATCGTTATGAGTGGACCTTTGTCCCGTGCTGCGCTAGAATTCGTTCTTCTTCTTCACCCCTCAGCCAGCACTACGAGTCACCTGTGCACGCACATCCCGAGGATCACTGACAGCCTGTGTTGGGGGCACAGACTTGACTAAGCAGACCATGGATAATCTTTGGGATCCGTTGAGGGCTCATGCATGCTCATGCTGGTTTCAGGATTGTGATATGACAGGCAGTGGGCTTGGCTGTTCAACCTTCTCTCGTTGCGCGTACCCTGCTCATCCGGTAGTTAGCCAGCGTGACATATATCAACCTGTCCGCCTAGCATCATATCCACGGCGCAGAGGGGCCCCGGGGGCCCAAGCACATCCTGCCCAATATGAGTAAAGGGAACAGGGAGCTTATATTCGCCCTTTTCCATCATCGACATGCGTCTTAAGCCTCCTTATTGGGTCCCCTCTACCACTGCTAGATACGAGGGCTAGATTCTTAGCGGATGAGCCTTTTGAATCTGCAAAAAGGGAATTTTAAACCGGTCACAGAGATGATGTGGTAGATGGATGAAGAGGGGATGCACCATCCCCGATAATAAATTGTTCCATCGTCGCAACACCTACAAAGCTGCACTCGAACAAGACCAGTTAGTAAGGCACAACCAGAGAAGCTTGGGGACTGTTGCAATAGGACAGGTATGAGACTCACGCAGCAAGCATGATCCATGAGAGGGGATCGACATCCACAGGCTTAGCCACCTTGGCAAAATCCTCGATGAAAAAGTTCTGCACAAATGTCTGCCGTTGTCGATGCCACGCGAGGAAGAAGGTGGGACTGCTATCAGCTCTCCAGAGGGAGCCAGATGCCGTCCATCGGTGCACGCGTACAAAATGTCCCGGGTCAGGCATGTTGGTGTCCTTGCAACCCGACCACTTGAGCAGCGCATAGAAGGCGATAAATGAGTAGCCCATGAGGATGGTCCGTCGGAGGGACTCATTGAAAATCCAACTCTGGAGGCATAGATATTCAAATCAGTCAGGGTGGCCATTAGAAAGCAGATAAGTGGCGCTCGAAACATACCTCCCACGACGCGGGAGCCCTCTGTCTCACCTCGGCTTCTTCCAGGAGACACATCTCTGCCAAGTTGTCTCTGTATTGTTCGAGCTCGAGAAGCCATGCTTCGAGGGTAGTCATATCCCGCTCTGCCTGGGAGCGGAGCCCGATATCCCCATCGAACACCCTCAAAACCTGGTACATCCAGAGAGCCTGCGTGTTCGCTAGTTTTTCATATACTGTATTTGTCGCGCCAGTTCCCACATCAGCCGGGCCCTGAGCCTGAGCATGCGCTGCCGTAGTGGTCGTCGACTCGTGCGATTGTGTCGTCTCGTGGTGATGACGACTGTGTGCAGCTTCCTTGGGCACAGCCAGGAGATCATCGACTCCCTCGGAGAGGACGCGCAGGGCCCAGTCACGATTGCTGTCGTTGTGAGCGGCATATGCAGACACTGCGGCATACAGTGTGATTATAGAGCGCGGTATGTTTTGGCGATAGAGGTGACGGTGAAGGAAAGGTGCCTCCTTAGTTCGGACAAAGACACCAGGTATCTCCTTAATTGACTTGGTCATGAGGCCGATCTTGGACTCGGACTGGTAGAGCCTCCAAGGTTGGAAGTCCTCCTGCTCCATGAATGGTGAGCCATGTCAAGCACTAGATAGGGTTCACAGTTGCGTAGTATAAGTCATAATAGTGCCTAGATGGTGACGAAGGTCTCCAACGTTGAGATGGAATTGCACTTTCAAGTTGGCGTAGGACAGGTGGCAAGGCAGGCAATATTAAGCATAATATGATGGATTGCGCAGTTCACGAGGACAGGAAATTACTTACAGAAACATCGCGACCTTCATCTATGGAAACCCGGTAATTAGCGTGCAGTGGCGAGCCGGAAATCCTGGATATCGCGGTCATACTAGTCTGGTCCTGGATCGCTAGACCGTGCCACGGCTGCATGTCAAAGGGTTGGGGTGTGCCTGTCATGTAATCCGTGAGGTTGTCGAAGTTTAAAAAGGACAGGTCGAATGAGGGTGTTGGGCCGACGAGTGGCATCTGAGGGTTCTCCGCGTCTGCAGCACTGGAAGGGAACAGCTCTTGGATCAGAGGAGGCCCATGTACTGAGGGGCTGCCAAATTCAAACTCGGCGCCAGGAATTATGGACGGCTCATCAGGTACAATGATAAGATCTCCGAAGTCGACATCCACAGCGTGTGTGGTAGAGTTGTCCGAACCAGATGCCGCGGGGTTCTTGTGGTAAAGACAAGATAAGCCTCTCTCAGCGCAACGAGTGCACTGCGGAGTTCGCTTGTCGCAGCGCCGTTTGCTGCGGACACAAGCATTGCAGCTTTTCTGCCGCGACTTGTCGCTGGTCCAGGGATTGACCATGACCCCTGCACTATGAGGGATGAGGGAGATCGGGTGTAACTATCGACAAGTTCGACGAAGCGAAGGCGGCGCGTGATGGCGATTCTTCGATGCTTCGGTAGGAAACAAAGGCTATCTTCTGAAAGCTGTATCCAGAAATACCTCTTGCGCAGCGAAGGGGGATTAATCAGTAGCTGTCCCCGTAACCTGTTAGGAAAGGGGCATTTAGCGATCCCGGCCTGTTATTATTATTCCAAGGTTCACCCGTATCATCCGCTTTTCCGCGCTCTGGCGATAGCTAGGCTAACCATATATATATTAGTCATCCAAAGAACATCGGGTGGGTGTCCTACTGGGTACATGATCTATTGGATGACGATCCCTGGCCTGGTCAAGAGAGACCCTCAATTCATGAGCTTGACCTCTGCATTTTTAGCTACGGCATTTTAATTATCCATCGGATTTCAGTAAAACGACAACAAATACAGCGTATGCTGTAATGGTATTATCTTGCTCAATTGGACAGTGCAGGCGCCTTGCCAACCCACTTAGAATCCCCGGTTATATGGTCCAAAACCCAAGTCGCCAAACTCTTTCTAGATAAGAACATACCATCGTCTCCAGTTCCTGTATATGAAGCGGTGACAGGTGCATTGGGCCCATTGGTTAAAAACGGCACTCGGAACAAAGTACACTTGAGTTGCGAGACATCTTGAGATGCTACAAACTCACCAAGGCCCCTGAACTCGTCATAAGCAGACCCGCCTATGATCTTGATAAGAACAACCGATGCTTTCCACTTAAGACCGCCTTTGTCTTGTGGTGCAGGATATGAGCATGTGCCAAGAACCATTGCCCTGTCGTAGTGACTCTCCACCAGAATAGGAAATATGCGTTTCATAGCATCGGTCACAGGCTTAACCATCCAGTCAACATGTATATTCAAAAGGTAACAGAGTGGGCTGATTCTTTGACGTACCGTTCCTTTTGACTTTGATACGGGTCCTGCAAATGAGACAAAGACTGTAGGGCCGGAAGTTGCCGCGCGCTGGAAACTAGCAATATCTTCCAGGGTGCCTTTCACAACTGAGACATTTACACTGTTGCGTATCTCATTAGGAAGCTTTTCTGGGCTTCGCACATAAAGGGTTAATGTGTGCCCTTGCAACAGTGCGGCGTTGCAGAATTCTAAGCCCGATGGCCCTATCACAAGTTGAGAAAGTCAACCTAAAACATTGTTTGTAACAGAAATGGCTCACCAGTAGCTCCGATAACTAGTATGTGTGCTTTTGCCATCCTCAGAGGGCTGTATCAATCGTTGGGTTAGCGATTGGATGCGCAGCAATGAATGATTCTGTTTGGTATGCTTCAGGAAAACCAGGATGAGCTGTGAGTGAAGTTTTATGGATTACAGCTCCTGTTATTGACCTGGGCACGTATAGAAGACGGACCCCGGACTTCTATACATACCCCGGATGCAAATTGCATCCGACTGACAAATCCTCAAGTTGAGTTTAACTAACCCGAGTACCCATGGTAATGGGACTTACGTCAGGTGCGCGGAGGCGATAATCCCTGAATAATCTGCGCAGCCAATCACGTTATTTCTGTCGATGAACCAGTCTCGGTCATTGGCGCCATTATTTCTAAGCAACTGCTTTGCGGAAGCAAATTGCCCACGCCCACAATCGTCGCCGACAATGAAGACTATGAAACGTTTGTGCACGCAAAGTGCAGCTTTCCAGAGTTCTCTGCTTGAACTCGGAAGCTCTTGTATCCGATGGTGGTACTATTCAGAGTTATTTAAGCATGCAAGCGTATAGTACTTGAGAATCCGAGTTCTTTTCCATACTCCATCTTCTGTTCAAATCAACGCGATGGATGGCTCCGAAAGGGCGCGTGCTATGTTCTTTTCGCATGGGTCTGGCCCCTATGTGCTCATGGGAAATGACCACCAACGACCGTTGGTCAACGTTTTGCAATCCCATGCCCACATCCTCGACAATGCCCGCGGCATCATCATTTTTACTGCCCATTGGGAGACGACGCACCCTCATATATCTGCAGCGCCCAATCCACAGCTCTACTACGACTATGCTGGCACACCTGGTCTTCCACAGGAGGCATTCGAATACCGATACGATGCGCCAGGAGACCCTGATTTAGCAGCTCGGATCGCTAGTACTTTACAAGCTGCAGGATTCCAGCCGATATTGGATACTGAAAGAGGATGGGACCACGGGGTGTTTGTGCCCTTGATTGTCATGCGGCCACAAGCAGATTTGCCTGTCATCCAGATGAGCATACTCAAGGGAGAATCAGATGAGTCTGAGGCAGAGAAAAATCTCAGATACGGTGCTGCCATGGAAAGATTCAGAGACGAAGGTTATGTGTTCTTGTTCAGCGGCTCCTCATATCACCATCTGGCAAAAGTCTTGGAGGCACTCCCAGAAAGAATGGGGAATGGAAAGGTGGACGTGTCAACGCAAGAATTCGAAGCTGAGCTTGAGCGTGTTGCTGCAATTTCGAATGCAGACAAGAGGTCCGCTATACTAAGAACATGGCGGCAATTTCCTCAAAGCTATGAGGCACACCCCGCTGGCAAAGCAGAGCATTTCATGCCCTTCTTAATCGGTTCTGGAGCGGCTGGGAACGACAAAGGTGAGAGGACGCAATCCTGGGAGCTGTTCGGGGCCACCATGAGCACCTTTGTGTGGTGAATTGCGAATCCAAGTCCAGCCAAATTGTTAGGAATAGATTAAGTTCCGTTGTGCGAGTCAAGGAGCTTTTAGCCTCTTAGTTGATGTAGTCAGAATTGCATAGACCGTCAGTGTCCCACTGCACCCTTACCGAAACCCTGCCTGCCGATAGGGTGGGAACGAAACAAAATCAGGAGACTTAATTGACTAACCTATATCGTTTCTAGCCACAATGTCATAGACTAGTCGTCATCCGAATCTACATAAAAGTGAATCCGTACGTTTCTGGATTTAACGACGATGGTGAAAGTAGGCTTGCAGATAGAGATATCTGCAGTTTAGGAATTAGACCAGAAAAGGTCCTGGCAGCAATGGAACATAGGTGGGGTATGTTGCCCATAAGCCCGTGTGCAAGCTGCATACTACTAGTTCTGCCGTTGGCATAAGACAAAATTTTCTGCGCCATAGTTAATAAAAAGGGCTCTTTTCCCCTCACCTTGATTGTCAATGTAACTTGCCTGTCCATAACCTTGAAGATCTGAGGCGATACTAACGCCTGGTGAAGTCGAAGTCTCCGTGCCGTTTGCTGCTTTGGAAATGGCATGGAGCGCTAGTCTTTCAAATTCGGAGCACAAATCCAGCAATAATTGTACCTCGAGGACCTTGTCATGTTGGACCCTTGTCAGGAATTCGACGAGATGACCAATGTATCGTGTGTGGGAACGTGCTTGTGCATCCGTAGGGTTCTCAAGCACTATCGCCACCAGAGTGATGCAGGCAGATATAGGATAGCATAGAAGATGCCTAGGAGGCAATCAGAAGGATGAAATTCTGCACATCCAGGAGAATATACGTACCAGAGATGTCCAGGTTGCTCAAAAGGCAAGTATTGCAGTATATAGATTATTCGGGAGGCTGCCGATGCCTGAATGATCCTTGATGACTGAATTTGTCGAATTGCACTAATATCGCCTTGCTGGTTAAGGTGTGCTGCAAAGCCATGAATCTCACTGAGGGTGCAATAGTAAGCAAAATGTAATAAGGTGATAGGCTCCCTGATTGTTGGCGTTGTTGACCAGACAATACCATCAGGTTGAAAACTCGACGGAAGCTTCGCTTTCCAATTCTCCAGTTGATGGTCAAGCTCCGCCACAAGGCCCAAAAGCTGATGTACATTCTGCCTTGCAGCCGATCCGGAGTAGAGCCTTTTCTCGACGCTGAATTCAATCATGGCTAGTTCGGCCTTCAATCGAAAACAAGATGCTGACATGCTAGTTCCCGGGACGTTTCCATCTATTGAAGAGGCAGACAGAATCAGATCTGGGTAGTCGATATTTATCGCATCGTCTTCAAATACAGAGGACAACCCTGTTTTCACAGATATAGTCTTGTCGAGTATATATGCAATCCAGAAGGCCCTCTTATGGCGGTTAGCGGCGGCAGGGTCAAGGACCGAGTAAAATTCCCTTCGGTGTAATCCAAGCGTCAATGAGAGACGTGCGGCCGCACACACGAGAACGGACGTTGTTCGCACATCACTCGTTCCCTGCGTATATATAGCCATGGCAAGAAGTGATTCTAGGCCCAAAACGTCTGCCGCTCGTAGGGCAATGACTGAATACATGCTGAATGCGTTCTTGAAGAAGTGCCACGACAGTTCTGTCATCTCACTATACGAGCCCCTGGCGGTCCGTAGCTGAATCGCGACCGCTATCGAAGCATTCAACATGGCCCAGCGTCCAGGTTGCTTCCCTGGTGAAACAGTAGGGTCTGAATAGTGTTGTTCCAGAAGATCCCTTAGGACAGGGACATCAAATAGCGGTAGGACATGATTGGCCTCAGTAAAGGCCACCTCAAACATGGATTGGAGCTGGAATTTTTGAGGAAGTTGGATAAAGACCGAGCTGGTGAAAGGGCCGCGGTTTGCTTCCAACCTGAGCTTTCTCACGTTTTGCTCCGGAAACATTCTGAACAACTTCTCCCTAAGAGCCGATTTTTCCCTCTCGTGACCATCAGATATTATCGATGGCCCAGGGAGCCTTGCTTCTGACTCACAATAAATCGGCTCGTTCCTCCGTTCATTGTGGGAGGCAGTGGTGAGGAAATTCCCCGCACCTGATAAAGTAGACTCAGTCCTGTTCTCGCATGTTCCCGAGGCCGTCTGTGCCAGCTGTTCCTCTGCCCACGCCATGGTATTGTTTGCCGACCCCACAGGAACATTTGCCGCACGGCGCAGAGAAGCCTCTAATTCCGTAACTCGAGCCTCGAGCTTCCCTAAATGGGCTTTCCTGCAGTAGAGTCAGCCGATGACCAGAGCTGTCCAAAGATGTCAGCTGACGTTTTCCCTCGACCTCTCCGTCTCACTCCCTGGTAAATACAAGTCAAATGGCGCTCTGCACAGGAGGTACACTGAGGAATGTTGCCGTCGCATCGTTTCTTTTTCTGTTGACATCGTAGGCATGCCTACCGCAAGCTGTTAAGGAGAATCACAATCCTGAACGAGATTCTCTTACGTTGGCGGTTCTTCTACCTCGTTCAGTAAGTGGCAAATCCTTGCCCTTTGCTGAAGACTCCATGCCGACAAACAATCCCGATAGACTGCTGGTAACGGACTGTTACAATGCGCTGATTCATATCAAGGCGGGCCGCTAAGATGAAATATTGGAGGAATACTAACCAGTCAACGAGGATCAAAAAGATGTGTGAGCATCAACCTATCGTTTCTCGATGTTGGTGCGACAACAGCGGAAGCAAATTGCATCCGACTGAGAAATTGCCGCCGCGATGACTTCTGTGTTAAATCAAGGTTGCAACCAATCACAGGCTTCACAGCATTAAGATTGATGAAGTAGCGTCGGATCGGGTGCGGAAACTCTGCTCTTAGTACCATCATTCCTAAGCATTGCTTACAGAAGCATATTCCCCCACTTGCAATCGAAGCTTTCCACTACGATGCCTGTGGTGCTTTTAAGAACTATATAAAGGCGACCTCCCTTGTCTTTGCAGTTACTAAAAATCATAATAGCATGGCGTTCTCCCTGTTACCTTATCTACTGCCTGCTCAACCTTCTTTGTCTAAGCGTTCAAAGCAGCCATATTATGATATTAGTGCCTTCAGGCCATAGCCATAGCTCTTCTTTATTTAGCATCAATTCGGAAATAGGAAGACACCTTTAGTAAAGCTAAGAACCTAATTATAATCCTGTCTAACCACTAGTACCTCCTATTACAGATCTTAAATCTGTGTACTAGCTTTATTAACTAGCAATATCTATAGTCCCTAGATAGGCCTAAGGTAGGAGAAATTAAAACCTAAAAGCAGTTAAAATTCAGCAGTTTATCCAACCCAAAATCAAACTGAATCCGACCATAGTTAGTCACGGACTCACGGGCCTAGCTAGGCCAAGGGAATCGCTTTGGTTTTAGTCTGAATTGATCAATCGACTCAATTGATCAATTCCCCTTTGGTACCATCTGTCCAGGTCCAACTACTCTGTTCACTATTAGATCACCGATCAGAGACATTGTCACATCCTTATGTTGTCCACTCACTGCTCCAGCGGTCCATCCACACTCCCATAAATCACATAACCATCTCATAAAGCTCAGCAATGACCTTTAATGTACGGAGTAGTTTTCCCTTGCTATTTATCTTCCTCAGATAAGCCATTCTAATCCCACTTTCCATATAGCTACCTCTTTACAGTTAGATGGTAGGTATGGGCTAAGTTAGCTACCTCCTAGCACATTACACTAGAATATATTTTTGTATTAATTATATTCTTCCTAATATAATATTAAACACCCTATTGCACAATGCAGGTGAAAAGAATCCAGGGACGACCGGACCAGGGCAGTCGCGTGTTCCACAGTCGTGTCAGTCAAGAATGTATTATGTTGCTGTCTGGCTACATCACCTCACTAACAAGCAGAATCTGTTCAGAGATAGGATGAGAATCGAGAACCTCCCTCAGTCCTGTTTAGCATTGTCCGCAGCAATTTGATACATTAACCGGTGTGTGGTTGCCCGAGATGTCGCTTCCCTGTGTCATCGGAGCTTCCGCGGACTGTCCATGGCGGCGCGGGATATTATGGTAAGGAATGCAGTTGTTCATTCACTTCCCGCCTTGAACATTGTCTCCCCGTGGAGTCTCCGACTACCCTGTATTACGCCCAGTAAGGGCTCAATGACTGACACTATATAACGATGTCTTCTCCTGCTCCATCGCGGACTTTTCATCGTACCAAGCACCCGCTACAGTCACACTGTCCGACAACAAGAGGATAGTTTTTCTTCTCGTTCAAGCTACCTTCTTTACCAAATGCCATCGGAGCGACGAATCGATATGACTGACGAGAAGCCGCCTAGCGAGTACACGTACGCTCAGAACTCAACAGCACAAAACAATAACTCGCACGACGGACTAACTCATGCCATTTCTCTAGACCACGAGCGAACTTGACCATTCTGGGCTCTTTTACCGGATTTTTCTGCACTGTGGGCTTCTTGAACTCGTTTGGTGTCTTTGAAGAGTACTATGCGAAGAATCAGCTTGCGGAGAAGTCTGAATCGACAATCGCATGGCTTGGTGCTCTCAGCATCTTCTTTCTCTTCTCCGTGTCCGTAGTGTCTGGCCCTCTGCTTGACGCCTCTGGACCAAGGGTGAGTCCCTCGTACTACATCCAAACTGCTATGTAGCTAACAGAGTGCTTAGCTATTGCTTTATGTCGGCTCGTTCGGGACCGTATTCTCAATCATGATGATCTCGCTTTGCCAGGAATTCTACCAGTTCATTCTTGCACAGGGTATCTTGCTCGGTGCTTCTCTAGCACTTTTGGCCTGCCCCATGCTTGCTCTCGTCGGTCAGTATATCAAGATCAAGCGTGGAGCCGCTATGGGGATCGTCATTGCAGGTTCATCCCTAGGTGGTATTATCTGGCCTATTGTCATTAACGAGCTCCTGAAAAAGCCCAATATTCGATTCGAATGGACGATGCGCATCGTTGGATTCATCATGATGCCTCTTCTTGCCATTTCGTGTCTTTGCTGTCGGCCTCCTAAGACTCCAATAGCCACGAAGAGGCTGCCAGACAGTCCAGATGCCAACGAGGCTGTGATTCCAGGGCAGGAGCCTGTCAGTACTCCCAGAACAGGATTTTCCATCTTGCGAGACTCCAAAATGCAGGTGACTTGCCTTGCATTTTTCATCACTTATTTCGGCATGTTTTCCCCTTTCTTCTTCACCACATCCTATGCCGTGGCACAGGGCTTCTCCGCCGACTTGTCATTCTACACAATCTCCATTATCAACGGAGCGTCCCTTTTCGGCCGCATTATTCCGGGCATCCTTGCGGATCGATATGGTCGGTTCAACACCTGCATTCTCGCGACGCTCTTATCCGGCATCATCGCATTATGCTGGACAACTGCCACATCTGTTGCAGGCTTGGTGATTTGGTCTGCCGCATATGGATTCACTTCTGGAGTGAGCCTTCTTTTAAGTCTTCGGTCCCTTCATGAGAAATGCTGACAGCCTCTTAGGCCATTCTCTCCCTTCAACAAGCATGTGCAGCCCAAATCGCCACACCACAGACCTTGGGCTTATCAATCGGTGCTGTCATGGCGTCTACATCTCTTTCGTATGTACCTACATCTTTCAACATGCAAAGCTAACCTTTATACAGCGCAATGGCAGGCATCCCTATCAGTGGCGAACTGGCTGGCAAATACGGATATCTTTCGCTTTCCATCTACTCCGGTGTCAGTCTCCTAGTCGGTGCTTTGCTACTTGTGGTAGCGCGTCTGATGCAGAATCGGGATTTGCTAGCATCTGTCTGAGATTTCGGAATATGCAACAGTTGACCTGATGTCTGAGGTGCCGCAGTGTGATTGTGTAATAGACACTGATAGCCACAACGTTAGACTAGAATGCCTGTTCAGTTTTCCTTATAGTGTTTCTCCTCTCAACCATTTCGATAAAGAAGCTTCACTATGTCTTAATTTTATAGGCTTTAATAATCCAAGATAAAAAGTTTAATAACTCTGCTTCTAATAGAATGATGGCTACGAAAGGATTGATGTGGACTGAAAAGAAGATAGATCGACCACGAACTGAGAATAGAACCATAAAACTGGCAAAATAAAGGTGCAAAAACCATTGAAGGAAATGATCCAAAAGGATCAAAAAATTGGACTCGCGGGGAATCGAACCCCGGACCACCCCCATGCTAAGGGGGTATTATACCACTAAACCACAAGCCCAGTTGTTGAAAGATGGAGACATAATTTGCTATATAAACGGACTCTATTGCATATACCTTCCAAAATGTTTCCATGATGTGGTCATCTCATTTCTGCAGATATCAATAAGAAAGTCAAATCAACTAGAAGATGATGCAGATTAATGATAAACTATGTTTATGCGATTTGCTCTCTGTACTTGCTCGATAGCATCATCTCCACCCAAAAGGTCTACCTACTGCTGAGGCGAATCCTCGCGACCGTCCTGCCAGCTGGTACAGTTGGCACAGCGCAATGCCTAAACACATTAGAACTCCGGATCTTGCAGATCGAACGAGAGGTGAATACCTTCTCACTGATGTACTTCCGACAGTATTTGCATCGCACTGTTTGCTTAATAACTTGATCATGGGAGATCCACGTGTAAAGATGCCCGATCGCATACAATGTAAGACTGACACCAAGAAAGCTGATCACCGTCTCAAGGAATGCGCTGTCGCATTGTCAGCTCAACAGACTCATATGAGTTGTCGGATAATCTTGTTGGAGATCCTACCCATAAGCCAGTACCAGGGCGCCGTCGTTTCGCGCCTGCTCGAGGGTATTGTAGCCTTTCTCCTTGACATAATGCTGCCCGCGTCGGAGCACGGCAAACTTCTCGTCCATGTTGCGGTGCAAAAATGGAAGAAGAGCGATAATGGGAAGAATGATGTCGGAGACGAAAGACGTAACCACTTTGGTAAATGCTTGAGCGATACTAAAGGATGTCAGTCAATTGCTTTTTGAGGGGACAAGACGGTCCTACATCAAACCCAATGCCACCTCGAGGACGTTGTCTCGCACGGCGAAATTGACGAAGCCATCCCAAGCACGCTTGACCGTACTTTGGGCGCTTTGGCCTGCTCGAAGGAGCGCTTCGGTGCTATCGTCGAGACGAGGCATGTCGCTGTTGGGTGTGTCGAGATGTGATGTCGAAGAGGAACAGTGTGGAATTGTGGACCGTCGCGGGTCGATCATTTATGTTGAGTGTTAAACGCGTGCTTTCATCATCCCGTCATGTGCCGCTGTCAATTTCAATAAACACAAAACTTGGAAGCGATTATGCATAACCAATTTTTTTATTGGATGAAATTAAAGTTAACAATTCTAGTTCATATTATTTATTCTCAGTGTGCTTCCTTGATGGGTCAGAGACACTGCAATGATCTTCCCGGAGTACTGCATGTATAACGATCCGAAGAGTCATGTTTGGAGAATATATATCCCAGTTTCTGCGTCCTATAGCCGAATGCCTCCACACACCAGGAAAGGACCAGAACTACGGAGGAGATCTAGCACTGCTGTGACCCATTCTTCATAAAAACGTTCGTCATCTTCTAATCTTTGACTATTAAAACAATCCCTCCGATCTTCTCCACTGATAGTCCAGCACGTCAGTGGCTTTTTCGGCGCAGGGCAAGCCACAGAGAACCTCCACAACATACAACGCAGCGTCAAAGCCACTAGAAATCCCACCAGATGACACGACCCGCATGCCATTATCGAGCAAACCGGCATCGACAAACCTCTTCCGGCCAACCTCCGTCTGCCCATACTTTGCACAGAGCTCGACTAGCTCTGGAATAATTGTGTAATGGGTGGTCGCGCGCCGGCCTGCAAGAATGCCTGCGGAAGCGAGGAAAAAAGCCCCGCTGCAGACTGAGAGAAGGAGCCGAGGATGGACTCGAGATTCGTCCTTGGGCAGAGAAGAAAACTTCTGAATGATCTGGATAACTGGAAAGTTCGTAGAGCAGAGCTCTTTCGTGACCAGATAGCTTGCGCCTGGGACAATAAGGACGTCGAACTGTGCAAGGGATGACATGGCTTGCTCAAAGCTGACGTTCCGTTTGATGACCAGGTCCTGTAGGGTGGTGATCTCGTCGCGGGGACCGGCGACAGTTGTGGAAAACAAACGGTCGCCAGACGGGCCTCGAACATGCGACAGCGTTTCCAGTGGGCCGGCGAAATCGACCAGGTCCATTTTTTCGAAACTCAGGATACAGACTTGGATGGGCTGGATAGTTTCCGGCATGTTGAAGGAACTTGCAGTTGTTGTTCTGGTAGGATATAGAGGGGAGAAGATCGCTGAATCAAACCTCGCCCGGGATCTCAACAGAACTTTATATCCTTAGACTCTTTCTTGATCCTGCCAAGGTCAGCTGCAGCTGTTCCATCTGTGATCGTTCCAGCATACCAGGGAAGGCTAGTGCTGACGCAACAATAGTAAGAGCAACGCGAATAGATCACTTCAACCGTTCCGCGCTAGACAACACGTATGCCCGTAGCGCTCCTACTGGTCCTTTGGCTTGTCATTTGCATTACTCATGTCTTCCAGAGAGACACAAGGATGATCCGACTGCACCAGCGCAAAACAGTACGTGCCGTGGTCTTGACACTCCTTATTCTAGCTGATCTTGTCTTGAAGTGTATCGACCAGGATGCAGGACCTGTAGAAAATTAGGTCGCGCATGCAGGGGTTACTCAGAGGCAGTCAAGCCCCCAGCAATCTCACACCCAAAGCATTGATGCATCGCTAAAACCTCATATTACGGACACCGTATCTTAGAGGAAGACAGAACGAAGATTGTAGTGAACCACCACTGGTATCAGCCCAATATCAATTTCAGCTTTCGGTGCTTGGTTGACAGAGTGATACTTCACGCTAGCTTTAAGATGGTAGCAAACTATCGCTCCTTGGACGAATGTAGACTCCGGGCGACCTGTAATGGAAGCCCATCTCACAATCATCCGAGTAGTTCCCGGGTAGAGAGTACTTGGATTTGATATTTGGGTCCCTTGCCTCTCTTATGCACTGTCATGGCCTGAATTATCCTTCCATGATCGACTGAGCGTAAATGCGCCCGGGGACAAGTCTATACCAATAGTACTATACATCAAGCACTTTCTTAATCAAGTTCTGACCCACAACCTTTCGACCTTAGCCTTTCTTATTCGAACTTCGCATATCCCTCTGATCTAGGCTGCTAGTTAAATGCAATGACCCCTGTTCCTGTTTCATGTCTTCCGAATCAAGCGATGTTTCCTCCACACGAGTCATTGCTGGAGCTAGACGGTCCAACCTTACGATTGTGCCCCACAAGATGCTACAGTGTGTTTTCCTCCCTTGTTTGTTATGGTTTATCTCCGGGAATTTATCGTAGTTACGCTAGAAATCTCCTCCATATGTCCATTGAGCGTCGGGGTACTTGTGCTCCGGACAGAGCTGCTAGTTGAACCCATTTTAAGCGTAGTGGTAAGTCTCAGCTAATATCGGTCATGACCGCTGGCGTGTGCACTTGAAAAGAAATATTCAAGATACTTGAGAGCACGAAAGTAGAATCATGTACGAATACGAATGTTTGTCTAAGCTTCAGGTCTAGATCTAGATACCTCGAAATCCCTGGGTACAACGGAGCATGTCCGCTATTGATGAGATTTGCTCGCTGGTTACGGATGGGTTTGAGACCTACCGTTTTAACGTACCGGAAACGGCAAAAAGGGAGCTTCAACATGACCAATCCCTTTTCCTTAAAAGAACATGTCCACTTTTGTCAAACTATTCGGTTAGTTTCCTTGAGACATTGGAGTTGGTGGAGGCCTTGGCACGCGCTTGGGGCTGGTGGTGAGACCGACTGGGTGTCGCACTAGGCAATTAGGGTCCTTCAGGGTGCTATATTCATCAACTTGCGACTGAGGGGCTGCTCTCTCCCATCGTGAGCGCAATCAACCTGAAGCTTTGCTGTTGGCGCTATTTGAGTGAAATCAGGCAGATATAAACCTGCGAGTTGCCATGCTTGTCTGCTTCTTCCAGTCGCATCGCATTCCTGTCATTCTTTTCTATTTCAGTTAATTGTTGATTTGTTCGTCTTAGTCGTTGATCGACTCTACACTCTTTCACCATGTATTTCTTTTCGCTGGTAGCCGCGGCTGGACTCGCGCATGCCTACACTGTGGTCGTCGCCGAGCAGTTCATGCTGAAAAACATTGATCCTATTGTTCTTCCTGGCCAGTACAAGAGCCACATGCACAGCTTCTTCGGATCTGATGCCGTCACGATCAACACCAACACCTCGGCCGAGCTCCAGGCCGGTTGCTCAACCAACGAGAACCCCAACGACCTTTCCGTCTACTGTACGCTTCTCTCTTCCTTTCAATCTATTGGCTAATCTAACCAAAACAGGGGTCCCAACCTTATACCTGACCGAAGGCGGCAAACACACCCCATCACCCCCATGCGCTTCAGCGCCTACTACGTCAACATCGGCGACGCCGAGATCGCCTTCCCGCAGAACTTCAAAGCCGTTGCCGGCAACGCCAAGGGCACGTCCCAGGCGGACGTCGAGAGCGTCTACGGCATTCAGTGGATGTGCGAGGGCGTCTCCAACACCGACGGCGGCAAGGACGTCGCCGCCTTCCCGACCAAGACCTGCCCTACCCATCTGCAGTCCCTCCTGCTGTTCCCGGACTGCGTCAACCCAGACACCCTCGACTCCGCCTACTCAGGCACCCAGAACTGGAGCGGCAGCTTCCGGCCCGCGAACCGCTGCCCGGCGGGCATGAAGCGCATCCCACAGCTGCGCTTCTCCATCCGCTATGATCTGCGCAAGCTGCTACCGAATGGGTGGTCCGGCACGCCGCCGCTGGAGTTGGCGTGCGGCTCATCGTACTGCTGGCACGGCGATTTTATTAATGGATGGGTTCCTGAGGCGGCGGAGAATATGCTCAAGGCGACGGATAAGCGGGAGTTTATGCAGATTGATGGGCCGCTGGGCGGAGGGAAGGATGGGTCCAAGTGTGGAGCGAAGAATGCGAAAGATCAGGATCCTAATCATGGAACGAGCGATTATGAGGAGAGTGTGAAGATGATGTCGAGCAAGAGGAGTATTGGCCGGCGTCGGTGATCTAGCCTGGGGTACCAATCCTGTCTATGTTCAGGATGAGGGCTCGGCGATGTATGTACAGTAATTCAGGAATACTATCTTCCAGTATTCTCTGTTGCTGCTCTCGTTCTTATTCTCATGCTATACTACGTACGATCGCTTTCATCTACACAGCAAGGTAGTGCAGATAAACTAAAGCCCCCAGAAGGACTTGCCTGTCGGCAGTTGTCATTCCAGGTACATTAAAGGGCACATTTCCGAGCTATGGGAGAGATGGCAGCATATCTCGTTAATTCCGTAAGCCTTCAATGCGTAGAGTCCCACACGTTCTAGCTGACACAGTGGCTTAGGAGGTGGCGCTTTAGGGCATTAAAAAAATGGCAGAGAAATAGAGAGGCTGAACTTAAAGTGATCGTTTTTGAGAAGTGGCTAAGATTAATCAGCATTCCCTAACTATTCCCTTATGATAATAGATGACAACGGTCTGTAGACGGGCTCTAACAGGTTAATAGAATCTTGATTGATCATTGATTGATTGATGGCAACGAGGCTGATGACTGACTTTGTGGGTAAGCTGACACTTGGCGGGAATAATCGAATTGTCCCACCATCCTAAACCCGGAGCTCGGAATTAAGCATAACTGTTCTCCGTACCATGGATGCCTGTGTATGGTAGGATCATACATCCCTCGGATTTTGCATGATGCATGAACCCTAAATAATCAGGCAATGGAGAATCTGGAGTTAAGAAGAACGTCATGGTATGGTTATAACGACAAACTCCAGCCGAAAGGGTTCTTTCTATGTGACAACTTTCTGTATAAAGACCGCCTCGTAGTCCTTTCCAGTCTGGTGTCCATAATCCCTCATCAATTGCAAGAGCATAATTTACCATCATCTTCTTTCAAAACTAGTGTAATCACCAGACAGCATCATGACAGCACGCTATGCGGACGTTCACAAGAATCCCCAAGGCCCAGGGGATGCGCGCCCAACAGCCATGCAGATCATCCAGGACGAGGGCTTAGAGGGCCAACTAACCGGCTCCTCGATCCTCATCACTGGCGCATCCTCAGGCATCGGCGTCGAGACCGCCAAAACACTCTTCACCACCGGCGCAACCCTCTACCTGACAGCCAGGAACCTAAACAAAGCCAAACAAGCCCTCGGCGACCTAGTATCCTCTCCGCGCGTACACCTGCTCAAACTAGACCTGGAATCCCTCGCTAGTGTGCGCGCCTGCGCCGCCGAGGTCCTCTCCAAGACCCAAACCCTCAACATCCTCATCGCCAACGCCGGCGTCATGGCCACCCCGGAAGGACGCACCAAGGACGGGTTCGAGACCCAGCTCGGAACCAACTACCTATCTCACTTCCTGCTCTTCCTCCTCCTGCGCCCGGCGCTGCTGGCCGCTGCGACCCCACAGGCGAATTCTCGCGTGATCCTCCTCTCGTCCCTCGCACACCGTTACTCCGAGGTGGAGTTTGACAACCTCAACCTCGACGGCGAGTACGACAGGTGGAAGGCGTACGGGCAGAGCAAGTGCGCGCTGGTGTGGGCAGCGAACGAGATTGACCGCCGCTATGCCTCGCGTGGTCTGCGTGCGTTTAGTGTCCAGCCCGGTGGCATTATGACCGGACTGGCGCAGCACTTGTCTGAGGAAGAGCAGAGTGGATTCACTGAGGATCCGACACTTGGACCGCGGCTTAAGAGTCCGGAGCAGGGTGCTGCTACTTCGGTTTGGGGGGCTGTCGCCAGAGCTCTGGAGGGGATGGGCGGGAAGTACCTCGAGGATGTGCAGATTGCTGAAGCGCATGACGCCAGCGGGGGACCGTGGGCGCCAGGGTATGCCTCGTATGCGTATAGCCCGGAGAAGGAGAGGAGGCTGTGGGATGTGTCGCTGAAGTTGGTGGGTGTTGATGAGTGAGAGCAGGACTGTAGGCTTTGAATTCGTGCCAGTATGTACTTTATTTGAAATATGAATCGGCAGGTGCAGAATCTTAATGCTATTCAAATATGTCGTAATATCGCATCGGCCAGGTGTGTCTTCCATGGATTCAGTCCGCGATATGGCTTCCTCTATCACTATAAAGTTCCTCATCATCTATATAGTCTACTCCGCCGTGAATAGAGCAACATTCCTGGACCAAAGCAGAAAACAATATACTCGGATTGCAAAGAAATGAACAGACTCTACTCCTCATACCTCTTCATATCGGAAAACGAGTAAGGAAAGTTCTAGAGAGAATAATTTCAGCGTCTCTTCTTGGGAAATAAACGACTTATTGCAAAACCAATCAAGTCCGTTGAGTCCTCTCCAAAGATACCTGAGGAATATCCTCCTATATAGATAGAACGTTGGTCGAAGTCGACAGGATATGCAATAGTCATGACATGCCAGTGCCGTGCCTGCTGCCACTGGTTCTGGAATAACATCAGTATCCACTGAGGCTGCACGCACCAGTGCTACAGGTATAGGATATAGTAGACACTATTGCGATTGCTCCCATTCTTCGTCGAAGTCTGGGATCAAAGTGTGCCCCTGATGTCAATCATGGGGACGTGACTATGAGTACAGGGAGTAGAAAGAAAGGAAACCTCTCATAGCCTCTTAATATATGATGCATGGACACCAAGAGTAAAGCTACTCATGAGGGAGTTAATAGTTCTATCACCTTGCATATTCATTGCTGCATGCAGGAACTGCAGATCAATTTGCCCCGAGATTGGGAGAGGATACAAAATACGATGTTCAATGTGGATTTACCACGTCAGAGGTTGGTCAAGGCAGGGACGGAGCTGGACAATATCTGCTTTCTCCGGTTTTGGCAGGCTTCTGCAACACGTCTCATTCGAGAATATCCACTAATTCTAGTATTTATATGAGGGCTGTGTTAATCTAGGTTGGCGGTTGAGCTTAGGACGGGAGCCATTAACCATGGAATGAAGCCGAAAGTTTTACTTCATCATTGTAGGGTAAGCAATCATATCCCTGTATGCTTCGGCTCTCAAAAGAGCTCTGTATGGATGAGACCCGCGTTCAAGTCGCGGTTCGGGCCTTCCTTTTTGGCTCAAACCCTCACTGCGGTGGGTTCGGTGAGGGTTAGATTCAATTTTACCGGTTCAAGTTATTAAAAATAGTTACTTAAGGATTTTTAGTAAGGTTAGATGCGTCTGTGCAGATATTCAGATACTGACTAAACTATCTCTCTCTTCCATGTTTTCCAAGTCTAGGAGCCTCCCCACACAATAAGTTGTGGCACTTTCTCTAAGAGATCATGTACCCACATCAACTGCAAAAAACAAAGGACCTTACGACCATCAAGCTAAACACTCCTGCCAGAGCATGCTTGGCTGTACGGCAAAGAGCTTCTGCGGGCTTCGGGATTGGGGCTATTTTGATTGGGAACAGATTTGGGGAGAGAAGAAATGGTGCCAGAAAGGAAAGGATAGACCAGATGTTGACCCGTCTCATGCCTTAGACCATCCATAACCAGTTGTATGGCTGACACGGATAAACAATTCAATCGATGGCCTTGATCAACCAGCAATAAATTTCCATGGTGGTTATGAACCTCGCGGATACCCAAACAATCAGGATCGTCCTGCTAACATCTTCGCTGAGCATGTGGGCATGTTCATGCACAAGGCTGACGGCATAGAAATGGACGTGTTCTGGTACACCTTCGGCTAAGTGGCTATGATGATGGACAATAACTTGATGGCGCTCACCTAGGCTGACGAGCTTGATGCAGTCCTTGTACAAGAGGATGAGCACGCCCGACATTATGGTCGTGGAGATGATGATGGACGGCCTCGTAATCCTACATTGACTCTCTGGCTAAGAACGCCACCATGGTCCCGTTTTCGAGTCTGTACTAGGCCGAGCTCGTGAGCGTGTACGAGTATGCGGAGTATAGGACCTTGCACTTGACGAGAACGAAGTCGTGCTCAGGTACTCAATTACGAGCCTAAGCAAGACCAGGCTAAACAACATGGTCATCATCAAGCGCGCTATCGCATTGGTGAGTAAGGAATGTACATATAGCCACTCCCTAATAACATTACATCTATGTCCCTTTCTTCATGCGCTAGAGGGTGCATGAGATGGCGCACGTGTCTGCAAGCTTGACCAGAAGGGTGATTGTGATCTTCAGCTGCGGCAGGCTACATCAGTAGAAGCAGCATTTAATAACCTTTGCCCTGTGCACAGGCACAATGCTCTTGTTTAGTAATTTTGTACCACATAGGGCTCATTAATATGTTCATACGCAGCAGCATCAAGTACTATAGCTGCACAATAGCACAGACATCAACCCTATTAATTGATTAATAATAGGACCATTTACATGACAAGGAGATCCAATAGTACTAGAAGAGGATGTTCATTTGGAAGTCCTTGACAAAAGCAAACACCCACCCAACTCTCATCTAGATCATTCTACTGTGGGTGGTTGCTTGCTAAACCAAATCATACTCTCCAGAACAAAAATCAGTGGCACAAAATGACTTTAATTTCTTGCTGGAACGCCCATTATGTTAAGCGCAGCCTGCCCTGGGTATACTCGCATTATCATTATGTCTTTTGTTATGGTTGCATTAATAATTTTCTCCAGGATGGAAAAGGATCACATGCTATCCTTCATGCCATTGTATGAGATTCTTTGCCCATCTCTGGAGGGTAGTATCCAATGAGCCGTTAAGACGCCATTTATACAAACTTATGCAGGAGTGGTTGCATATGGAACAGTGAATACAAAATTTCGGACTATTTCAGATATTTACTTTGAAATATCCCTCCATCCTGGTGCATAATTTGCTGACCATTCGCTCAGCAGACTAGACCCTAGCCATCGTCGCTTTAAGCAAACGAATGCTCCTCCCCCTCTCAGAACCAGCTTCGAGTGGACGGATCATGTGACTAACTTTGACAAACACCTTAAGAGGGTTTTCAGATTACTCGTCGTCATCGCTCTTCGCCATACCAGTCACAGCCCGTTTTCTCATCTCATTTGAAGACGGTCTATTCCGTCTTGTCCCCGATCGTTGAGGTTGAGGAAGCCCCCCTTCGCTAATGCCAACTGGAGGCTTGACATTCTGCGCCCCAGGGGTGGAAGGAGAGCTTGGAGTGGCAACCTTAGCAGACGGTGTGGCAACTGCAGCAAAGCGGCTGCTGTAGCGCTTGTCGGTCAGGTTTCGAAGAGCCTCTTCTGTCATTGAGCCAACTAATTGTGCCGAATTACCTTTGGACAGGGCTTTCTTAATATCAAATAAATCAGCTAGAGTAGTCACCACTACCTGATCACTGTCGCCATCGGCAATCACCTCTCCAATCCTGTAGACTTTCTGTCGAGAGACTTCACTGGCCATGTTGCACACTTCTAAGCATTGTCTTGAAATCTGAATATCTTCCTGTAGTGCCATTCGCTCCTTGTCGTTTCGGTCCCTGTTTGTCAGTAGGGAATCCAGCCGTTCCTGAAGGCGGCTGATGATGTCCGTAAAACCAGCTCTGTTTTCATCCAAAGTTTGGCGCGTCAGCAGCTGAGCTTCGAAGAGGTTCTCCACATCGGCTTGGGTGATATTTCGCGGGGCCTCTTGCAGCACGGCAGACTCCCTTTGTGTTAGAGTTTCGATGAAAGTCTTCGCATCTTGGCAGATGCGAAGACACTGCTTCGTCACCTCCCTCTCATCCTCCAGATTAATGCTCACATCTGAGGCATTGTCATCTTGGGTCATGAGACGTGCCAATTTTTCGTCAATCCGTCGCAGGTGAATGTCTAGGTTATAGGCCGTGTCCTGTATCATTTCATTGTACTCCTGCAGGACTCGTTCGGACACCTTGGAAGAATGCCTTATGCGAAGAGGATCAGTAAAGTCTCATGCAGGAGTGGAACCTTGACTAACATAGTGATAGTACCCAATCCAACAGAGATCGTTGACTTGTATCCCGCAATGTTGTCAATAAATTCGTTGATGTCACCCCTCATGAACTCCATCTTTGCCCAATCACGAAAACCTGTCGTTGACTTTTCAGGAAGATGCATATGCGCGCCTGACAGAGGCTCATACTGCGCTCAAGAAAGACCAGACAGATGAAAGTTCATTAGACACACTCGCGATTTCTCAGCTGTTCGTTTCCTGGGGTATCCGTGGGGACAATACCCCCGAGTACACTGAGTATGTCGGCTACCTAAGCGGCAAGGATTTATTTCCAGATTTTAAGTTTACAATTCGAAGAGTACATTCAAGGGGCTCGGGAAGGGAAGGCAAAGGGCGTTTACCAGAGTGGCTCTCAATGAGAGATTTTTTCAGCGCGTGCATATGATTCAATGGACAGACTAAGGAGGGTAGTAGAATATCCTCGCGTCTGGAGACACTGCCCGTTACAAGAACAAGGGCTTGGAAGGAGCGTTGACTATAGTAATATGTGTACGGTTAAGACATAGGGCTATGTAGCTTGAGAGTATCTTGGAGGCTTCTCTTGAGCAGGAAAATAATTCACTTTGCTACATAGTCTGTTCGTCTGCATCCCCCACCAACATCCGAGAATCTGGCTCACATCACCGAGTTTCCGGAGGCTGGGGGAAGCTGTCCAGAACCATCTCTTTACCTTGCACCGTGAAACTAGCAGTGGGGTATTGGTTTTCTCCCACATCCACCTCCAGAGTGTACCGTCCCGGGTACAGCACCAAGTCACCATTCTCCGCCGTACGGGCCAGCGAACCTAAAGAGACTTCGATGTCCACCCACCTCTTCTCGCCAGGCTTGATCTGCTTCGCACGAGTATAGCCGACCAGCGTCTTGAGAGGATATGGCTTTGGCCCAGCATTAGTAGTCTTCAAGAACAGCAACGCCACGTAATCCGACGTGGTCTTCCCAGTATTGGTCACTTGGATGCGGAAGGTGTCGAACGCAGCCCTATCAATTGGTACGTTCTTGGGTGACCGGCTCACCAGCGCTGCAGTGTTATACGGTCCCAGGGCTCTGCGCGGCCAAGTGATCTTGAAAGCTGTATAGTGCAGACCAAAGCCAAAGGGCAGGACCGCCTTATCGTACCACCGGTAAGTACGTCCTGGAGTGTTTGACCCCGGACGCAGGGCCATATCGGTCAATGGAACCTGGTTGACATAGTCTGCTGGATATTGTGTTACTGGCAGGCGGCCTGCAGGCGCAGTCTTCCCGGTGAGGATGTCGAAGATGGCGGATCCGCCTTCCTGGCTGGGATACCCGGTCCAGAGCAGAGCGTTGACGTGTGGATTTGAGAGTAGAGAGGAGTCGTCGACTTGTCCGCCTCCGAACTGGACTACGACGAGGGGCTTGCCGATCTTTGAGAGCTGGTTGATCAAGTCTAGCTGGTTCCCGGGCCAGACAATGGTGGTGCGATCGCGCCCTTCGGCTTCGATGCTATTGTCGATGCCGCCGGCGTATACCACAACATCTGCTTGTTTAGCTGCTGATAGCGCTGCGTCAAATCCAGCGGTGCTGTTTGAGTTGATAGCTGTGCCGGAGGCGTATTTCACATCGTAGCCCAGCTGGGTAGCGGCCCAGAGAAGCGTGCGGATATACTTGGGCGGGCCTTCGTAGTTGCCCTGCATTTGCTTTGTTGCGTTGGCATATGGTCCGATCAGGGCCAGGGTGCCCTTGGCCTTGAGCGGAAGGGTCTTGTCGTTCTTCAGTAGAACGATGCCTTCGACAGCCGCCTTGTGGGCGAGTGCTTCTGCGGCAGGGGCGTCGACATCCTTCCACCCGATGGAGCGATATGGTTGACTCTCTGCGGGATCAAAGTACCCCAGTTTTACGAGGGAGGAGTACAGCCGAACGAGGGCTGTATCAAGTGTCTGGTTGGTATAGAGACCCTCGTCTGCAGCCTGTCCAAGGTATTTAGGGAACACCGTGCCGCAATCCAAATCCGTGCCTGCGTTCAGCGCCGTAGCAGCGGCCTCGGCTGGGTCTTTGTGTAATTATGGCCGTTGTAGATATCATCGATGGCACCGCAATCGCTCGTGATCCAATGGCCGGGCTCATCCCACTTCCAGTGCTCCCGGAGAATTGTCTGCAGCAGATAGGAGTCGGCACAGGCAGGCACACCGTTCAACGCATTGTAGCTGCACATGACTGCGTCGACCCGGGCATCACGGGCACAGCTTCTGAAAGGAGGGAGATAGAACTCGGACAGATCCTGCGTCGACACCTTCGCGTTGAAGGAGTGGCGCACGACGCCATTCCAGTCCTCCAGGTCATACGCTGCAAAATGCTTGCATGTGGCAACAACCTTGGGCTTCGCCGGGCCAATGCCATTCTGCAGTCCATCAACCAGATGATAGACATATCGCGAGACGTGCAGCGGGTCTTCACCAGGTGTCTCTTGTCCCCGGCCCCAGCGCGCATCGCGAAACGGGTTGATATTCGGCGTCCAGAAGTCCAGTCCGGCGCGACCAGCGTTACCGAATGCTCGGCCCTCGGTGCTCACTACGGTGGCCACTTGCTTGATCAAGTCATCGTCGAAGGTGGCACCCAGGAGAATAGGCTGGGGAACGAGGTGGCGTAGCTGAATGGGCCGCTGTCGGCGAACTCGACGCCAGGTGATCCTGCTACGCCATGTAATGCTTCGCTCCACCAGTTGTATGCGGGTAGACCTAGTCGCGGCACACCAGGAGAGTTGTATTGCGTGTTGTTGACTTTCTCCTCGAAGGTCATGGCGTTCACCAGTGACCGAGCACGAGTGGTCACATCGAGGGATGTGTCACAGACGGCGAGCTTGCTCAAGGGACCGCTGGTGCAGTCCGGGAAGGTGTTTAGAGATAGAGCCACAGGGGCCAGAGAGACAAAGAGGGCGATGGCTCTGCCATAGTGCCACGACATAATGCCAGCCATTGTGTTGCTGGTTTGGAGGTTCTTCTTGACCACAACGAGGATATCGACAATACTTATATATTCCAGATATCGGCTCATTGATGGTTCTACCGATGGGCAGATGCCATTGTATTTGCCATCGGCTCATGTTGATATCACTCATCTTTTCAGCCGAAATCGAGGGCGGATGGCTCATTCAAGTAAAAGTCCTGTGGATCCCTGCACACTGGTTGGATATGGCCAATGGGTTATATCCTCGAAGATGCACATAATGAGGAGATGAGCTCAAAGAAGCATTTGCCAGGGATTAGATTTAGCCTGAATATGCAGTATTGCGGGGGATCGTCAATGTTGCATCTCGGGGAAGGGTTTCCTCGGCCTAACTCAGTCTGCAGGAAAAATTTCAATTGACATTGGTAAGCAAGTGAGCTACGTTGAGCGGTTTAATGTTGGCAGACAGTGATAAGTTGATACGTCTGTGCAATAGAATCATTGCGGAAGGCTCATGTATACAAACATGTGTTCAGCACCAAAGAATGTTAAAAGTACTCTTTCTTCTGGCTTTCTCTGTGCGACCAAGCGCATGGGGGTGTCTTTTACATATTAGTGTTTTTACTGGTGCTTATCATTGTGATGACAGGCTTAGGGGGCCAAGGCCTCGCGAAGGAGGGTCTGCACAGGATGCTTCGAGCAAGGCATCAGCGATAGGTCTATAGCGATAGGATTGTAAATTAGAGCTAGTATGTCTACCTGCCTATTCTAGCCATGTGGCAGGACAAGGCTCGTGATGTCTATGATCAGTCCTTCCATTAGCTCGAAACAGTATATGTCATGATCAAATAGCATATCTAAACTCGCGATTCTCAAAATCAGTCCGATCAAGAAACTCGTGGTCCTTTTCCACCACGTACGCATCCCCCAGCGCTTCCTTTTCCGCATCCCGTTTCCTATTCTCACGGATCGCCAACCACCGGATCAAACACAAATCCAAGGTGATAAGAACATACAGAATGACAATCGAGATTTTCGCAGGAAGATACCTCGGCGCGTCCTTATGCTGAAACGTCTGCGGCGATATGATGTTTCCCACAGTATACGCGATGGTCTGGATGCACGAGACGGTGATCTTCTTTGTCGACCCGGCGACATTGGTACTCGTCAGCGCCAGAATCGTCGTCCATCCGATGGGGATGCCGCCAGACAGATAGTACCCGACCAAGGCGGGAGCTTTATTCGTCGTGGCCATTAGGATCGCACCCACGATGCTCGGGATATGCCCGGCGATACACCACAGCAGGCGCTGGTTCGTTCGCATAGCGAGATACGTCAATCCAACCAGAACGACCACCTCGTACGCGCCCAACGGTGTCACGAGCAGCAGGCTCTGCGTCGCCGAGTACCCCATTCCCGTCACCAGGATATTGCCGAAGCTGGTAGCGATCGAGTTGGGGATATTCGCGGCAAAGACCCAGAACGAATACAGCCATGTCTTTGGATCTCTTAGCGCCTCGTAGAACTGCTCACGCTTGAACACCGAGCTCCCAATACCCTGCTCATTGCCACGAAGACGCTCCGCATGCAGGGCCTTCTCCTCGGCGGACAGGAAGCCCGCTGTGACGGGCGAATCCGGTAAGATAAAGAAGAAGAGAACCCCCACCAGCGTGGTAAAGACCCCTAGAATGAGAAAGATCACCTGCCATCCACGCAGCGCCGCGTGCGGATCGCTGCCGACGTGAACCGCTACCCCGTACGCAACGTACCCGCCGAACATCTGCGCCCAGCCGCACATGGAGAACCACAGTCCCACCCGGAACGCCTGTTCCTCCTTGCGGTACCACTGCGACGTGAAGACGACCCACGCCGGAACGATCGCGGCCTCCGCGCAGCCCAGGAGCGTGCGACAGACCATCAGCGAAGCGAAGGACTTGCAGGCTGCCATGCAAGCGAGAATAATGCCCCAGATTGTGACGTTGGTCGCGACGTACCGGGCCAGCGGGAAGGCCTGGATGAGGCGCATGGTGGGGAATTGGAAGGTGAGCTGGCCGAAGAAGAAGATGCTGGAGATCCAATTGAATTGATTGCCGTGGAGGTGTGCCGACTCTTTGATTCCTGTCACGCTGGCGTAGCTGATTGCGATCTTGTCTAGATATTGGCAGAAGTAGACGATGCAGATTAACGGCATCACGTACAGGTCGATCTTGCGGACGAGGCGGCGCGAGGCATCGGGGTCTAGGGCCCCATTCTCAGTGCCTCTTCCGGAAAGAAGTTGTAAAGCTGCATCGCCTTTTGTGGGGAGCTTGTCCTGTGTCACTTTGGTAGCTGGAGCTTTGTCATCCTGCGGGCTTTGGGGAAAGTCGACCGCCGTTGTAGCGACCATGGCCAACTGTTGTGCTGGTCCGGGACGAGCGGAATCAATGATTGGTATAGATGAGAATATCCCAGCAAATTGATGCCTTGTAGAAGGAATAAATACTCGAAGTTTTCGATAATTAGCCATGATAGTATCAAATCACGCAATCACGAGAAGGTCTTGGCATTACGTCCAGGAACCGCAGAACGCAATTCAGTGTGCAATTGAGTCATAATATCCAATTGTTCTTATGGATACCGGCTTGCGACCCTCGGTTATCTGAATATTTTCAGGGTTGGTTCGCTTCGAAGCGGGCAAGATGGAAGTGAAAACTCGGTGGCGTCTTGTTGACTCGTCCCCAATGATAATTCCGATGCTAAGAAATGGTTTACAAGGTTCAGAGGACAACGCTGGCTCAAGTTATCCTGAGACTCCTTCTAGGATATCGGCATACCGACTCAAAGACTGCCCTATCAGATTGACTACCTCCCAGATATGATCCGTCGTAAACAATCGACCCCAAAGGCGAGTGACAATAGCACTCAGCCGTGTATTGTTCTCCAACAACCATTCCCGACTGGCCCCATGCTGTGTCTCCATAACCATCTCGATCACAAACTCTAGAAGCTTGGTTTCCTGCTCCGTCAAGGCGGGATCAGGATTCGGCACTGTCACCTTCTCGAGCCACTTCGCCAGTAGCACCGCGCATTCCAACGAACACAGTGCGTATTGGTTCGACCAGGTGGTAACCAGCGTGTGAGCTACGTAGTTGATCCCGAGCTTGATGGGGGTGCTCAAAGCATGAGCGCAGTGCAAGGCGGCCCGTGTCAGCCGGTCGCCCCGCCGCACGGAAAGGTTCTGGCGCAGGGATTGCGCAATCTGGCTCGGATCCCAGGTTTGCAGGCGCCGCGCGGAAGTAAAATCCGCGTTGAGGCGGATGTACGCGAGACGAAGGAGGGCGGTGGATGTGAAAGAGAGAGGCCCATGAGGGTTAAATGGATCGATCGAGGATTCCTGGTTGCGCTCCCAGCATTGGCACCATTGTTCTAGCGCTTGTTCAAGCGATAAGGCTTCCGCCGTAGAGAGAGAGCTGTTTCGCGACAGGGGCAGGCGACGAGCCTTTTGAAGAAGCCAGATATCCTGTAGAATGGCGTGGATCAGCACGTAGCCACCCAAAGAGGAGAAGCTCTCCAGGTCTGCCTTTGGTGTGGTAGGTTGAGTGAAAAGGGACGAGAGCGCGTCTTGTAGCTTTGGTTCCGGCGACGTCTGACTGCGTTCTTGCATCCAAGCAACGGCATTTGGAGCATGCCATTCCTTTTCGCTGCATGGGAGATCCATACTGATTTCCTCGGTGAGGATGAGTGGTGTGATATCGAAGACAATGGTGAGGATATTGAGATAGCAGAAAACAATGAGTGAGGTCCTTTTCACACACTCCCGGCGTATCCAGCTTTTCCATGAGCCATCCTGCTCAGGCAACTCGTTCAGTCCTCCCTCTCGGAGCATTGTCTCCATAAAACTGCGCATGAAGAGGGATTCGTGATGGGACGGATCGCGTTTGAACCATGATGAGACTGAATGGAGCAGTAATAATGCCTGGATAGTCTCGAGAAGATCTTGGCTTTCAGGACTTCCAGTAGTCGAAAGTCTAAACTTTTCGGAAAATTGACCGGTCCCAGGAAACTGATACGTCCTCCGAACATGTTCCATGGTAATTGTCCTTGCGATTCGGTACAGGCTCAGACTTGTATCTGGTTCCCGACAGTACCGAGCGCCTAATGCTGCCATGGAAAGAAACAGCTGCAGGCTCATGTTTTCAATGTCCAACGTGGGGATATGCATGAAGGGTAATGATCGTGATATCCAGACAGATACCCTGTAAGGCATCGGGACAAAGCGTGTCGAGACGGGATGTAAGGATCTGGAAGGACATTGGCGTAATCAGCCAGCAGCGTAATTATCCTGTCGCGACAATGTGTTGTGACAAAAATGGCCCCCTTCGGCTGTCGCGCTCTATGGGAAGTCTGGGGGCTCTCGGGCTGAAGAGACGGCAACTGCGTCCCATGACGAGGAAGCACCGAGCTCGACGGTGTCACTGCTGCGTTCGCCGTACCTATTCGGTCAACTGAATGATCGTAATCGGAAGTCGAATCAAAGTTCCAGGCGGGAAACACCGGTAGGGGTTGATACGTCGGCGAGTAAGGGTGGCTGGGAAGCGGAATGCTGTCAAGGAAAGACGTGAAGTCGTCCCCGTCATATGCGTTGGAGGTAGTGTATCCGGAGAAAGTTTCACCAAAAGCAGTCGCTTCGGCCGCGCCGGGGGAATGTGCTGATTGTAAAGGATGGCCGGCGAGAGGCGTCCGATCCGCCGTTGCCGGCCGACCGGAAGAGAATGTACCTTGGCTGGCCGAGAGGGGATGCTGATGCGGCCCGCGAGGAGGCCCCGAGTAGAAGTGGGCACGGTACGATCCGCCACGGCGGATGCAAGGATATTCAGCCCATGCAGCACATGGTCAGTGGCTGATGGTGCGGTCGTTGGATGGTCGCCGTTGTCGGTATCACGGTTACCGGACGGTGAACTGTGGGACAATCGCTCATGGCGGGTCAACAGATCCCTAAGCACTTAGTATATTCTCTTCTTTCGACCCTCTCCTTGTTCAATGCAGTACTTACTTGCGAGTGAACGATTTTGGACACTTGTCGCAGACATACGGCTTTTCTTTGGTGTCTACAGGAGCGGTCAGTGGATTTGGAGAAGAGGGGATCGGGGAAGCGACTCACGCGACCGATCGTGGCGCTGGAGATGCTCCAGCCGAGCAAACGTCCGGGAACATCGCTGGCATTGGAAAGTACGGGCAGCCTTCACCATTTTCCATCGCGATGAGAATGTTGGTGTTATGTTCCCGAATAGCCTTGTGCCACTCTCCAACCTGGAGAGTCCTCAAGATGTCAGCAATGCCAAGGTTCTCTGTGCGCTCTCCCTGGTCGCAGCAGAAGACAGTCGCCAACACTCGGTCGGCCAACGAGGTCTTCTCGCAGTGAAACTGGCTGTTGAGCTCCAGAGAATGACAGCAATCGTACAGCACCGATGCTACTAGATGGAATGAATTGACAAAGGAGCATGATACTTGCTAGGCAAGACTGACGAGTCCTCGCATGGTTCAGAGTGCTTATCTAAGGCGTGATGCGGGACCGGATGCGGAACCGGCATCTCGGTTAAGAGATTAAGAGATCTCTACATGACGCTGCCAGTTGACAGGAGTCCTCGAACAAGAAAGAGGGGGAAAGCCGAAGGAAATAGTAATAATATGCGAACGATCACGTTTGTGTTGCTATCTTGTGCTTGTCCATGATTTTGAATTGTCACTGTCAATTCCATGACATAGATGCTATCTCCAACATGTGAAGATGAGTCAGTCAGAATACGGCCTTCTCCGAATTGCGCCTTCTCGCACAACCGAATTGGAGAAGGTGGAGCGATTAATAATAGAAAAGATCAAAATTTGAATTCAGTAGGGCGTCATAGTAGTGGTGAAAACTTGCAAAGGATGATAAAACACCCAATTAGATTAGCCGAATCTCGAGGATATCATTGGCATCGCACATATGACAGGTTCTTCGAATCTACTAAAGCGGAAGGATTGCAACTTGTCGCCTTTTTTTTTTGCAGTCTATAGAGGTACCTTCTCCAATTTTCTCCAACTGATGGTAAACGGATCGAGTTTTCACGACTCATAAAGACGATACGATAACCTGTGCGTCATTTGTTGTTATATCACTTGAAGTTTGTCCCAACTGTCAACTTCCAGAGGTCTATGGCGCAGAAAACCAGGCAACATCTCAGCAGTGTGCAGCCTATCAAGTGATTCAATATCTACGGCGTCCTTTATAATACAACCATGGACAGCGAGCCCGAAAAGGACACTCGCGACCAAGAAGTTGAATATTTATACCTGGAATTAGACACTCCTCTACCGACACCATTCATCACATCACCTCCGGAACCAGGCCAGTCACCAGCCCCAGAATGTCCAGATCTGAAGAAGTATTCGAGTCCGTTTTTGTGGCCTAAATGGCGCAAGTCCATGATGACATGGATCTCCTGTGCAGTTACAGCATTGGCGGGTTACTCAGCTGGCGAAATCAGTCCGTCGTCGGCTGAACTGACCAAGGAATGGGGGATTAGCCAGGTTGTCTTTAACCTAGGCATCACTTTGTTCTGTGTTGGATTTGCATTGGCGCCGATGATACTGGCTCCGTTTTCAGAAATCAACGGAAGGAGGCCAATTTTCATTGCTAGTGGGATTGTCTTTGTCGGTATGGCGTTCTCATGAATGATAGACAGTAGTTCACCAATGCTAATCTGCGTTCAAAGCTTGCATCATTGCCTGTGGAGGCACTCATTCCTTCGGAGGAATGCTTGTTGCACGTTTCTTCCAGGGCGCAGGTGGATGTACGTCAATCCTCGCACCAGAACACCTCTGTTATCGCAGCTACTGACAGCCGCAGCGACGTTCTCTACCATGGTGGGAGGTGTGATCAGCGACATTTACCACGCGGAGGACCGGAATACCCCCATGGCACTGTTCTCCGGTGCTGCTCTTTTCGGTACTGGACTGGCCCCGATGCTGGCTGGCGCCGTTGTGCAGCACACCACATGGCGATGGGTTTGGTACTCTCACGCCATCGTCTCAGCCGTCTTTGTTGTTATAATCTATCTCTTCTTTAAAGAAACCCGAGGCAGTGTGCTTCTGAGTCGAAAGGCAAAAGCACTCAATACGTACTACGACCAACTCGAGAGTGCTGGTCATTACGGGGTCATCATGTCGGATAAGGAGACGATCAAGCGTATCCGGTGGAAGGTGAAGAGTGATGAGGAGAGGGCATCTTTGGCACAGATGATCAGTATCTCGTGCTATCGACCATTCCGTGAGTTGTCAACCATCTACTATCCGTCGAACGCCATACTAACCCAGGAACAAGACTTACTTGTGACCGAGCCAACCGTGTTCTTCTTCTCTCTGTGGGTATCCTTCAGCTGGGCAGTTCTATATCTTCAATTTGGCTCCGTACCGCTAGTCTTCAAGACCAACCACGGCTTCAACGTTGAGCAAAGCGGCGCCGTCTTTGCCTGTATGTCACCCACCATCCCGGATATGGGCCTCGCTGACAACTTCCAGCCATGTGTGTTGGTGTCATCATCATAACCGTCATTAGCATCTACCAAGAAAGCATCGCGCGACGCTTCGTCACTCTTCCCAAATCCGCCGAGCGACGGCTCTACTTCGTCTGCATCCAGTCCCTGCTCATGCCAATCGGTTTGTTCTGGTTCGGCTGGACGTCCTACCCCTCCATTCCATGGATTGTCCCAACGATAGCAGTTGGATGCGCTACCATGGGTATCTTCTCGGTCTACCTAGCAACCTTTAATTATTTGGCAGACACCTATCACCGATATGCCAGTTCGGCGATTGCGGCACAGTCTTGCTGTAGGTTCTCTTTTGTGCTCTTTTGTTCTTCACTACTGACTTGACGATCAGGTCGAAATCTCCTCGGTGGTGTCTTTCCGCTGGTAACCAACGCCATGTTTACGAACCTTGGATATCCGGGTGCTTCCAGTCTACTCGGTGGAATTGTAAGTTTCTGTATCTGTAAAAAGGGAGTGGGTGCTGACCTTGACAGGGAGCGTTGCTGTGTATCGTCCCCTGGGTCCTTCTGCTGTTTGGACCAAAGATTCGCGCCAGGAGCAAATTCGCAAGTGTAAGTTATCCACTATACAGTCTGCTGTGCATTACTAACTCTACCAGGAACTTGCACACTAGTTCGTTATTACCACAATAGACTATATAGATAATGATAAAGTTGAATTCAATTCAACTACCTTTTGAAACCCAAACTCCGTTGTTGCATACTATCACAGAAACAACCCACTGGCAAAGGACCTGACCACGTCACTGGAGATAACGCATCTTCTACCGGGCCATACATACCTGATTTCAAGTAGTAACCGCCGATCCCGACCCCCGCCTCCTCTCTTCTGAATATCCCTCAACCCCTTCAACAACCTCTCAAACTGATCCAAACTCCCCGCCCCAGGAATCTTCCTGATCCTCACCTCCTTATGCTTCCTCGTCCACCCCTTCGCACTCGGACTCAAATGCTCAATCGTATGCACCGCCACCTCGAGCTTCGGATCGAGCAGCGCGCTCACCTCGCGGTGCGCAGCGCTGAAGAACAGCGGGTCCACCTCGCCAAGGAGCCTGCATTCGGCCTCGAGCGCCTGTGATTCGATCTCTGGGGTGGTGGTCGAGGGTCGTAGGAGGATGTGTGTCGTGCGACGGCGTCGTCAGTGCCGGACTGGGTGTTTTCGGCTCTTTCTGGATGGAGGGTTTGGCGGTCGAGTTCGTCTGGGCTGGGTTGGGGATGGGTTTGGAGGGAGCGGGTGAGTACGGGTGCGTAGAGGTAGACGGGGGTCGGGTGGTTGTTTGTGCTGTGCGTATGAGATTTCGGAGCATTGTGCTTTAGTATGTATTGGCCATGGATGGTTATTTTGTTTGAGGCGAGGTGAGGTGAGCTGCGCTCTGTCTGTTTAAATCCGTGGGAATATACTTTGGGGAACCAGTCTGGGGAATGCGGGGAGGCGAATTCGTCCCATCTTCTCGGCGAATCGAATGCCGTCACTGACATCATGAAGCTGTCTACCTATGATTGTCTCGATCGGGATTTAACTGGGATGATGATCTCATGATGCGGACAGATATTTGTTGATGATCTAGACTTAATGTGTCGAGTATTTATTTGGCCGTCGCCAGGAGGCATAGAGTAAGCAATACTCGAATTTGAACATAAGGAAAGCGACGTCTACAAATAATACTTTAAGAATCACATTTATGGATTTGTGGCAGACCAATAACTGCTATCTAATACACTCAAGAGATCTAGCTTTCTGGTGCCTGACACCGTCAATCACGGAGCCCAACGTCGCGACAGCATTATGCATGGTCGAGTGAACATGACCTACTATGTACAGAAAATATGAGAACGGATGGTGATAAAATCAAATGAACGACGCCAACCCACACGCTCATCACTACCCCCAATGACCATAAAAGCCATCAAGCTGACCCATCCCACCACGAAGCCAATAGTCAAGATGCTAGCACCCGCTTTATCACCCGTGGTGATCTTACGGGTAGGAGTGGTCTGTCCCGATTTATCTCCCGAGCCTGCAGTCGGGTCGCTGGTACTGTTCCCGCCGGTGGTCGAAGTCACTGGTCCTTTGTGTTTCGTGGTGATAAGGTTGACCGACAAGACGTCTGTGACGCTGATTTGCTCCTCCATGCCCGTCCATCCATCCCATTTGGACGTGTACCACCGTACACCGCAGGAATTGTTGCCGTTTCCTGTGCAGCTTGCGGCGGCCGCCACGGCTGATCCCTGCAGCTTGGGGAGAATTCTGTCGTAGGTAGAGGGGACCAGAAGAGCAGTAAACGCCAGCCAGGAGGTGACGAGGCCCTTGAAGAGGATCTCGTTGTTGTTGCAGACTTCGTTCGGTTCGCACAGGACCTCGGACATGATATTGCCGCCGTAATTGGTGGGGAAGAATAGGTCGAGGGTGTTGTTGAGTAGGCCGTCGACGGCAGTTGCCCACTTCGTGTTGGTTCCGTTGGTCTAACTCTTCAGTATCTGGTATATTCTCGGGTTGATTTCTGGGGACGTACGTAATTCCACATGTATGCCGCGCCCATGAGGTAGGTTCCGTAGTTGTAGGACCATTGATTATTTCCCTGGCTCTTACAACCGTCCTCAATGTTGGTCGAGTCGGCGACACTCCACGTTTTGTTATTGAGCAGAGGCGACGAGCAACTCCAGTCCCATACTTTCTCGGCCCATTCGTAATATGTGTGGTTGTTGGTGTAACGAGCCAGACGGGCGGCTAGCTGGAACAACCCCCCGTTGGAGATGGCGTTCTTCATTGTATACCCCGCTTGGTACGTGTAGATCTGCCAGCGCAAGCCTCCTCCGCATGTTGACGTATCCCACCGATCGACCTGCGTGTTGTAGACACCTTGTGCGAGGGAAAGCCAGGAGTAACCTTCCGAGCGATCGGGGAATTGTAACTCTGCGGCGAGCATGGCTGCTAGACCCCAGAACATTTGATCGTCGTTTCCCTTGGCTGGTTAGATACATCGCGGCTTGCGTTTGTTCAATACCGTGCTTACCAAGTAGCTACTGTAGTTGGACGGCATGTAGTCGCCATCTCCAGCCTGCCATTGCAGACCCAAGCTCACTTCGCTGTTGTAGGTCTGGTCGCCGGTAAAGTACTGGTATTGCAGCATCGCCATGAACAGGGCACTACCCTCCCACCATTTCGTCGGAAACGCACCAGGGATTTGTCCCGACTCGTTGCCATGGTAGTAACTCATCGCGCCGTAAGCAGCAGTGCTGGCAGCATTTTTGATGGACTCTACTGCGGTGTTAGTCCGGCAACGCAGATTGCTGATAGTAACACCTACGGTCATCGTTGATATTGACATCGATCGCCTGTGCCAACGATGCAAAAAACAGTGTCGTCCAGAGGGCATTCCACCCCAATCGTGGTAATGATTGTAAGCGCATGGCGATGTTCTCCTCATGTGAATCGCCGCAGGACGGAGTTCCAAGGCGGAGAAATCCTGATAAGAGGAAGAACAAAGAAGCCGTCAAATGAGCCTGGCGCCAGGAGATTAGTCTCTCAAACTGCCATTCGCTGCAAGCAACCTACGTAACATGCCGAAATCAATCGATGAAGCAGCGCATCACTATTGGACAGTTGTGGAGCTGGGTGGGTAAACAGTTTGATGGCTGTGGCCTTTGAGTGGGCGCTATCTCCAATAATAGGCTCGCCGCGTGTCGAGCCGACGTATGCCGTTCAGCCATCAAAGAGTTTTACAATTTAAATGTCAGTAGTTGACACAAATGCCAGTCTTCCCCTGCTATGTATCCGGTTGTTCATTACTGATATATGTTTATCTGCTTGAGAAAAACATGGAAAAGGCTTGAGAGAAAAACCTCCAGGTACCAAATCTTCGAAAATTCAATTTAAAAATCAAAGTGAGAGAATTGTGTAATTGGTTGATAGCACAGTTCTGTGTGGCGGTTCAAGTGGGGCACATACAAAATAAAAGGAGAACTATTGGATCAGCAAAAGCTTCGAAAGGCTTGTTGTTGCTGCCTGGTGGGCATTATCATGCAGTACGGTAATTTCGACCACAAAACCAGCCAATACATCCATCCATCCAATGCCTGGAGTGTCTGCTCCGTAACTCTGCGGGAGGAGGTCAGGTACCGCTGATAATAAAAGGATATCGGATATCCTACCCCCGGTCGCATGGTAGAGTCAACATATGCAGTTCTAATGTGATGCCTGCAGTCACCCGCCCTCGACCAACGGTTTCACTCTCAGGACGCATGATTCCGGACTTCAGTCGGGTGTTACCTTTATCGATGCAGGTCGCTGGTCATGTTATCCTCAGAGGCGTGCATGCTTAGTGGACAGCAGTGAGCTTGAAGCCGGATGGCGGTCATAGAGTATTCGAATATGCGCATCACGACCCTTCTGTGAGCTTTTCCCGTCCCTCAATGCCCACCCGAGCGGTGTTCGGCCCTCAATGTTCCCTTTCGTAACATTAGCGAATCCTTGGACAAGGAGGTCAACACATCGCTCATGTTCATTTTGTAAGGCCCAAAGAAGCGGGGTTTGGCCTGTATGATCCGGCAAGTCGACTTCCGCGCCATACACAGCAAGATCTCGACAGCCTTGTCACGGCCTTCCTCTGCAGCCCATGACAAAGCGGTCCGGTGGGCGTAATTGACACGGTCTAATTGGGCAGACCTTTTCAGAACACTTAGAATCGTTTCGTGGTGGCCATTATGCGCGGCAAGCATCAACGCTGTGTCGCCATCTGCATTGACGGAGTCAATACTTGCCCCGTACTCCAACAGAAGACAGGCCACTGCCGTATGACCCTTCGAAGCCGCCAATAGCAAGGGAACAAGCCCCGACTTGTTGCGTGATTCGACATTGCTCCTTTCTCGAGAAGCAGGCGAAATAGCTGATTCAGATCCATTGATGGCAGCGCAAGTCAGGGGAGTCCCGTCCATTGCGTTCTTCGCTTCCAAATCAGCACCTGCTTCGACAAGCATTTTCACAATGTTCGAGTTGACAGGGTGCCCGCATTTGGGGTGAGTTACCAATCTAGCATCGAATTTGGAAACCCAAGTGACGGTTGATCCAACGTGGTAAGGCCCAATGAAGGACAGTCGCATGGTCCACATCTCGGGCGTCAAGCCTGGCTCCGTTCTCCAGTAGTTGCTTAACAACTGTGCACCATTACGTCTGTATACCGCCAGCATAAGGGGCGTTCGCCTATCTTTGCCTGCCGCGTTGATACCGACAGCTGGTTAAGCAGCCACTTTACGACAGGCAAGTTTCCCATTCTTGCTGCGCAACGAAGTGCCATATGACCATACGGATCGGGTCGGTCAATTTTGCCCTTCTCATGTATCGACTCCAGGAATTCTGCATCACCAAAGGCAACCGCAGACGTCACCGCGCACCGAAGACTATCATCAGCAAGATCCACGCCCTTTGTCTGTCTAAGAAGGAGCAATACCACCTGAAGACGATGATTTCTGGCAGCATATCTCAAAGGCGTCCCGTAACAGGAGAAACGATAGTCAGCGTTCCTTTCAGCAATGAACGTATTCGCTGCCGTGCTCAGCCGCAAATGAGAGTGCTGTCCGTCCCCAAGCGTCTTTTGCATTGATGTCGAGACTCTTTTGCAGCACCAAATCGAAAAGGCCGTCTTGTTCTTGCTGCGCCGCCTCCATCAATGCCGTCCACCCTGTGTCCCTGTCCCGTTGATTAACGTCTGCTCCTTGGGCCAAGAGCCGGTATGCGAGATCATGTTGTGCGAAAATGGCAGCATGTAGCAAGGTAGTAGGTGATTCTGGTAAGTCGAAGGCGGCTTCTCTTGCTTGTATTGCGCCCAAGAGCAGCCGTACTTTCTCTTTGGCCCTACTCCTCCATGGCCGCTTTACGGGTGTGTTACCATGGATGTTTGGGACTGTGAAATCCGCTCCGGCATCGAGAAGGAGCTTCAAAATTCCGGCTTTAATCCAGTCGCTTAGCGATAGATCTAGAGCACTCTCCTGCCATGGGTTAGTCGCATTCACATTCGCGCCATCTTGATCAGAAGAGAGACGGCCATGATCGAATTGGCCGATATGGCAACATGCAGAGACGTCTGACCTCCATGCGCCGTCATGTCCACGCGAGCTCCTCTTTGTAGCAAAAGCTCAACAACCGCTTCCTGTCCCATATCTGCCGCAATATCAAGAGGTGTGACCTGGTGCGCGTCAGTCGCATTGATATCAGCTCCAAACCCCAATAGGAGTATCACACCCGGTATGTGCTTATTTATTACAGCTTGAAACATTGCCGTTCGCCCGAGGCTATCTCTTTGGTCCACGGCTATGCCTCGGCGAAGAATTGACTCGAGCAAGGCTGTCTGCTTCCCCTGCTCAAATTCAATCACAGCACTTTCCTCCACAGAACGAACATAGTCAAGATCAGTCATGGCATCCAGCAATAATCGGCAGCCTCAGTGTGTCCACTCCGGGCTGCAATCACCAACGGTGTGTCTCCATAGATATAACCCCATGACTTTAAGTTATCGCTTCTGATTTGTGTACAATAGGGGTCGATGCCAGAGTCCAGTAACCAACGAATGATCTCTGTCTGTCCGGTACATGCAGCCTTATGGAGGGCAGCCTCCCTATAAACGCAATTGAAGTAGCCCTTGGGTGCGTAATCCGTGAGCCGGTGAATAGTGGCAAGGCTGCCCTTTCTTGCCGCCCATTTGAGGACATCATCTTGGCCGTTCTTGGTACTGACGGTGATGGAATGCAACGATGGCATGAAGGCATTGTAGAGATGTCTGCATGTCCGCGCAAGAGCATTCCACGAGCGAAGCGGAAGTAATTCTGCGACAAGCAAGAGAATCTCATATGGTAGGATCAGCATGCGGCTATCCTGCGTCAAACCTGGCGATGAATTTAAGTCAACCATTTCTCCCATGGTCATGATGCTGTCTCAGAACTTCTTACAAACGAAGGGATATGCACACGGCACTGCCTAATCGGGTATTGTTGACACTGCCAAGAGTCACTGGGAGGATTAGCCCTTCACGTGATGCTGCAAAGGAAGTATATTCATCATCCCTCAACCAAATCTAAAGAAAACATTCTCTTTTCTCTTCGCAATCCCAAAAACATTGGCATGGAATCAACCCAGGGTTCAAAGGCCATATAAATTGGACTAAGCAACTGAGCCGCTCTGCTTCTTCGAGGTAGCTTGCGTTCTCATGCAACATGGTCCATATCATCGCTCTGCCCAGCGAGCTTCTTACTCTCATTGTCTCCTACGTCGATCCATCATCTTGGAAAAGTTTGCGCCAAACATGTCGCCTTCTCTCGTATTTCACTACTCAGTTGCTGTTTGAGACCTTGAAACTGTATCCTACCCAGGACAGCTATGAGATTATGGATGAAACTTTGAACGGTTCAACTTTGGAGGATGCGGTCAAAAAGGCGTATATCAACACGCGTGAACATCCATATGTTAGTATTCCCTTCTGATCGTCCAACGAGTGGTATATGCTTACAGAACTAGGACTCAGATGATGAGGAAGAAGCCTCCTTTCCCAGAGAATTTGAAAACAGAATTCCACGCCTTAAGACCTTGTCAAAAGTACAAAACGCTGTCTTGCAATTTGACAAGCGTTGCGGCCTGTCTAGGCATCATTGGATTATTAAACCTCCTCAGACAGTCGCCTTTCGCAAGAAGGCCCTCAGTGTCTTCTTTGAATGGCTGGCTTCACTCGAGGTACCTCTGCAATCCTTGGGGATTCAGCATCTGCAGGATATCAACATCAAAGACGACGAACTATCTAATAGAATCACTAAAGTGCTGCGGAATTTGCGATCTCTTCGCTTAAGCATTGTGAATGAGCACAATACTGCCACAACAGAAGATCCTCGAGAACTTTGGGACCAGGACAGATTCGGTCTATTTCCCGAGTCTCAGTCCTTTTTTACAAAGCTTCCGTCAGTGTGGCTAAAACCAACCGCGTCCTCTCTTGAACACCTGACCCTTTTCTGCGACACGTGGTTTGGGTTTCGCCCAAAGCTTGGATTGAGCAAGGTCCACTTTCCGCATCTCAAAAGTCTTGTTCTGGGAAATTTTACCTTCTTCAGAGACTCCCAGCTAGAGTGGATCCTCTCACATGGAGCCACCTTGAGTGAACTGTCCCTGGACGATTGCATGATTCTCTATGATCTGTCTCTTTTTGAAGACAATCTGGGTGAGTATTCTTTCAACAAAGACGAGATGGAACTCCGCCTTGAGGATGACGGGGAGGCAGGGTACGGGTACTACCGCTCCTACAACAAGCGTTGGCATCATTACTTCGATGCTTTCCGAACAAGGCTGCCTCGTCTGCGCCAGTTTCGCATTGGGACAAGTGATTGGACTCATGGTGTACCATTCGAGACCGAATCTGACATGAGAATCGGCTTACTTGATGAAAGGTATGGTGTGTTCTATGATGGGTGGGTGCCGACTCCATATGTCGAGGTCAGTTATTGGCCTGAACCTTGGGAAAGAGGTCCACCGAACTGCAATAAAGAAGATCGCAAGTCCTTACGCTTACTGTTCGACCACATTGGGCAAGAAGTCGAGGAGAGTTGGACATTGCATGGAATTCGGGTTAAAAATCTCATAGAGGTCAGGTCATGATGCTTGGTCTGAATTTTGGATAGTGCTAGACATGTTACGGTAACAAGTACATCGAGTGCACCGCATGCGATAGCATCTGAGGAGTGATCCAAAGTTAAAAGTAGATCATTTCTACAAGGTGGTCTCAGACGCAGAAGTATGACGTACATGATAAGAGTGGGATGTCAGGTAGTACATCAGAGCGTTTTCCTACCACCGGAGGACAACTCCACCTTCATTATCATTCCATCTACCGGCTTTGCAGTCACTTGCATTGTCTAGCTGAAACGTCAATGGGGTTGAAATGTCCGAAAAGAAGACTGGCAAACTCACGTTGAACAATTTGGATTTGACCGCGTACTGTCCTCGCGGATCGAGAATTGGCTCCCCTACACTGTCCCTCTTGACCTCACCGAGCCCAATCTTCACAAATTCGTACCGCCTGACCGCACAAGCCAGAATCACTTGTGCCTCAATCGTCGCAAGTCCCTGGCCAATACAGCTGCGCGGTCCTCGCTCGAACGGGCGCCATGCGCTGGCCGGTATGCGATCAGCACCGGCATCACCAAGCCATCGCTCCGGAACAAAATCATCCTTTGACTCCCCGTAGACAGCTTCATCACGATGAATGAGCGTCTCGCAGTTGTACATCAGGACTCCGTCAATGCACAGCGACCTTCCATCTGGCAACTGGATATACGCACCCGACCCCTCGGGCACGAGTCTCCCCGTTCCCGACGAAGGGTATACACGGAGTATCTCTTTGATTACGGCGGAGGTATACTGCAGCTTCGTGAGGAGTTCTCCGCCGTTCGGCGTAAGAAGCTTATCACGAACTGCTGCCGGAGAAGGATCAGGCCCAAAGACGTCGTCGAGTTCACGGCGAATAGACTCAAGAACACGAGGTGTGCGGCTTAGCTCATAGAATGCCCACTGCAGAAGGATGCTAGTCGTGTCATGACCAGCAAACAAGAAAGTTTTCAGCTGATCGCAAGTCTGATCGAGGACATGTACATCCAGATGCTCGATATCCTGTAGGCTGAGGGCGAGGACACTGCGGGCCATCTTCTCGTTGGTGTTGGCTTCCTTCAATTCTGCGAATTTGCGTTTGATGTGCGTCTTGATGATGGCATTGAGTCTGCGAGCCAGGGTATATTGGTGCCATATCACCAAGGGGTTCAACGCTTTTGCGCGCACTGAGCTCTTTCTGTGATAACTTGCAGCCAGCTCGTGATAGAGCTTGACCATCTCGCTCTTCTTATCTAGGGGAAGCTGCGCTCCCAAGTCCTCGTCCATTGTCACTGCCCCTACACTGCTGTGTGAGCACCAGCACGTTCTCCTCGGACAGTCGGGTTCCTACCGATAATATCAAATGTGAGATTGGTACATGTCTCAGCCAGACTAAACTCTTCGCCAGACTGGGCATAACGATCAAGAGTCTCGAAAAATGGCACCGTCTTGGCCAGTATACACGGAAGCAACGTCAATAAATGCTGAGGCGCAAATCCAGGATTAAACCGTTTGCGAAGCCTTTTCCATTCCTCACCCTGTCTTTATGAGCCAAGTCTCCATATTAAGCATACTACTTACGGGATGGACATACCTCGGAAGTAAGAATCGAATGAGGGCCCATCAGATACTTATAAGCCTGCAGCGTCGGCGTCTTGGGCATACCATACGGGAACTGCTTCGAGCTCCTGGCTACCTGTTCTGCGATCTCGTGGCTGCAGACAATGCCCATAGGATGCTGTATCGGGCGTGCATCGAGGAGATACAACGGTGGGTTACCAAGGTGGGCCTTGATTTCCGCGAATACATGATCTCCTTTGTATCAGTTGGTGGTATATGAGGAAGTCCGCAAGATGAAACTTGCCAATATGCCTGTTCGGCTCACCGCGGGAAATAAAGGCGTTGAGATCCTTCATATGGCCCCATACACGTGACGGCTTTGGCTGTGGCCATGCTGCGAATTGCTTGGTGCGATAGTACTCGAGCTTATTGAGTATCCAGAGAGCCAGCAGCGGAAGTGCTGCTATGACAGAAAGAACTAGGAACATGCCCGTAGAGATGATGCAAGTATCTTGAGCTGGGTGGTGAGAGAAGTTGGACATCCGAGAACGAAGTCGGGTCTGCATGTTTATGCGGGGATCATCCTTGGCGGCCTGCAGGATGCATCCTGGTAGGTGATGAGCTATCTTCGTTATCATCCTGGTGCAATATTATTTTTCTCTTAGTCTAAGTTTAGACTGTCAGTACCAAGAGAACAAAGGTCTGCTGCAGGAAACGGAATACTGACGGTGAGGTTTTATTGAAGGGTGATGAAGCGGATAACTATATATTCGTACATAAACGGAGGACAGTGGCCATCGACTAAGTGTGCAAGACGAAGAAGTTAATGGATATGAAGGAGCAATCAATGGCAAGTCTTAACGCTTATATACCCCTCAACATTCTAGGCCAGACAATATATGCCAACCAGATACATTGTATGATTTTCTAGCAGTAGTAAAGCGAAGCACACAGTGCGAGGAGTATTCGCTGCTTAGAATATCTAGCCTTGATTGGCTTTCACACCACAAGCAAATTGGCCGAATGGCGCAATGGTAGCGCGTTGGTTTTCGGCACCAAAGGTTGCGCGTTCGAATCGCGTTTCGGTCGTATCTTTTTGCTTTTTCGTTTTCCCTCCGGCCTTTATTCCTCAAATCTATCTACTACACCTTTCGCCCCCTGAGTATCTCAAATTTCTGTGTACTCGCTTTGATTTTCCTATCAATCTCAACCGACTCAAGCTTTTAATGTCTAAATAACAGAAGGTCATAATTCATTAGATGCTGATACGCGTGGATCAGACAATAAGCGTCACAGAAATTGTGAAAGATAGCTCTCATTAGAGAGAGGAGGATCAAGCCCGATGTTTGGACTGTTATCTACCGACGGGATAACATTTGCAAAGGACATGCCCGATTCCAAGAAATTGTAGAAGTCGTCAGTCTCGTTGAGTGCAAAATCAGGATTCGAACTTAATGGATCAACTAAAGCGGACTTTGAAGCGATTAATCTCGACGGGTCGTCCTGAGTCCTAGGAGCAGTGATATTGCTCAGTTTCTCAATCATGCGACCGGCAAGAGCAGAGTTATCTTGCAACTGATGCAGGATTTCTGAGTATTGCTGAAGCATTCTTTGACTCGCTTCATTCGTTTGAGGGTAAGCCGATTCGACAGCCTTGATATGAAACTCCACTGCCGCCATGAGAATAGCGATGCTGGAATTAGGAAGTAAGTTGATGAGGTTCAAGCGATACAATTCATCGAAGACGAGACTGATTTTGTTAAGGATGTGTTCCTTTGGGTGGCAGTTCCTTCCCGCACTGCGATTGCAGACGACGTACGCTGAGGCGAGATAAAGCAAGAGCAACCAGGCACGATGGACAAGTATGAATTTTTCCAGTTCCGTGAGAGCTGAAGACGTTGGTGATTGATGACGAAGCGCGGGTGGCAATTCTGCGTGCCATCTGCCCAATCTCTGGGCAAACTCTGCGATTTCAGTAGGGGAAGCCTTGTTCTCCGCAGTTGCAAGTCCTCCCTCGCGACTGGATGAGTCAGACAAGTCTCCTGATGGACCAGGAAATTGTCCTATCTGACAGAGCCTGGATTTCTCAATGAACAACCTCGCTAGGAACTGTTGATACTGCACGTCGCGGAGGAAGTCGCAGCTCCTTACCAATGTTTGGACGTTGGGAGATAGTGCACCGAATCTGAAATCGTGCGTACTGGGCGGAGGGGTGTCGCATAGATCGCGGTTTTCTGGAACGTTCATCAAGGTAAGAAGATTACTTGATGTTATTCGCACATGATTGTACATGGACCACCACGTCCGTCTCCATATTTGTTGTTTTCTTGCGTTTGCGTTGACCATTTGAGTTTGACTCGAGCTGATCATGGAGATGCAGATACCCAACCGCTGGGTGAGTTCTTTCTGGTCGCGGTGCGGCTCAGGATGAGATACCATCAACAGAATCGCTTGAGCGGTAGCGAGTCGGTCGTCTTCGCATTCAAGATCGAGAAGAACCTGCACAGATGAGTTTGGACCTAATGTGGTCGGGGCTGGGGGAGAGAGGTACCTTCACTTTGCGGGATAGACTCTCACGGAAAACACTACGCGAAGGATATCCTTCGGCACGGATATGACACACATCGACAAAAGCTGATGCAGCAAACAGCACGGCGTGAAATAGCAACAGACCGATCCGATGAGATTCATTATCACCGGCGACAGCTGATAGAAATTCATGCAGCCCCAAGATAGGCATGTGCGGATGGACCCTGAGCAGATAGCTCTTTAGTAGCTCATTGCGGAGCGTGTCGCTGGGGAGGTCAAGCGCCCCACTACGTCGAAGATACTCGACATCGTCTCTGTGCAGTCTGTCTGGGAGACCGGCCAGGTAGCTCGGCAAGTGGACAGCCGGTGGATCGGCGGAGCCGGGCCCAAAAAGTTGATTGATGATAGAGATATGGTAGTCGAGGGGGATGGTTGATAGGACGGCGGGATTCCCGGCCATACCGTTCTTCAGGTTGCATTCTCGCTCGCTTTCCCTGAGTTGCGAGGCGAATATATCCTCTTCATGATATCAGTCATCCTGATGGACACCCTACCTCGGAAAGTGACAAACCGGGACAATATGTGAGCAACGAGCTTGGCTCCTCGGTCACGCTACGAGGACTGCAACAATCAGCAATGCAATCAATATCCGGTTTATGTTACTGAGCAAGACTCACGATGTGCCCCGTGCGCGTCACAGTCCAATTTGGCCCGACGACAGGACGAACATGAGCCTCCACTGACGCCAACATAACATCGCTGCCTCGTCTTAACGCAGTTTGAACAAGCTCCAGACTCGGCAGTTCTTGTACGTCTGGGAACGGAATGCATTGCGGCAGTTGTGAGCCCAGAACGCTACGGTGAAGCTAAGATCGAGGCGTGGAGCTTTTTTCTACGGGCGCTGTGTGAATCATGCGACGGTCTTACCGACTGACAATGACGATCCGCGACCCGCCGACCCGACCGGGCCTGCCGCGGCACACCAAAAAGTCTTCGGAAACCCCAGCAAATCAGCCCGCCTCCAAAAGTGTCATTGGTTGGCTAAGACAAATAGAGTTAAAGATAAAGGAAATGTGATTGGACAAACGCGAAAGATCGGTCTAGGGCCCCAGATTCGGGTATACGCGGGTCGCCGTGTCCGAGGACCGCCGACCCGGATTACGCCTTTCGATCCTGTTGATCCTGTTGCAATTGTGGAGAGAAACTAAATCCGGACGGAATGATCAATGCAGACTGTGTTCATTCGTGACTAGTGTCCATGGCTGGTCTCGTTTATGCCTCGGCTCCAAGCTGGGGATCCTAAGAGAACCCTGACCATGTATCAAGTTTAAGCAGTCACCAGCACTCTGCCCCCCTAGGTCAGGGACATTGAACTCCCTTTGCCTACAGTACCTACCCGAGACGAGGTTCCTGCCTCACACTGTCAAGAGCATTCAGGTAATGCACACGGTCTTTGACATAGAACTCGACGTCGACCTTGCTGCGCAGGTGTGCCTCTCCACCGTCGAGCGTGCCGGCTTTGATTCCCGTCTTGTCGCTCATGATCTGCAGCTCCGAGTACAGGCTCGATCCGCAATCACCACAGAAGAAGTGCTTGTTGACCTTACCACTATCACCCGTGGCATCATATGATCGCGGAGTTCCTGACTGGCATTAGCTATGTGAACGTATATCACCTATTGGTGGTCATACCTTTAATGACCTTAAACGAATCTCTTGGAACAATAACATTGGAGGTGAAGGCACTGCCAGTCCACTTTTTCACGGTGGTCTCAGTCTTCGTCGCCTTCCATAGGGGCATTTAGTCACCGGGAACTAATCATACCTTTTGACAGTCGATGCAGTGGCAGAGGCAGCTCATCAAGGGCTCGGCTTGAATACAGACATTAGCACGAGAATAGGCGAATAATGCGTTTGACTTACAGCTTGAGGTATAGGCGATGGCACCACACATGCAACTTCCGTTAAGAGCCATGGTCGCGACCTATTATTCCTTGTCGTTGGAATGGTAAACTACAGCAGAGATTTCAGGCTGGATTACACGCTTGCATCTTATACGAGCAGCGATCACTGAATTCGACTGTGCTCTTGGGTCTTGGTCTTATAAGCGGGGTAACTCTGACGCAAAAGACGCCGAACTGTGGACATCTGTCTTGTCATTTATGGCGAATAGAAAGGACTTTTGACTTGATAAGGGAAGAGTGGCATAGGTGATATCTTTGAATATTGAGCTGGAGCAATGATTGTTCACCACCCTAGCCCATTAATGCATATTTCCCCGAAATGATACTGTCAATCAGAACCAAAGACTGAACCATCATGTCAAGGACTGTTTGAGTCCACTCAAACCACTGAGCTAAAAAGGTGGCAAGACAACCATTCCTAGCTAGTAGAAATGACAGTGCAGCAGATATTCAACAAGGACAGTCCTATCTAGAATATATGACTTCCTCGTCAAATTTCAGGTATCTGAAACTCGACAACCATATCGACGGAGCAGCACCCCGCCAAGGCAGACAGTAAGACATTTCGGCGAGACTAAATTGGTGTGCCGTCTTGGAATGGAACCTTCCAGCTGTCAAAATCCTTGAATCAAGATGCAGAAAATATTGGCCTGATTGGTTTTGCATCTATCTTTGTTATTACAACCCCCGGTGGTTTTAACGATGACCGAGGGTGTACCAAGGTAATCTATCATCGTACCGAGAGAGCAAACGCCGATGCGATTTGTAAAGCAAATTTCACGTGACGTACACCTTCCCCGAAATGGCCGGCGATGTTTCCATGTTGGAGTCAATCACCGGCCGGTGACTCCTCACATACGCTGAAATATGAACGATCGAATCAATCGCCCTGTGAAAGCTGCCTGTCTAGCTTGGTACGTATAATCTCTGCGTATTTTTGAATAGTAGCTGACGTTCCTCCCAGTCGCGCTTCGAAAACACGCTGTGACGGCCAAAACCCGTGTCGACCGGTAGGTCGTGTACCTTACTG